GCTGCCGGGCAAAATTCATCAGTTTTTTTTTTTTCTTTTGTTTTATGGAGTTTAGCTTTAACGAGTCGACGTTGGCAACGCTGTTTACATGTCCTGCTTTCCTGGTGTAATCTTCAAATGAAGTTGACAGGAAACCACACGATCGAGACTTCAACACCAACCCTGCCGTGGAATTGCTCTCACTTCCAAACACCAACTAAAAAAAAAAAAGTGCATTTCGTTTTTATAGGAACCAGTATATTTCATAATGTGGCCGAGTGGTCTAGCGCACACTAGCTCGGAGCACGTGGAGCGAAAGCTCGCGCTGCAGAACCCAGGGATCCTGGGTTCAATCCCCGCCCCTGCCCGTTCCGATCTGGATGAACATCGTACCGGCGTGCGGTCGTGTACCACTACTGCATGGTGCACGTTAAAGACCCCAGGTTAGCGGTTGTACCGCACTGGCTAAATTGCTCATCTACAGCTGAGACACCAGACGCCCACTGAGGCAGACTAACTTCCGGCTGTATAAACATACACACAACAATTTGCTTTGATATATGCCTTTACAGTCCCATGGGACCGATATATTACGTTGTCCCGATTTTGTCGAAGGAAGCAGAAAAAGCAACCACGAAAATATATCTTGACAAAGTGACAAAATACGAGAAAATGGCACCCAAGATACACTCCTTCCCACAGGTTGTTTTAAATATTTTTAGGGATTTAAACAAACCACATATTAAACTACTTTTGCGCTCCGTAAGAGTTCGAGGTCTGTGAGATAGTTTACACACTACCGCGACGTCAGACTTTGAACAATTTGCCCTTCTTGGCATTATTTCTGTGCATGATCACACGAATCGTGCATTCTTTCGCTCGGTTAGAATGGTGCCAAGTTGCGATGAGCAAATAAAATTAACAGGTTACATATCTGAGTTATTTCTACTTTACAACCCAAGCAGCTGATAAGTGAACGGCTTTTATGCAGCACGAATAACGTAGAAAGCGAAAAAGCGCGAAAAGTGTTTTGTGGAAAGTACGTGTCACGGTTAGTGAGACTATACTCTGTTTCATACTTAGTGCGCAACGCTGTCAAAGCTACTGGGGCGAGTGCGTGGCTTCATCTATGGCTTTATTTGCGCGAGAACGCGTGCAAACGATCAACGAGGTCAAGCCCCATGCTCGCGTACGTAGCTTTGACAGCATTGTAAGTATGAAACAGTACACTCGTACACAAGCCGCTCGCACGCAAAGGCGCTAAGAAACCGACGGTTCCGCGTCACGTAAGGCAAGAAAGGGAAATTAGGCAACGGAAACTGCGCGTGGGCTTCCCTGGAATGCGTTGGCAGGCCAAACATCACCACCGTCAAGCAGCGTCCCGCACAGAAGAGTCGCGCCCCTCCTCACCTCGTTCGGCGATAGATTCGCTACGGAATCGCGTGCACTCATGAGGAATGAGACAAAATATAAATAAACAGGACGAAGCTTTCCCACTTCGAGTACTCGCGTACCTCCGCGGCGCCAAAACTAGTTTCTCCACGTGTAGCGCGTGAAGTGAACCAGACACGCGTGTTGCAGTGAAGAGCCCCCTACGGGCGCGTCGGTGAAACAGCCCAACCGGCTTTCTGAGAGCAGGCGTAGCCGGCGGGGAGGCGGGGGGCTTTGCAAGTTTGCAACAGAGACGCTGCGCTACACCATACCTCATTCGTGCTTGGTAAAACAATAACGGGACCGCGGTCCGCGAAGACCATAATGAGAGCGTCGAGAAGTCACCGCCGATCAGATCAAGACGTCAGACGTGTCAAAAACCCGGTCACGCCGGTCGGCCTCCCCACCCGAACCCAGTGAAACAAGCTTCAAGTTTTTGGCGGTACTTTTCTTTTTACTTTCGCTGCAAGTATTGTTTGGTTTACGCGGAAAGAGCTTCAAAGAGCCATGCAACTTACCGCTTTAGCTACCAGCAGCGTCTGTACAACAGATGAGGCGCGGTGGTTTGGAGGTGCACGAAAAAACGTGCTGCGTCCGCCGGTCTCTCTCGAGGCGCCGGTGGCAGTGTTGGTTCCCAGGTCGTGGCGATCGATGGGGCTTCACGCCGGCCAATGAATGGGCGGTCGCGATTCACGTCGGCAGGCCGGATGCGATTGAAACGGGAACCCGTCGACGTCGTAACGACCAACCAAAGATCCGGTGCCCGGTGTCACACTACCACGCTCAGCGGCTGCCGCCCGCCTCCTCCCGTCCGCCGTGCTCGCGGCCGTTCACGCAGGCGTCGGCGTCGCGCCATGTCCGTGGGAAGACGCAACGTGACGTCACTTCTGGCGGAAGTAGGTACGGAGCAGCCCTAGCCGTCTAGCGGGCTTCGCTGGCTTCATGGCTTCCTAGGTTTGGGATCTCGGAGCCCTCGGAGCTCACGATAGCTCACTGGTGTAGCTCGCTAAATAAATAAATAAATAAATAAATAAAGTTAAGTAAAGGAAACAAAGAAGTCGTCGGCTTTCGCTAATAGTTTCGTTTCTGGACGCCCGCCAGCGTCGACTGCTTCGCGTTGTGGCACCGGTGTTTCTTTTGATTCATTTGATGATAAATCGCCGCTGAATGACTAAATGTGACTTTGTCATTCGATGAATGTAATACTAAAAACAACAGAGAAGATTTTTTTTTTTTTTTTTTTTTTTAGCTATTGTATTCGATTTTGCGTCATTGCTTCGAGCGAAAACAAAATTTGGTTTCATTGTGTGTGTGTGTGTGTGGGGGGGGGGGGGGGGGGGAGGAAAAGAGGGGGGGGGGTGCAGATTTGGAAACCTGCCTCCCCACAAAAGAAAAGGAGTGGAAGTTTATTTTAACAATAAACATTTGATCAATTTGCGGCCACAAGCTGGGAAGAAATAAATATGTTGGATAAATAGTTACAGTTCGTCGTACACAATTCTGACAGTCTCAATATTTCTTCTTTGTTTTACTTTATTTATTTATTTTTTTACGCTGCACTGCTGATTGGTAGCGTTTATTTATTTTTTTTTTTCTTCACAAACGTAAATATATATAAAAAGTGCTGCTCAAGTTTTTTCTAGCTCGGGAAAAAGGCGAGACGCAATATGATCTGCCCGTATTCATATCGCTTGTTTGTTAACTTTGGCCTTAGGAAAACATTAAAAGAAAGATATGAGGTAAAACAAGTTAAATTCCACACTTCTCATCTTGTCGTCTCGGCGGCTCAAAAAGAGTAATTTGATGACAGGCTATCACATTTTAAAATGGTGCAATGCCCGATAGAGCCCGCAACCCAAATATCAGCAAACTCGAATTCTCATTCCACCACTTCTTTCGTAGAAAGCTCGTACGACCAACATACGCCCGCGGTTTTGTGTTCGAACTTTCTCGAATGCAATTGCTCTCATTCCAGATTTATTGCAAAACATCGGAAGTGTCTTTGTTCGCTCGAGATTCTCTGTTCCTCTGCTCACCATTGTAAAATATCGTGTTTTCTTTCTTTCTTTCTTTTTTTTAATCAATGTGAGTCGGGCCGAAGGGATCATTTTGCGTTCGAATTAATCGCATCGATTTCTCAGTTCAATAATGTGCGTAATTCGTTATACTCGGTATCAACGTTTGTATGCTGTGTTCTCAGTAGAGAGTTTTAGAATTCGTCCTGTTTTAAAACTACCTAATGAGAGGACACGAATAAGACGCAAGACGGAGCCACGTCGCGCAGTAGTGCGAGGTAGCAACACTGCGGAAACGGAGCACAAAAACGTTGACGCCGAATATAGACCCTTACAAAAACGGGCTTCCGACTGGTACCATTTTAAGGGTCCAGTGAACATGGCGCGTACTAATTGTTGAACTGGGATGACGCTACATTGGGTGGTGGTTTTGTAAACGTTTGAACCAGGGGCGTAGCTGAGGGTGGTGAAGGGGGAGGGGGGGGGGGGGGCATTGTCCCCCGGTCAGATCACTCCCCAAAACGTTTTGCTTGCCCCCCCAATTGGATGACCCCTTCTTATTTTACGGCGCTCGATGTTTCGTCCAGGACTCGCCGCTTTGTCAAGGCAAAAAATTTGCTATTACGTTTTTCGGACTGTTCCGCTAGCCAGAACAGGAACAGGAGTAAGCGCACAAGAAGGCATCCGAGTCCCGTCCATTATCCTCTCAAGCCGGAATGAGAAACGAAAGTGTTCCATGACGGTGAGAAGTGAGAAACGCCCGAAAAGGCGTGGTTCCTGCACAGGGAGAGCAAGGCTTGAGCTTTGAGCTGCCGCTAAACTTGCCCGGATTAGGGCCCCAAGTCCCCTCCGCGAGATCGCTGGAACCTGCTAAAGCAGGTGCCCAGCTGCGGACGTATGTACGCATGCTCGCGAGTGACCTCGGTAAGATGACTGCAGAGGGAGCCACGCTCTCGCGAAACCATTCGACCGCTTCCCTTTCATCACCTGCCCCTCTCTGTGCGAGGGTACACGGGCGGGAACGTGATCACGTGGCGAAAGATAGAAATACACCTGGCAAAACTGAACACGTCAGACCACACAACTTCGACAAATCGTTCGGCGCTCCGCCGGCTCCGCTTCCCGCCGTTCTCTTTGCCGGGAGGAAATTTCCCTCCGTCAAATCTCCCCCTCGCCAACCCAGCCAAAAGAGCGTGCGAGTAGCTCTCCGCAGCCACATGATGAGCAGAGCAAGGCCGCAAGGCTTGCGCAAGGCCGCCGTGGAGGAAGGGAGGGGGAGATTTGACGGGGGGAAGTCTCCCCCCGGCAAAGAGAAACGGCCGGAAGCCGAGCGCCGCACGATTTGTCGGAGTCGTGCGTTTTGTAGTATCCTGTTTGGACAGCAGATGCAAGAGAGAGAGAGAGAGAGAGAGAGAGAAAAGTATGGGAGCTATGCCTTCCCTGCTTTTACAACTGACACATACCGAGATACAAGCGGCACGAACCCTGAGGACCGCGTTTCATGGCAAGCAGTTACCGGATGCCCCGGTAGCGCGGTGCAAACCGAAGACGGCATCCGATTTCGCCGAGAAAACCGGTCCGGAGAGGAGGAAACATCACGTGTCGTTTCGATCCATGCCTTCCGATTTTTGACGGACGCCTGCGGGAAGAGAGCGGAGAGAGTGAAAGGGCTTTTTGCGCGTTCGGGCGCTCGGGCGGGGGCTTGTGGATGCGTGCAAACAAAGATCGGCTCTCGACGTGCCCGCCTCACGTTTTTATGTTGTCTTTTTTTGCCGAACTCGAATGTCGGATCTGGCAGCCGATTTAGGTTTGCACAGGCCTTTAGTTGCTCCCCATTCGTTCACGAGTGTGGACGCTACTACCCTTGTCAAGATGGCGGCGAGCCCTGAAAGCTACGAGGTTTTGGATAGCTCGGAGCAGAGTGGTTCGGAGTGTTCCGGACCTTCAAGGCGGATGACGACCCCGAGCAAGAGGACGAATACTCCGCCGGAGATGCGAAAGAGTCCGAAGATCGAGAGAAACCCCAAAAAGCTGACGAAGCAACTGATCCGTGTGTTTGACACAGCCAAGACACGGAAGCTCATCGAGTTGGTGGAGGGGTACCCGTGGCTGTACAACAAGTTCAGCGGCGTCCACAGAGGCCAATATATGCGCACCAACGCCTGGGCTGCAATTGCCAAGTCATTGGGCCTGGAGCAGGAGTACGCACGTAAGTACAACGAAAACATTACCACCTCTGCAAAAAGAGCTCTCTGGCCGCCGCCATTTTACGAACCGAGCGACCCCTATCAGCCAGAAATTTCTGCCACCCGCCTGTGCTGTGGAAACCCGGTCAGCGTGGGTCCCCACCTGCATTGTGCATTCGGAGTTCGCCCGCTGTTCTTGGAAGTTTTTACTTTATTTGTCTGCTTAGGGTGCTTACTTTTTGTGTGTTATCTTCCACTGTAAGAAGCAGAAAATACCAGGGCTCGTTGCCTGAACGGCCTTCGCAGGAAACGAACAATGAGAGCGAACGTGAAGCAGCACGCGACGCAGGCAGTTCAACGTTCTCGGAGGATTATTTCCGTTCCCGGCTAAGGTCCGGGTTTCGCGAAAAATAGCTGATAGGGTTGGGTCCGGAGTGTGGAGACGGAATAGACACGTTCGTTTATTTGCTTTGAAGCTGTGCAAAAATGCAGCTGTTTTGAAAACATGCCGGATTCCGTCCGATCGTCGTGAAGTGTCTATTGTTGACACTGTATATTGGATATGCTGTGTTAATTTAGACCTTTCTCAAATCCTGTTCGGAGAACGCGGCACCGCGTTAAGGGGTGTCCAAACAGGACACTACAAAACCCGCGACACCGACAAATCGTGAAAATTGAAGCGGACGCTTCTATTTTTACGGTCTGTCGGAGTCGTGGAAATGTTTGCAGGAGTCGTGAAAATTTTTACGATCACGACTGCTCTCCTCTTCAGATTGACGTCACATGCCACCTGCGTCTGTCTCACCTCGCCAACGCCCTCGCGTACCGCCGTCGCCTCGGCTCGAAGGCCAAGGAGGTCCGGCTTCGGGTGGATTTGGGACATTCCTGCGTCGAAGGGTGCGTTTCGCCCGCCTCGGATCTGCTTTCTTTGACGAGATTCACTTTCGTCGCGATGGCGTCCGATGCGGTTCCGTATTGTGAGCCGAGGCCTTGAGCAATTGACCGACAGCCAACAGAGCGTGTGAGTGGCTCTCCGGACCCACGTGATAAGCAGAGCAAGGCGGCAAGGCCTCTGTGGAGGAAGCGCGGGGGAGATTTGACGGAGGGAAATTTCCCTCCGACGGCCGGAAGCGGATCGCGGCAGAGCGCGGCACGATTTGCCGGAGTCGCGGGTTTTGTAGTGTCCTGTTTGGACACCCCTTTATCCGAATGCGGATAACGCGGTACGTACAATATATGTCGTTCGATTGATGAGAACCGTTGAATTTCATGTTGTGGGCGGGGATCCATGCAGTTCGGATGTCCTGTGTGGTTGAATATTTTCGACAGTTAAGACCTTTGTAGATTGACGCGGCTGAGTATATGGTGTCGTTGCATTTGTTCTGTCGCGGATGGTCTCACCAAAACAGTTTTCATTTCTTTGCTTTTGTTCTCAAGAATAGTACAATGCATTCTTAAAAACCCGGGGAAATTCTGGTCGCCATATAACACAAAATAAAAGATAGGACGCGGCAATGTAGCCTCCACCAACGTACGGAAGTGCGCCTACGCAGGCTGCCGCAGCCCACTGACTAGAAAACCCACAGCCCAGCGCAGTCGGGCAACACTGACTTACCCTCCCAAAACCAAGGACGCCCGCTCCAAATCGCTTCGTTCGAGACTGCCGCTGGAAAGATCTATATTGTGCCAATGTTTTAACCCCAACTTTGCTCTAGTACAATTTTTTTTATATATATATATATATATCTAATTTTTGGATGGTTCGGCGTTCTAATTTTTCCGAGTATTCATGATACGTCATTTTGTTGCGAAATGTTCACACGCGTGCATCTTCTAGCAGTTATAACTTATATCCTTCGTTTTCACGTCGGCTGAAATTTTGTCAATGTGCGTTAATTATGAAGTGCTCCAACCATTCCCAAAACTTTTCCATTCACGTGTATTCCGTTAGGACGACCAGCACCCATTGCCATTTTCCAACAGTCACGAAGCCATGCATCACGTTGGCTTTGTTCGCTTTTGTCCCCATTGTGGATGACAGGGGCCCCTTTCTTGAGGTGAGGGAAGGAAGCCTGAGATTAAATGTGGAGAGGAGGAACGAAAGCAATTCAGAGATATTCCCTCATTCCTTTTTTCTTCCCATGGAAAGAAGATGAAACAAGTTTGCTCAAAATCAAATCCGAAGATAGGACAACCAACACTCCCCGATTTATTTGCCTCTGCGCAACCTGCCACATTTCAGTGTTAGGGTAACACGTGTATGTTTGTTCCGTTTATAGACCTTTTCTGCTTACTCTCGCCCCCGACCGCCAATGTGGACGACGAAAAAATACCAAAACGTTTCAGCCTGCAAATAGTAAAAAAATAGAGGGGAGGCCGAATGAGAATGTGTGACGGTTACGTTTATGTCCTAAATGCCTTCCACAGGCCTTTTCCGTGTACTCTCGTACCCAGCCACCTAATAGACGTATCCGGTATGGGCAACGAAAAAAATAATAAAACGTTTCAACCTGTAAATAGTAAAAAAATAGAGGGGAGGCAAAACGAGAATGGGTGACGGTTACGCTTATATCCTAAATGCTTTCTATTGGCGTGGCGACGGCAAAACAATGTTTTCGCCCATACTGGAAGTGACAATTCAAGATGGCGGCGCCCTTGCGGAAAAGGTCTATTGGCGTGGCGACGGCAAAATAATGGAAAAAATCGTAAGGGTGCAGGCGAGCTGGTGAATATTAACCATGTTGAAATAACCTGAGACTGGGGTAGAGAAGAAGCATCAAAGCGTACAAGGGACAGAAAATAGACAGTACGACGTCTCAAACTCAGCTAACTTCATTTATTTTCTCCACCTCCTTATATAGTCCCAAACTCAAGGTCATCTCCACCAACACAAAAGTATGAAGTCTAAACAGTTCAAGCGCCTGTCTATTTTCTGTCCCTTCTACGCTTTGATGCTTCTTCTCTACCCCAGTCTCAGGTTATTTCAACGTGGGCAAAACAACGTTTTCGCCCATACTGGAAGTGACGACAATTCAAGATGGCGGCGCTCATGCGGAAAAGGTCTATATAAAAACAAAAATCTGGAACTATTTAGAGGATTAGCTCGTTCACCACTAATCTCTATCACAAAGGATTTTTTTTTTTTTTTTTTTTGTAGAAACATAGATTCGAGAGTAAGTGGTCCAGTACCCTCTCTCTCTTCTTTCTAGCCGGGCAGAGAGGGAAGATGGTTTCTTTTTGTCGACTTCGGGGCAGAAGAAAATCCACGATGGGGGCAAAGGCGAGTTTGGGGGAGCCGTACCTAGGTCACAGCTGTTCAATGAGCGAACAAGATGCAGCTGACGTGTAGTGTATTTTACATTTTGGGTAGGGGGTGGGGGAATCCCAGACAAAAGCTCACCGGACAAAAACTCGCCCATTTTTTTACAAACCCGGACAAAAGCTCACCAGAAGAAAATTTCATGTTGGTCTTGTAGAGAAACCAAATTTAGAGAAAAAGGCGATAAGCCTCCTTTTAGCGAATTCGGTAAAAGGAGGCTCATCGCCTTTTTTCTAAACTTCGCTAAAATTCGCTGTAATAAGCCGCCGCAGATTGCCGCCGCGAAGCGGCGGCTCATTACAGCCGCGAGACCGGCGACACTTGCTTTCGACGAGTTGTACCTTTACATACGGTTTCACGCACATTGCACTCGCAAAACACGTCCACACGGCGTCGATTCTTGATCAGTATCCAAGCGTGCGAAGGCACAGAAACACAGCACTTCGGCGTGCCAAGGAAACTTTGAACACGCCGCGAGGCCGGCGAAACTTGGTTTCGAAGAGTTGTGCCTTTTTCCTGCGGCACTGCGCTTTCGTAAAAATTTCCACGCATCCCCAACGACAAGTCTCATGGCTTAACAGGGTTTTAGAAAAAAACTTTTCCGGCGAATGACGACGAACGCACAGAAAACGTCTCTAGAACGCTGCCACCGGCCTCTGCAACGCTAGCAAAACGAGAAAAATTCTGCATGCAAGATGGCCGTCCGGTGGCCGCACTCGCGGAGCGGGTATGTGCGATCCAGCAATTGTCATAGAGATCAGTGTCGTTCACGTTGAAGTCGGTGCCCTGACATCCCTTGCCTGGCATCACCGGGACGACTCCCCGAAGGATAGATGGATATTAGGGAGTTTTCGTAGACCGACGGTCCCCCTCCGCTAGGCCCTCCGCAACGAAGAAGCCGCTACTGCGCCTGCGCGCCTATGGCCTTGACTGTGGAGTCCCGGGTATCGTAACGTGTTGCGGAAAGCGTTGCGGGACTGCCGAAACGATCTACGAAAACTCCCTTTCGGCTGTTCTCTTCATACCGGGCGGTAGCTTGCGCCACCTAACCTTAAATTAATTGATTGGAAAAATTTGTTTCCTTGTTGTTGTTTCTCTCCCACATTTTTAATTTTCTTTCCCCACCTCCCGCCAACTATCACCGAGCAGATAGAGGTGAAAAAAAACAAAAAAACCTTTAAGATATCGGACAAAAAAAAAAAAAAATGTAAACATCATTATTTGCTCTTTCCCCCGGGCGAGGGAGTCGCCAATTTCCCTCTGGTTAACCTCGTCATTGTTCCTCTTTGAACCAGACCCGCACGGGGACAGGTGTGAGACTTTGGGCAGGAACCACGCGGGAGGGAGTCCCAATATTCCTGTGTTTTTCCTGTCCCCCGGTGTGCTAATTGTTCGTCCTTGTTTAATTCCCTCCTCATTTTCCTTTCGGCTTCTTTTACGCCCTCTTCTATCCTGGTGTCCCGCTCAGTCTCCACCGTAGTGGGCAGATATTTAAATTTTTGCTTCCTCGATCGGTTCGTCCATTCTGTATTCGAGCTCTTTATGTATAAATACTTGTACACCTTCCTCGTCCATCGTGCGTCCTGCATATTTGTTAGCCTTTGATCGAATTTGAATTGGATGATAGCTTCTCTGCTCTTAAAGGACGACCAGGCCATGTCCCCACTCATTGCTGCTTTGAGGGCACTATTTTTGTATGTATGTTAAATGCTTTAAGCCATGTTTAAGGATTTCTACTAGGTGTGCACAATAATAGATGTGACTTATATGTAGTGTTCTATGTGTTTGGTGTTTATTTTTTTTATTAAATTTTGAGGATGTCTTACGGAGCTCATTTTTATCGCAAATTCAATGCTTATAAAAGTTTCTTTTTTATGAACGTTTAATTTTTTTTAATTCTGCGCTTTCACACAATCATGTGGATTGAAGCCGTCTTTTTGTATTTGCTATAAGCCTTACAGTTTGCTGTCATAGATATAGGTGCAGCAGGTTTATGTCGCTTGTTGTAGTACGCTTTTTTCCATTAACGACTTTTTGCATTTATGTCACTGATTGTAGCACGCTTTTTTCCATTAACGACTTTTGGCATAGAAATTGCCCTTTCAAAATTATCACTAGAAACGGGGAAAGCCAGAAATCCATTTTGGACTCTACCTTACAATCGCAAATTTCTCAGTCATGTGCCACTCTTAATTAACCATGTTAGATTATCCTGAGACAGGGAAAGAGAAGAAACATCAAGACGTAGTTGAGACAGAAAATGAACAGGACGACGTCTCAAAGTCAGCGACATTTTCTCTGAGGCGCCACCCGACTGCCTTCGGTAAATTCTACAGAACAATAGCTTCTTCTGCACTGTTAGAGATCACAAACGAGATAAGCTCCCTGTGTGTCAATTTGCCCAATTCTGAAAAGAAAATGCCTTCTCTCCTCAAAAGAACTAACCGTGTTTCCTTCTCTAATTAGCATCTCGTGCGAATCATATATGTTCTTTTTTTTTTTTTTTAATTTTATGTTTTGAGAATGATATGAATTCATGAAAGTTTTGCCGGCAAATGTTTTTTTGGCTGTACTCTTTTAACTGAAAACACAGCTAGCACCCTACTTATATGGCATGAAACTGTATTTGGTGGCACAGGGTGCAGTTATCACGAACAGAAAAGTCAAACTAGATGTTTGAATTTTGTGTCCAACGATGCAATTTTTGTTTATTTTTTTTTTCTTTACGTATGTCATTACTGTGTAAAAGCGAGTGAGAGCAAACGAGAACCATGCCTGACCAAACACCCGTTAACCTATATTTTGTTGTATTTACGTGGTGGCACCTGGATATGCATATCAAAGTAACAAGTTGAAAAGTTTTTAGCTTTATAGCTCCTTTCGGGAACCCTTCATTTGAACGTTCTCAGGTTTGAGATTGTAATGAAAGTGCATGTCCCCTCATGTTTGATAGTGCCTCTGCTTTACGAGTACTTGTGCAGTGAGAACACCGATTATCGTGGCGAGACTAAATAAAGAGATATTCCATTGACATTTTAAGCGTATGTACGGGTTTCTGCTAAGATGGTAAAACAAAATATTGCCACGTGCTTCGCCGAGCGAGTGCATGCGTGGCCGAATGGTTACCGCGCTTGGCTGTCGCGCGGATGGGTCTAGGGTCGATTCCAGGGAGCGGAATGTTCTCTTATTCATTCTTTCAACTTGAAGTTCTCGTAAATTCGAGAAAAGTGTCGTCTGATCGAGTTACGAATGTTCTACGCGCCGAAAGTTCTACGCCCAATGTTTCAAAAATCCACGCGGGTACAAAAGGTACGACGCCGCGTCGCGAGACGGAGTCAGTTTTCGCCCCAACGCTCGATCCTGCTGTTTCGCCGACATTGCCACCTGCGACGCTGACCTTCTTCTATTTTGTTTTTGGGCACAAGTTCACCCTTTAAAACATTCAGTTTCTTCAGTTATTCGCCGCCTCATAATTTGTCATTTGTGACAATATTGTAAAGCGATTGGTACCATTTACAAGGGTGGATTGTATGGAAATCTTCATAATATTCTCACGAATGACGAGGTGACGAAACAAAAAAATAACCGAGGAAACTAAAATGTATAATGGGGCGAACTTGTGCCCAAACAAAAAGAAAACAGAAGATAACAATCAACGGAGCGTCGCTGGCGTCGAAGTCGGCGTAGCAGCAGGATAGAACGCTGGGGCGAGACTGACTCCGGCTTGCCACGCGGAGCCCCTTGGTACACGTGTGGGCTTCTGGAACAACCGGCGTAGAAGGTTCGGCGTGTAGAACATTCTAACCTCGAATAAGCAACATGGTTCTCGAAGTTACCAGAACATCACATAAGAGTCAACAAAAATGCGTACCCGCGGCCAAGAATCGATCCTTGGCTTTCTGTGAGGAAGGCAAGCGCGATAACCGTTAGGCCACGAGTGCTCTGCCTACTAGTCAGCTGCGGGCGCGGCAATAGTACATATGTCATTCTGGTCACTCCACTTCGCCCATTGAATGTCTGTACGTTATCATGAACAACGTGCACGATACGCTAATCAACCCAGTTGGTCAGCACAGAGAATTTATTTAGAACTTTATATGTGCATAAATTAATGAAATTATTTTTATTCCTTGCTACACATATCTGGAGTCTTCTGCCTGTTTTTGCTGCAGCACAAGCATGCAAGTTGAAATGGTGTAACTTGAAGGACTACTTCTTGAGAGAGCTTGCAAAAGTGAAGAGATCACAACGGAGTGGCTGCGGGGCAGCTAACGTCTACACCTCGAGGTGGAAATACTTCGCAAGCTGCTCCTTCTTGTCCGGCAAGGCCAATGTTTCATGCCGGTACCTACTTATTTTTCTAATAATGACCTGGTATCGTTCTGCATGTAGCTGCCATCTTACTTGGGATTCCTTGTGTTCAGATCTCACCCTGAGGCATCAGAGGAAGAGATGACAAACTGCAGCAGCCAACCGCGAGGTATCGGTAATTGACATCTCCCCACTTTCTATTGTTGAATGAATTCCACACCTTCTTTTGTGGTGTTGATTTTGCATTACTAACAAGCCCTCTACAATGTCAATATTCAAATTTACATTTTTCTTATTCTTAAAATAATTGGCTGTGGTTCTACTTTTTTGCTTGTCACCAGACTGCAGTGAAGATGAGTCAGCCCCCAGGCAAGCAGCTGAGGTAATTATTTGGAGTGTAATCTCTTCGGAATCTGAAAGATATGTTTCACTGCAAGTTTTATTAATTACTCACTTCACCTTCCTGTCGGTTTTTCCACACCTTCTGTGCCTCTCAATAGTGCCAAGACATTTGATAAAAGTGCGGTCGGTGTTGTCGCAGAACCGGCTACCTGAGTTCCAGCCATCGCCAGCCTACCTTGCAGCTATGCGGGCGGAAATGGGTGCTGCACCACCTCCAAGCCAAGAGCCCACAGAAAGACCACCCGCAGCTGCCTTGCAGACTCCCGGACCTCAGAGCCGAAAGCGGAAGCATTCAGGCTCTGCGGGTCAATGCATCCCGATTGAGCAGGCCTTGCGAGCAGCTGCTGCCAACTTACGCCCTTCTTGTTGTCCTCCAGAACACCAAGATGAGATTGGACACGCCCTTCTGGGCCTGCGTATGTATATAAGGCATTTCGATGCAGAGAGGCGCCTTGGTTTTTTCCAAACAGTCACTAACTATGCGCACGAAGAAGCTCTGGCACAGTTTCGGAAAGACAGGGAAGACAAGGAGGAAAGAGAAAAGTCGAGAATGGAGAGGATCGAGGTAACAGAGAGAGAAGAAAGAAAAAGACAGGAGAATGCAGAGAGGGGGGAGCAACAGAAACGGGAAAGAGCCGAAAGAGAAAGCCAGGCGAGGGAAGAAAGGATAGATGCGCCGTTTTTGCGAGCACGTGCCTTTTCCAGCGAGTGACATAACTGACCTGTAGAGATGCCTGCATGCCTGCTCTGTTAATGAAAACCATTATCTATGTATCTGACCTCGCAGATGTATAAACAATTGTAAAATTTTTCCATTCGAAAAAAAAAAAAAAAATCTGCAACTCTTTTAGCTTTGAAATGTGGAGCTTTGCCCAACATTTCAAGCCGCAGTTTGGCCAGCCGTTGGCTACGTTAAGGCTAGAGGTAAAGCTGCCAAAACCACTGCTGCCACCCCATTGATAGCTAGGGGTGTCGCGAACCGGTCGCGGTTCGAGTTCGACCAGGTTCGACTTTTTCGAACTTTTAATGAAAGGTTCGACGAACCTTGTATTGAGGTTCGACTCGTGTGCGCATGCGCCACAGGCTGGCCAGTTGGCTTCGGATTGGATGGTAATGGCTAAGAGATGAATTAAGTGCAGAGCTGATTGGCTATTTCAGTCAACACAGTACTAAAAATTAAGTTATTAACTTCTTCACTGATTAGAATTAGTTTCTTTTAATTGCAGCTGTTCACAAAATAAAATAACCCCTTGCATAAAAAAAAAAAATTCTCCAAACCTAGACATGCTTGTATTAAGGTCTGGCCACACTGTCCATAAAGTCGAACCGGTCGAATCGGGTGAAAAGTCGAAGGTTCGTCGAACCGGTTCGACTCAGTCGAACCCCGGAAGTTCGACCAAAAAATCTGGTTCGACAAAAGTTCGCGACACCCCTATTGATAGCTCATTTGCCCTTTGGAGCATGGTGGAAGGTTACCATTGCAAGATGGCGTCCATAATACAATCGAATATCATTGGTCATCTGATGAATGACCGGCACAGAGCTCGCGGACACTTGAGTGCAAGCAGTTGAAAAAAGTCTGCCATTTGGCACTGTTGTTTTTGTAGAGAATAATAAAATATGCTCCCATAAGTAACGTCAGCTTCTTTAATTCATGCTCCACTAGGCCACGAGCATGGAACGGCGTTTAGAGAAAACTCAAGCGTTAGCAAAGGCCCAGACAAGTGAACAAAATGTAGATATTTAAGTGTGATTGACATTTTCTCACCTAAGGCCCACGATACAAGAATTCGGACGAACAGCAATTTGGGGACTGAGAACATAGAGGGTGGCATAAATAGAGTGGTAGGAATGTAGCGGGTGGTTCAGATGTCGGGTAAGACTTGTGGCCCACAACGATTTCTAGCTTTGAGAGGAAAAGGCTCTCGATCATGTCGCCTTATAGAACTTTTCTGGTATTTATTTGTAACTTTTGAATGGGGAAGTTTTTTCTTCGAAATTAGCTCAAAATAAATCTACAAGTTAGCCGAACTTATGTAGTAAATTGAAGTGTCGTAGCTTCTATTTTTTTAGTTTTATTATGAGTCTTGGCCTGGCATCCGGTTTACCCGGGCGCAGCAGTGACGCGCGGACTTCGTTCCCCGCATTGCTGCGCCCCTTCCCAAGGTCACGTGACACTCACAAGGCATTGCATTGGCTGGGATGGCTCGTAGCGTCCGCTGCGGTCCATCGTAAGCTGAAACGGGGCATAAATTCGTTCACGAGGCAGCAAGTGTTTCTGGGATCTTCCCTTCTATCCTACGCTGGTTTCCGAAACGTTGAGATCCCTTTGTCCCAACGCGGCGCCTGTGGCTCGCGAAGACACGACCCGTTTGGGGAAGTCAAAAAAGGCTTTCGCCGACTTCGATCTGCGCTCCCTGTTTTTACACGCCGTCCCTCGTATCGAGTTTTGTCAGGACAACGTAGCGGAGAAAATGGACACCGATGGTCGAAGCCTGCAAGCTGTCTAGGTCGTGGCGCGGTTGGGGAAGCGCGTAAAAAAATGCCATTATCAGCTCCCTTTATCTCTTTTTTTTTTTTTTTTTCCATGGTGGACTTGCGTTCGTTTCCCTGCATGCAGTTAGCTGTTTCTGATTAGTTTTCTGCTCCCTTCCGATGAACGCCTCCGCCATCGTCATTGTCCTCCAGGCTCGACCCGGGTCATCTCTTCAACAAGAAAGCAATGAAAGGGCGACAACTACAACCAAACTCCAGGGTTTGAACTTGTGGGGCCTCGTTGGGCTCACTGAGCCGTGGCGAACACGGCGGTTTTGGCTGTCTGTGTGCCGCACTCTGTAGTCGGGACCCATCTAGAGGAAAATGAAGGCGGCGGTGGCGTTCATCCATGGACCCCCCTCCCAGAGATGCGAAGAAGGCTGGGAGGACGAGCACCAGGCATTGGGAACAAGGTAGAGACTCTCGAGAAAGGAGCGGGCGACGACGAATGTGCGCAATGGTGTCAGAAGACTACCCATCAATATTTTGCTACAGCGTCACGCATATTTTTTTATAAAGTAAAAAACGCAACTACTTGAAACCGAAACCGAAACTGGACTGGGGAGGAAGAAGAAATATAGGGGAGGGGAGAGGTGGCGGAAGTTACGTGGCCGTGATACTTTTTTTCATCCCAAACAACGCGTTCGCACCTTTTTAGAAGCCACAAAAAATGGGTATCATATTTCTTTTCTATTTTTAATATTGTGTGCGTGCCTCAGATGACTTGCGACTTCGAGTATCTTTGGTAGTTGTGTCTAAACCTGAGAAAACGGCCCGTGACCACCGAAAAGAGAGTGAGCGCGACTCAAACCGGCTAGTTGTCGATCGGCGGTTTTCGGTCAGAAAGAAACCGAATTTCGAGCCGCAAATTCTGTTCTGGGTAGTTGTGCTCTTATATGCAATTTACAAATAAAAAATTTTGGCGAGTATAAATACCCTGTCAATGTCCCTTTAAATATTAAAAAAAGAAGAAAAATACTATAATTGTTCAGATTTTTGTGAAAGTGCCAAAAACTCTCGAAAACAACAATAACATATAGCAAGCTCATGGGATAAGGAAGTAGAGGAATTAGGTTAGGAAAGAAGCACTCCAGCTGAAGGTGCGTTAAAATGGAAGAGGAAAGCAAAGGCACGTGCGTTCATCTTTGCCAAGTTTGTTTGAGCAGGGTGCAGTATATAGACGCTTTCAGGCAGCTGTGCATAGGCGCCGCCATAACCGACCTTCAGGTTTTGTTCCATCTCATTCCGTTCGCTCCACTTCCTCATTACCACAGCAGGACAGGTTATTGTAATTTTAAGTGTTACTGTGTCCTTCTCCCCAGCATAGGCCCTTGTGGAGGCTCGTCAACGCCCGCTTCAGTGCCTCGGCATCTCGGTAAGACAAGAGAAGGTCGGCTATGGCAGCTCAGTCTGGCGCGCGCTGAAAGCGTCTATATGATAGCGATCAATCAGAAAGATAGGAATGCAGCAAAAAGGTCCAGGCAGCATATTAACACGCAGCAGAGTAAAGGGGTGATGGGTGCCAACACTCACTGGCCACACAGAGGGCGAAAACGATAAATGTAGAAGGCGCTCAAGAATTTCGGCAAAGAGCATTTGAAGAGTTTGAACCAAACGAGACAGCTTGGAGGCATTAAAAATAAATTTCTTCTTTAGAAATACGCAAAAACAACTGTATATTTTATAAGAGATCCGTGGAAATAAACATGATTGGTGAGTTGATTGCATAATACACGGTGCCAAGGACGAATATACAGTGTGTTTCCGGAAACGCCGGCCAAATCGCTCCTGCGAAAACTAAGCATCGCACAGAAAAAAGGTTGATGCCGTAGTGGTCTGTGTCAAAGGGTCCATTAAGAAAAATTATAAGCTTTCACTATAATTACGTAATTAATTAATTTCGAGTAATTAATTCGTTAATGATTGATTTTAAAGGGATGGCTTCAATTAGAATCTTGCTGGGCAACACCGAAAACTACTAAATACACCCGCGTTACAATGATATATGGCACGCGCAGCATTTTACGGCGTTCCGAAAAAAAAAAAAAAATACTCAATTTGGGCGCGTTTCTTTGGTTTCGGTTTCTTGTCGGGGCGCATCTCCGCGCGGGCGATCCCGTCCCCCGCGTCTAAAACGCGCAACGTGCGTGCCACGCCCACGCATCGTGCGTAGGAAAGGCTAAATAAGAAAGCCTCCGTGCTCTCACGTGAGGTTTACCTTTTTGACATCGGTGCCAGTGTGAAGACGCACCTTTACGTACGATGCGTGGCGGCGCACGCATGTTGCGCCTTTTAGACACGGGGGGCGGGATTGCAGGATAACAAACTGAATCCCAGAAAAGCGTCCAAATTGAGCATTTTTTCGGAACGCCGTAAAAGGCTGCGCGTGCCATATATCATTGTAATGTGGGTGTATTTACGGCCTTTCGTTGGGGCACACCGCACCCGTCCAGTGCAGTACACTCTTTCCACTTTAGTACAGGAAAAACTGGCGGGGAGAGAAGGAAGCCCCTTCTCCTCTCCAGTGTTGCGGAGTTGCCACTCCGGAGTTGGAATGATTCCGGAATCATTCCGCATTTTCACAACCCCGGAATGGAATGGGAATGGAATGGCGGCAACGTTGAGGGGAATGGAATGGGAATGGAATTAGGTGCCTTTTGCCCGGAATGGAATGGGAATGGAATGGGGCCAAATGGGCACGGTTCTTCTTTTTTTTTTTTTTGTGTGTGTGTGTGTGTGTGTGTTTACGGTCAGCTAAACCGAGCCAGTCAGCGAGTCTGGTGCTCAGAAATAAAATGAGCGGGAAACTGCTAGCCCGCGTGGAGCCATAAAAAAACTGATACGCAAAAAAAAAAAAAATGCAATACAAAAAGCAAGCGTCAAAGCAAAGGGGGGAAGGTGGGTAACGTGACGCCTTTCACGGACGCGCCGGCGTCGGGCTTCGATGGCATTACACGAGAGTGAAACAAGAAACCAAGCACCAATTCAAAAGAAAAGGGAGCGGCAAAGAAAGAAACCGCCATGCACAACTCCTCATCGTCCTTCTTGTCATGCTTTTTTTGTTGTTGTTGCGGCGGTTTGTAGAATGCGCGCGCGCGCACAGACTGAGATCTGGGAGCGGAAGCGACTCATAACTCGCAGAGCTCTGATAACTCGTTGACTCGGAGGCCGCCGAAAGATGATCAGGTATTGTTTTCTTATAGTTCGAGGAGCGTTGTTTCGCAGGCAGCCAACCCTGCTGCCTTCCACGTTCATTCGTGCGCACTCCTTTGTAGTGAGAAATGTGGGTTTGCTTCGGCATTAAAACCAAAGCGAGATTCACTTCCCTCTTCCCCTCTTGCGCTTTGCTCCGGGCCTTTTTTTTTATACTGCATTTGTAGTGTAAGTCCGCCTTTTACTTGCTCTTTGTTCCTATGCTTGTTTTCTGTGTTATATGTTTTAGTGGGTTGGGGTTACAAGCAAGCTAGCGGATTCCCGCTCATTTCCTTTGACTTTAGTCTCTGCATACTTCGTTTCACCTTGCGATGGACCGCTGCGGACGCTACGAGTCACCCTAGGCAATAGAGCACCGTGAGCGGGACTGCAGGGTCACGCGACACTCAAAAGGCACTGGGTTAATTTCGATGGCTCTCGTGCTGTCTGTTGAGGTCCATCGTAAGGTTAAGTACACTATCGTCACCGCTTTTGGTGTGACCGAACTGACTAGGCTTGCAGAAAGACCGTCCCGCGCCAGACGAGGCGCAACCGTTGCTGTGAGGGCAAATGAGAAGGAGAGCTAGGTGCTAGCTGCCACTCAGGTTTTGGCTTCCGGGTGTCTCGGCTGTCCGGTCTGCATTCGTACTCCTTGTCCTGGACCCTAGAGTGGCCCTTGTTTGAGGCGGTGAGAAGTCAGTTGGACGGTGTTGTTGAGGTAACACAAGGAATGTTAATTCGAACGGTGCGGTATTACCCCATTAATTGTATCTTGATGTGAAGAGCTTTGTCAGCGCCGACCCGACCCGTCGCCACAACGCGAACAACCGACACCGAGGTAGAAGAATGAATCGGTTGGTACCGTCTGCTGCCTGAACCCGCCACTCGATCAGCGCGAAGAGGAACATCACATTTCGGACGAGAAGACAAGATAAATACAGATCGAGTCATGGCATCGTGGAAGACATTTTTCGACATTAGCCGCGAAGAAAATAAACAAGCTGCAAGCTGAAAGTTGTGCAACAAAACTATACACGGTGTAGTCGGCGTATATCATCGAACTTTATTCGCCATCTGAAGAGGAGACACGAGAATGAGTATGCGAAGGGTGGAAAAGGGTAGGCGAACCAGCCAAAAATTGAATTGAATATGATAAGAAATATCGAGATTCGTAAAGCAAGCGTGAACTCATGCGTTTTAAAACACGTTTCGTTTTAAAACACGTTTCGCCACAGAGGTTGCATTTTGTCAGAGGATGTGTTCTTGCCACTGTGCATGGAGTCGCTTCCAGCAGTGTACTAGCAGTGTTGCTGTATTTGAAGAATACACTAATATAGCTTATTCATGCGCCACGCAAGAACTGGATATTTTTATAGTCTTATCAAGCAAACAGCTGGCCGCGTATGTCCTAAAAGTAAAATGCAACAAAGTTAAAGAAAGAAAAGAAAATGAGTGGATTTAAGTTTTGCTGTTTGTTGCGAGCCACGTGGTCGCAAGACCGATGTCTTAAACAAGCATCGACATATCAAGATGCTTTCTCGATGTTTGCAGTACATTGTAAATAAACACTTCGTGCCACCAGCGGTACGCTTAGTAAAACCAGTGCTTTTTCGAGGAATTTAGCTTTTTTTTTTTTTCAATTGTCTCTGCATTTGCTAATGTAACTTTATGCTGCTTATGCCGGCAACACAATGTAGCTATCAAGTGCCAATTTTTACATTTAGGAATTAAAGGAATGGAATACAACGATTCAGTCATTCCAGGAGTGGGAATGGGCCGAGTGTCTAAATTCCTAGGAATTGAAAGGAATTGAATTATCGAAAACTCTAATTCCCCGGAATGGAATTGGGATGGAATGGGGGTGCCAATTCCGCAACACTGCTCCTCTCTAGCCTACCGGGTACCCCGAACCGCTCTGCACCGTTGAGATACGGGCACAGACGAAAAGTAGTTTCTCCGTCTCACTAGTTGTACGCAGTGCAGGCGAAGGCAACACCAGGCGAAGAGAGGAAGGGCGAGGATTAGGAAGACAGGCCGGGAGAGGAGGGCAAGAGGAGAAAGGGAGGAACGTTTGAGAGGAGAGGGGGAGAGGACGATTTTTCTCTTCCTCACCAGCTTTCCTAGTGCTTGCCCTCTTTCCCCTCGCCTTGCGTTGCCTTCGCCTCTACTGCCTGGTGGTGTTGGTACAGCACGCAATACCTTATGCAACATTTCTTGGTGGTCTAACAACGCTGAGGGCGTCGATCGCCGTGGAGGCATCGGAGACAACCGTACTGACCGTACGGGCAGTATGCGATGGCGCGGTAGGTGTGTTTTCCGTCTTCCGCCCATGGAATGTGGACGAACAGTTTAAACAAACTACCGCAACTGTCTGACGAAACTCTCGGAGGCCTGTGCATGCTGGCGGCAACGTGGTATTGCATGGTGAATGGTGTTAACGATACAATAACCTGTAAGGAGAACTAAAGCCCAGGAAACCCAAGCCTCACACCCAAGATCGAAATATGAAATGAATATGAAAAATGTAAAGAGGTCCTAGCAACAGAGCGAACAAAACCGAAACAGTCAGATTCGAAATATTCCCACTTGTACGAAGATTTTGTCTGCAGTTTCATTAAAGTGTTTATTCCGTTCTAGCAACGGTCCCTGAAAGGGGCAACATATGGATTTAGTGACGAGAATAACAGGACACGGGGGGCGGGATTGCAGGATAACAAACTGAATCAAAGAAAAGCGTCCAAATTGAGCATTTTTTCGGAACGCCGTAAAAGATGTCGATTGATTACCAGCACGCCTGCATTCTCTCACTGCTTACGGATGACAAAATGTTTGAAATCATTAAGAGGGGTTACAAAAATGGAGGGGGCGAGGTCTTGGAGAGTGGGAAATTTCAAGCGAGACTGATAATTTACGATAATGAAGGAGGTACATGGAAGACGATACAAACAATAAAGCTTGGACGGCGGTTTGTTGTAAAGCTAGATGGCGCGAGCTGTCACCCAACACAAAAATATATACATCTTCATTAAGTCACGTTATTTATCCATTTATTTACTGGTTACCTCACTGTTGCCACAAGAAGCGCTGAATTCGCCAGCTCGATAAAAGAGCAAATTATATTGTTTTTTTTTTTTTTAGCTTGTGCGCAAATGTTAATCTTTTTTTTTTTTATCTAGAAATACGATTTGAGAATTTACCGGGAGAAGAAAAAAAAAAGGGGGGGGAGGGAGTGAAATAACTTTATGGGTTTCTGGGCGTACGTTTGTGCCAGCGCATTAAATATTTGTCTGTTTATTTTACCAAGGGTGGGATTTGGCTTCGTCGTCTAATTAAGCTTATTTTTAAAACTTCCAAAAACTTTCTCCACGCCACTGGTTTCGTTTTTTAAAGCCAGACTAGTGCTAGTGCTGCCATCTTTCGAAGAAATTTCTAAGCTCAGTAATTCACATGACCAATCGTTCATTTCCGCTCGTAGTGCACCCTGGGTTGAATGCCACGTTGTTTTGAACGCGCATGCGTAGCCTAGCATTTCCGGTGGCCAGAACGTAACGTCAGCCTGCGCTTTCTTTGCCGCAAGTAGGATAATGAATGTTTTATAAAATCTTTTAAGAGCGTGGATCGTTGTTTTGACAACTTTTACGTGAGTACTGAACCTCTGGCAAACTCCTTGCACCAGTATAAAACCGTCGTTTTGTTCGTGCTCTCCGTGTGTGCCCCTCAAAGGTTGAACGAGCATGTAACTTGCAACATGGAAAAGGCCTAAGCGTTGTTTTCGACTTGTTTTTCGCTCACGCATCGGCGGCTATCTTTTTTTCGTTCGCATTTGCGTTCGTTTAGGTCCCTAACTCGAAAAACATATCTACCGTTATACCCTGAAATTGAGAGCAACGCGTCAAGGACGCACCATTCGTCAGCGGCGTAGCCACCACAGCCTCTTGTTTGTGAGCAAAAATAAGATAGCGGTTTTCGGACCCGGCTGACAAGGCTACTTTGCCACTGCCCCTGCTCGCCGACTTTCAGAGCGTTCGCATTGTCTTTTACAAGACCAGAACTACGTGATAAAATTCTGAAGTGATGCAGTTCGCAGCCTTGAACCTATTTTTGAGGTCGCTCGCCTCGGTGTGGAGCAGTCGTTCGATCAAATTCTAAATTCGTGACACGAGAAGTCGCCTTGACCGGCCACGTCGTACAAAAAATCTTGGATGTGTAGTCCGAGTTAATTATCGGCCACGCAGCGTTCGGGGCAGATTTTATATCTTAGATTCGAGATAATGCGAACTCTCAGGTCATCCTCGGTGTGAGTGGTTTACGGGTCAGTCGGTGTGATGAACTCGATGCGGTTGTTACGTCTCTTCTGACGGCTGTGCAGACGCACTTGCCTGCTGTGCAGTTTTACGTCATCTCTTATTCGGTGCGACTTCGTAGAGGGCAGTTGTCGTGGCACATCGTTATTGTTCTGCTAGCCAGACCGTCTCTTTCCTTGTGACGTAGCGCGTGGATGAGGTAAATTCGATGGGCTGTGAAGGTTTTGAGGAAATATGTCTTCGAGGCATAACCCATGGGCAGGCACACAATCGACTGCGTGACGTTCAGCTGGTTGCTCAAGGGCTCAAAATGCACACGCGAGCTTTCGGTCGCCGAGCCGGCCCGTGCGAACATTGACATTTAGAATATTCACCTTCGGCATGGCCCGTCGGGGAAAACCGGAAAACCGGGCGCTTACGCTGCGGGGTCAGTTTTGGGTTTTTTCAGGTATGGTCGCTAAGCTCGCTAAACAAGTGAATGTTTGTGGCAGTCATTTGCATAGTGACTGGACAAGCTCTTTTTTATTTATGCTCGCTGTTGCATAATTGTAGTAGAATATAGATCATCTGCAATGTTAATTTTGTCCCAGATATGGCATATGATAACAAAGTTCCTTCTACCAAGGGAGTCATTAAAGGATGCTTGTGCAGTCTTCATACCACTCAAGTTTGAATCAATGCCTCTACTCTCGGGGCCTAAGGTCACTCGAGTTCTTGTGCTATATTGCCCTTATCCCAGCTCCAGTAGCCTTGACTTTTAAACCTAAAGATCTGCACAGCGAGGGCTCTGATGCCTTCAAGATTCATAAGGCGGTGTTTCTGCAGCCGTTCGTTAGCAGAATTGCAAATGTATTTGTTTTTGTTCTGGATTTAACGGTGCTAGCGGCTGGGACCCCCTAACCAACGTGCAACTTAGGGTCGCTCGTTGGTCGATATGGTTTGATGAGCTCTTCAGGTCTTGATGTTTGTGTTCCTTATTCGTTGTTTGCTCTCAATCTTTCAGTATCCATTTGGGCCTCCTAAATGCTCCCCGAAATATATGTTTTCTTTATTGATCGAAGCATTTGATTCTGTTATCAAGACACTGACCAAAAAGAGATTTTGCTGCCGAGTCAAGTCGTTCACATGCTGAGGAAAACTGACAAGGTCAGATTGAAACCAGAGGACTGGCACGAAGAACTGTGATGTCGGAGATTGCGCACACTTCCGGGGGTCTCCTGGGTTGTTTCGCTCCCTGCGACTACATGCTCAAAGTTTCTTTAAACTTGCATGTTTAGTATTTCAGCAGTCATACAAATAATGTTTCGTGAATTCTAATACATGAAGGAGTGTTAGGCTTCGCATAGAGTTCAATGTCTATGCTGCACAGTACAAGAGAAAATAGGGTTTGGGGAAGACCTGGGCAGCTTGTTCTTGACTGACGGTTTTCTTGTGGGGAAAAGACGACTTTTGAGTTGCAAATGTATTTTCTTGATTGTTGGGCTCTTATGGATTGTGTTTGCATAAAAATCTAGGTGTGCAAAAATGCAGCAATGGGGGGATTTTAATAAAGTGAGACATTGATCCTAGATGAGGCATAATGCATAAATCTCTGTAAAGATGGTTAGATCAACCGAAGAATAGGTTAATCTTGCACTCAGCATGGTTTCCCAAAGTTTTCATTGCACCTTTTTCTCTGCAGTGACTTTGAAATGGGATTCATGTTTTTACTGTAAATCCAGCAAAGAAGTTTCATTTATCTACTACCAGGACTGATGCAAAAAAAAAAAAAAAAACTTGATTAGATACATTTTGTTGGTTTCTTAATTTTAGTTTCCACTCTGTGACACCTTCAAAAGTGGAAACAAAAAAATAATTCTCGACAGGTGATGGCCACGCCGGGGGGTCAAGGCATGCCCTACGGCGGCCCCTTCACCAGGCCCCCTTACCTGGTTCCGCCGATGCCCGAGAGTGCTCCCAAGTCGCCCCAAGGTGCTCCCGGAGCGCCCCGTGGTGCACCCGCCCCACACTCCATGCCCTATTCGGCCTCTCTATCCCACGGCGACAGCGCGCATGTGGGCAAGGAGGGTGCCCCACAGCACTTCTACCAGGGGGCCCCTGGCAACCTGCCGCCGCCGTCCATGACCCAGCCAAAGCCGCAGCCAAAGCAACAGCCCAATGGGCCGCTGCCACCGGCCGTCAACGGTAGTTGGCCGGCCTATCCAAGCCAAGCCAACGGACCCACCCAGAAGCCACCGCAGCTGCAAGTGCCTTCCGGAGCTGCAGGCACGGGACCTTGTTTTTGTCGCCGCATGTGTTCGACGTGGCCGACTCTGACGTCGGCGGTTGTTTTGCTTGCTTTTGTGCGAAGGAGCCATGATTTCCTGGTTTTTCTTTTTTCGTGATGCTACCGGCTGCAGCTGAGCCCGCAGTAGGTCGTTCGCAGTCCACAACTGTTTTTTAATAAGGATGGACAGGCACTTTAGATATACAGCGTGTTTCAGAGAACTCAGGCCAAATCGCTCCTGCAAAAACTACTCATCGCAACGAAATAAGGCTTGTGTCGTTTCGGTCCTGGCCCCTGGGCCAAGGGCCCACTTAGGAAAATGATTAAAGTCCGGGATAATTAACTTGTTAATTATTTTTGCATAGTTCACTTTTTTAATATTGTGTTTGAGGGCATGGTTTCAATTAGAAATTTGCTCAGCATCGTCGAAAAACATTAAATCAACAAATTACAGAACGATAGAAGGCGTGCAAAGCATTTTACGCCTTTCTGAAAAACCGCACAAATTCGAGGGGTTTTTAAGTTTTGGTTTGCAATCGAGGCGCATCTGGGCCGCGGCGGCACTGCGCCACGTTGAGATAGTGCAACCAGCCTCTGCTGCGTCGCGTGATGAAAGCGCATCAGAGGTTGGTTGCACTATCTCTCCACGGGGCGCGGTGCCGTTGTTGCCGAGAAGCACTCCGATTGCGAACCGAAACTCGCGGTTTTTGAGAAAGCCGTGAAATGCTGCACGGGCCTTCTATTGTTTTGCAATTTATTGATTTAGAGTTTTTCGGTGATGCTGAGCAAGTTTCTAATTGAAACCATGCCATTAAACCCAATATTAAAAAAAGTTAATTATGCAAAAATAATTAGCAACTTAATTATCCCAAACTTTAATAATTTTCCTAAATGGGCCCCTGGCCCAGGACCAGAACATCACAAGCCTTTTTTCTGCGCGATACATAGTTTTTGCGGGAACGATTTGTTCCGCGTTTCACTGAACACACTGTATATATACTGTAAAGGACTAAATTTTCGCAAGGACCTAATTTTTGCGAATTTCGCGAATCTCCTACAATTTGCGAAAAATACGTCCCAGGAACAATTCGGGCTATATGTGAACGCTACGGAAGCGATTCTCAATTTGCGAAAATTGGAACCCGCAAATAATTTCAAATTTTCAGCATTGGCCCGATTCGCGAAAATTTGAGCCCTCGAAAATTAAGTCGTTTACAGTATATGCGTTTATGTTCTTGAAATGGAGCTGGCTCCTGCATACATTCCAACATAATTTTTCAGAATGAAATACTCTTGCATGACAGGAATTGGTGAAGGACGTCATTCTGGGCCTGCACAGTTTTTGCTTGGTGGATGCCGAAAGAGGGGGAGAATCCACACTATATTCCACATTGTAAGGTCTCCTCTTCCCAACTGAGAGTAAACTTGAGTCCCTAGATGCATGTCAACTTTAGGCAAGTAAAAACCCGTACACACTACATGTACTGGGCCAAATGTACACTATGTGACACTGTTGGTGTGAACAGGGCATCGGCACTTTTTCTAATTTTGCTTGGTATTGGCAAGCATAGAATTTTACCACTTTGGTAAGTGCCCCAGACGAATGCTTTCAACCACACTACAGTAAAATACTGGGCTACTGCCCACCCTCCCCTTTCACTGAAAACTGGGTTATTTTAGACATGGGTGCTTGTCCGGTCAAATCGGTAAAAACCGAGATGGCAGCCGGTAAGGAGTTTTGAAGGCAGGGTGAACGGAATCGGAGGAAGCACATTTGTTTTCGCACAATATTCCCGGTCATTGCTGCTATCAGTCTCGTGGCCGCCGCAACGGGGTGAATATTTTCGGCCAATGTCGGCGCTTTGGACGGGGTGGGCGCTTTACGTATCATTTCCAGAATTCCCAAGTTTGGGAAACTTCCGCAGTATTTTACGGTGGTGGCAACTCTTTGGTACTGAGAGTGAGGCAAAAAAATGGTGATGGCTTTTTTGCACTAACAGTGTCGCAAAATGCACTTGTCTCATCTCCAACCATCTCTGTTACCACACACTGAATGCAACCATTTCTCATGTTTTATGGCTTTTTGCGTCACTCAACGAATAAACAACGCAGTTGGTTCCCCATGATTTTTAGGTACCACATACCAATTCCTTTACTTTACAGAAAGAACACCCTTTTGTTTCGTTTTAACGTGTACTTGGTTTTATTTACGACACTGGACTTTTAAGCCAGTTGTAACAATAGGTTATTTCACACCTTGTTCCGTTCTAAGCATTAGAACACAAACTTTTAACCCAAGTTTGGCGCACTACGGCCTATTGAGCATTTGTGCCATAAAGCCTCTGATCATCAGCTCCTCTCCTCGGGACTTGTTGTTGGACCTTTTGATGAGCTACAGACATTAAGTCCTTGTAACGACAAAACACGCTCGTCGGGCGTGTTTGGTCTTGGCGCAGGTGGCGGTGCTGGACACTCCTCCTTCCCCCTGCCGCCTGCACCCGGCACCCTTCCGCTGCCCGGAGCCACGGTGCCGTCTAGGGTCTCCCAGGGCTACCACCATCAGCAGCCTGCCGGTTCCAGCCCCCTTGCGACGCCCAATGTATCCGGTGAGGAGGGCCTTCCTTTGTGCACATTGAAATACTAGTTACTTGGCGAGCCCTTCGGGAGCCTTTCAGTAATGTGCCGATCACACGGGCACATTTAGCTTTACTTTTGTCGAGTGCACTCCAGCTGATTGAACGTCACTCTAAGTGTGTGGTGCTATGCATGATGAAAAGCCATCATTCGGTAATCGTGGCAATGACAACGGGTAACATAGTAGGCCCGCAAAATATTTAAGTACCATATTTTTCGGGCTATACACCTTTCGAAGAAACACTCGACCCCAGGGGCAACAAACCGTTTTCGAGCCCAGTCACTGAGTTTGAGGCTAGACTCACACCGGCATCTCTACTAACACTAACCGAGTGGATTGATTTCGATAGGCACAGTTTCAAACACTGCTGGTGGCTAAATCCTTGTCTTTTCCCCCTATTTTGTGTTTCATGGTGTATGTATTTTCCTGAGGACATTGAGAAAGCATTGTACCATATTTGAAAAAGCAAAAAAGAGCTAAAGTATTTTTGTTGGGTACGCATGCAAAAGAACGAAAGCAACTGGAATGTTAGTTGTCGTTTTTTTTTTTCTTGTTACAATAAGTGTTTACGGCACTGCCTGACTAGCTGCATGTTGAACAGCAAAGCGCTTAGCTGTCGAAAATAATTTACAACAGAAGATAGCCGAAAGGCATGCATTTTCACGCTCGCAAATAATGCGTTTACGGATGGGCAGGACATGGGCATACAATTTAGCAAGTTTAACATTCGAACAATATATTGTAAGTACCACACAATGCAGCGCTATCTGTAAAGAATTTATTTGAGAAAGATCTCAAAGAACACAGTCACCGTTGACTAGAGTCATATCTTGATGTTTAGACGGAGTTGAAGATGACTTCGTCTTGGTAAGAGCTTCCTTTTTTCACATCAGCATGAAGGCAAAGGAACAGGCGCGACTGACTCCAACCGGAACAACTATTTTTGGCTATGACTGAGGACTCTACGCGGATTATCTCTGGAAGGGGGGAGAACAAATGTCGTTGTTCACAAAATCGTGTCGAGGGCCGTTCGACGTCCTTCCCCTCCTTCGTTTCCCGTGAATGTCGAGCAGAAGCGCTTCAATGGCAGGCACTTACCGGCCCTATTTCTCACAGTGGAAGATAACACCTAAAGGGTATGCAGCATGCATCAGAAAAATTAAGTGGAAACTTTCACGAGGGGCGAGAAAACGTTAATGCAAGACTGCAAAAAACAGATAGAGAATCTCGCTGAGCGGGTTTCCTCAGTCCAAGAGTGGCAAAAAATTTCTAGTTAATAGGGGGTGTGAGAGTCGCACCAGCCGCATCAGTAACATGGTGGTGCCCTAGGAGTGTTTTTTCGGGAAGGTGTGTAGTCCGCAGGTGCAAATTTGGGGTCAAAAATAAAAGCTTTTGCTTAGACAGTCCGCTCCCGGTGCATAGTTCGCATCTGGTGCTCAGTCGACACGAAAATCTTCATACACGAGACACCTTGACAAAAGTCTGCTTTCTTAGCTCACAAAGAAGCTTGTATATACATAAGTAGTCATTAATATACTCTCTACAAAATCCGTTAACGTCTCGTAAAATGAACAATCTTGAAAAACAAAATTTCTGTATACGTGTAATCATGTATAGTTCACTAATTATAGCCCGGAAAACGCGGTATATGTTCAAATTTCTCGGTAATATTTTCGTCTCGTTTTAAAAACAATTTACGAGAAATTGTTGCATCGCAGTCCGATGCTTTCGTAACAAACTCCGTGGGACCGGCAAAAATGTTTGTCGCACAAGTCACTTTGTTGTAAGGCTTGGCTGTTGAAGCATCTATTACGCAAAATGGAATGGTGGACGGTGGAACTGAGCGACATGGCGTGGTTTCTGTATGGTTCCTTCAATGAAATTTTACTTCGAGTTTGGGGCCACGGGAAGGAAGTTGGGAATCGATCAAGAACTCACTTGTACTGCAGACTGTGACTGTAAACCCAGACGTAAGTGGGCGAATTTAGTTGGGGGACTTACGGCTTGCTCCAACCGAGGCATGTAAGAAAGACGTCTTGCTCAAATGAGTCTTAGCGAAGATCTAAGCACTTGTTAAACAGCTGCCCAGACAGTGAAAAAGGAAGTTGTGGCTACAGGTGAAAAAATTGTGTGATAATAATTTTAAGCAGGTTTGAGTGCTAGGTCTTTGGCATTCTACTATATGTCTTGGTATTTTTCCGGCAGACATCCACTGCGTCTTTAGAATCTAAGAGGTGGACTCTAATGTCTGTTTCTTGATTCATTTTTCCACCCTAAACTAATGGCTGTAGGCTGTTCAAGTCAAGCTTTATTTTTACAGGGAAATGGTGAATGTAAACAAGGCAGACAAAGTAGAACCCCTTTGATACATTTTTCGGAGCACCGCAATAAGCACGGTGTGATCCGGGGAAAGTGTCACAATTGATAATGCTTTCAGAGACCTATAGTCGAGACAGGCAGCAATTCTCACTCAGCAACTTATTTCATTGCACTTTGATGACATGAGAACTGCCATATTTATTCAAATGGAGATTTTTACTTTTGTTTTTTAACTGTTAGTTTTAAAATTTGAGCTTCATCTGTAATCGTATCCAAAGAATGTTGGCCTATAAGAATGAGCAAACTTTCTGAGCTCATCGGGCTAATCAGGTTGAGACGTATCAACGGGGTTCCACTGTACTCGTTTATCTGTGAGGATCAAGTAGTCTGAATTTCATTTACTCATGAGTGTTGTTTTCTCTGCCAGATTCCCGTGCACTCATAGTCCCTGTACCAGTCCTCCTCTACACCGTGTCCGATTTGTAGCGTCTAGTGCTGATCTCTTGCCTAACCTGCGCACACTTTCCAAGCGACTAACCTCGCTGCAGCGGTTGGCCGGTTCTGCCGGGGGGCAGTGTGTCGCCCGTGTGTGCATTTGCCTCTGTGTGTTTCCCCGGGGCTCAGTGTTCTCACCCGGCTTCCCGGTTGCTCTCCATAGAGCCCACGTCCACAAAGTCCTCTCGGAACGCTTCTCCGATTCCCACTCAGCGTTACGATTTCATGGAGGGACAGTTCTCTTCACCCAGGCCGAGTATGTTTCTCCCCCATGTCTGGGCTTCGCTACATGCTGCTGCCCTCTTTTCCTTAGTTGCACTTTCCCAGCCCTCTGCACCTTTTCATGTCAAGCGATTTCTTGTTGGTTGTTCCTTGCATGCGTCCCACAACCTTCATATGTTATCATCATCATCTGGGGGGAGGTTGATATATTTTGGTTTATTTCATCTGTTGGGCACAATGCTTCTAATAGTGCACTCTATTCGTGCTACCCTTGGCGACAGTCTTGAAAACCGCTAGATATTGGCATTCTTTATGCATTAGTACAACGTTCCAACATTTATGGGAATAACAGTATTGTCTCGGACCAGTTGTTCGAGGTTTCTAGGACAAATAGATGACTGTGCCGCTTCTTTTTGATGTTGTATATTTTTGTAGTACAGTAAGTGTACCATTCTAGGAGTTCCAATCCTCTAAACTGCTGAACTCTTCTCTTTTTTTTTTTTTTTTTATGTTAGACTCGATTGCCTGCCTGCCTTGTCTTGCTCTGCTCCCTCAGACGGCATGAATACTGCCCGCTTCTAGGCTTTGCTTGCCTCTGCCTGTCTGCCGTAGAGATTTGTCTTAAATTGAAAACAGCCCTGCTCCTTTTGTTCTTCGGGACCAAGTAGTACAACGCTCTTCCGTTACCCCCTCCCGCCTTTCCCTTTCATGGTAATTAGGCCCGGTGAACCAAGGACCACCCAACGCCAACAGCCATCCGCCGCTCCGTGGACCTCCACCCCCCACCACATTCCGGCCGCCCGTTCCGGGTGCTCCTGGCGCGGGACCGCCGGTTACGGGACCGCTGTTGACGGGCCCCTACGCCTCTGGTCCTCCTCCTTCGGGACCACGCCAAACTGTACCACACCAAACCCAAACTGGACCACATCAAACCCAAACCGGAACACACCAAATTGGACCACCTGCCTCCGTTCCACCACCCTTCTCCGGACCACCCCTGCCTTCTGGACCCCCCGTGTCATCTGGCCCACCCCCGGCCTCAATTCAGAGTTCCCGCGGGGTTCCAACGCTTCCTCCATCTTCTATGGCAACTGGCTTCGGACCACCGGTCTCGAGCGCGAATGTCTATCCGGGTTACGGACCCCCTCCGGGACCTGCGATGGGACCCCCCCCCTCCTGGCGGACCTGGCCTGAGGTATCCCATGGGCCCCCCACCCACGCAGGGCCCCCCGCCCACGCAGGGCCCCCCGCCCACGTCGTCTTCATCCTTCGGGCAGTCGGGATACCAGGGAAGGCCATCATACCCGCAGCAGGTGAGGGAAGCTGTCCTATTGACCAGATCTCGAATAAGACTAAATTGTGACTGATGGGAATCGAAGGCGTATGGTCAGCGACGGATTTCAGAATTGAATAGACCGATGTCACCAAGCGAACTGCGCAGGCGCGCGCATTCCGGAAGTGGTGCCGCCGCCATGCTACTTGTAGTCATCCCTTCCCGGCTTCCCGGCTACATACGGCTGCGCGCACGTACATCATCATAGATCATCAATTGGCACGCCCCGGTATCACCTTGATTCTCTTGTATGTTTTTACTTCATAAGATTGTGTTGTTTGTGATGCCTTACTTTCCTCAGAAAGTGCGGAAAAGCAGTTTCAGTCGTCTTATCGTTTTAGAATCGCTTTGTCGTCTGCTTCGTCGTCGTCTGCTTCTTCGTCTTCGTGAACGCGTAAGCCCACTGCCGTTCACGGGGTAATCCCACTGCAGCCGCGGAAAAAACAAAACAAAAAACAACGGCGCCACTAATCGACCATTCCGACTTCTCGGACGTCTCAATTACCTTACAAACAAGTGAACATCTAGTGCAATAGCAAAGAACAAGAAAATTCAAGGGACAATCGGCTCGGTGTAGCACCACGGAACAGCATCAAATTTGATGAAAAACTGAGCTTGGTGGTGCTCAGTCTTGGGAATAACGTTTATTCAGCCATAAAGTAAGAGGAGCTAACTAGTCTTTCTTGAGAAGCGATAGTTTTCTAGAAGTTGTTTCATTCTGGTTGACAGCCTGTGCGACAGAGTACAGATGAACAGCGGGAGAAGCCTGCACAGAAAGGCCATGCCTGACGCGCCGTAATAGTTGGCATCTATCAAAAAGAAGCAACCATGCCATATACCTGAAAGCTTGGGGTGGAGATGATTTTTCGTGCACAGTTTCTATTCAGTTTTATTTTGTTTGCGCAAGATCTGAACGCTAACAGTCGCCCGACGGGGGAAGCTTTTTTCTGCGGTCTCGACTGGTGCTAATGCAGAATGGATCAGTAACACCAGCCTAATAGACCACCACAAAATGGATGAGGTTCGTTTGTTACATTTTTGGCGGTAAGCACGTGTTGCACTTCTAAATTGCATTATGTAATTTTTTCGCGTAGGTATGGAAAAAAAAACTGAAGGCTGCTTCCGAAAAAAAATTGTTTTATATCAAGTGGTGCCTATCGGGAATCGCTGCTCTTTTTTAGTGATTGTCCTGATCTTTTGAAGCACCGTTGTGCTTGAAACATGTCGTCGCAATACCAGTTATAACCACCAAAATGCACCGAGTAAGAAGTGTATTAAAAACGGCCCCCGCAAAGCGCTGCGGAGGTCCTATTTGAGATAGACCAAGGAATAGGCCGCTACGGAGCAAATGGTGAGAGAGATTCCAGCTTACAGAACACTTCGGCACGCTGTATGTCTCGTGCCCTGTAATCTTACATATTTTAGCTGACTTGCAATAATTGGATATAAATTATGAGGCAAATCGTGAAACAAATCGTAAAACGCTATTTTTCCTGCCGCTCTGTCCGGCTCTGTCGACCTTTCTTTGCCATGCTTCTTTCTTACGGGAAGACATAATATCCGAGGCCTTTTTGCTTGGTGCTGTTATTATAGCTCCGTGGCATACAACATCTGAAGGCACCGATTGAAAACCATGAGTCAACACCTGGCTAAAAGTCTCGTGCTAACCCGAAAATTCCCAAACGCCGGGCGTACAATACGCGCCGACGCGGCCGGAAAACTGGGGAGAACTACAGGTACCAGAATGCACCGCGGCAGCGGTGGCGTCGCGCAACTCCTCGTGAGATCGGTCTATTAGAAGAGGTTACGCTTCGAAAGAGGCTCACAAAATGTGCAGTGTTGGTACGAACGGTGGCACTTTCTAGGTTGTTCGTGTAATTCAACAGAGCTCAGAATATCAATAGGAGGTTAAAGGGCTACTGACATAAACAAAGAATTTGGTTTCCTCCTCACCTCTATGCTTGGCTCATGTGATGCAATTTTTCGTTTTAGAAATGCCTTAGCCCATGTGTTTTGCAGCCAGTCTTGGGCAGTAAGTAGTTACTAATAATGCGTTACCTGTAGCTAGTTACTTTTTCGGTAACTTTTACCTGTAACGCGTTATTCTTTATTCTGATAACTTGTAACTGTAACACTGCAACTTTTTTTAATGGGTAATTGTAACTGTTTAAGCCGTTACAGTTACTTATTTTTACTAAATAAATTAGAACCCAGGGTGGGGACATGGTGAAATCGCCGTCTTGAACAGGGTGTCTAACGACCGGGAAAATCGAAAATTGTCAGGGAAATTTCAATTACCGGGAAAATCGGCGAATTGTCAGGGATGTTGTCAAAAAACGAGCCGAGTCAGGGAAAATGAGCCGGAAACGCCATCGAGTGCCCTGAGCAAAGATTTAAGGGCTTGGGGGCAGAAAAATAGGCAATAAATTCGGCTTGAAACGGAGCGCAGGCTCTGCTCACCCGATGTAGAGTGTGCAACCCGACGCAAAGGGAACGGCCGACAAATGCAGTCCAAGCCTTGGATTACGTTGGATAGAGGGCGCGGTTAGAGCTACTAGATTTGGTAACAAATGGAAAAGCCGTAGAAGCCATAGAGCCCAATCCAATCCAAGCTTTAAAGGGGCACTGACACCCCAAAGGTCGTATTTATTTTTATTGTCTAAAACGATGCAAGTTGCAGTCATAGACACGCAAAAAAAACTGCATCGCGAAAAAAAACTTTCCCGCGCGCGCGCGCGCCTTTTTATTTTTGGCGTTTGATTTTCCCGCCTCTCGCCTCCTCGCTTCTTTTGATCGGTGACGTCAAGAATCATGAAATTTAGAAGCTTTGTAGGCGACATCTCTATAACATTTAATTACGGAAATTCAAAAACATGTTTTTTAACGCAATTGCGAACGCAGTACGGCCCTTCTTTTTGAAATACCAAAAATCGGGAGTTCGTTGTGGTGCCGTCTCCTGGATTTGTATCCTCCAACGGAAAACAGGCGACACCGCTCAAAACCGGTCCGCCGGAACGCCGCCGCTCGCTCCTTTCCTCCTCGCTTTGGGTCGCCATGGCAACAGCAGGGAGTGGTGAAAGAAAGGGGACTCTCAGGTCTCCGCAATTTTTGACGTCAAGGCACCGGCGCCGATCGCGCGGGAACTTCGAATTCGGCATTTGGAAATTGTTTTTTTACTTCACGAATACTGAATTTCCAAATTTCAAATTTTGAGGGTAATGTCCCGGCATCGTTTTCAATCGTTTCGGATAATAAAAAAAAAAATGATTTTGATGTGTCAGTGCCCCTTTAAACCGAAAGTACCCGAAAGTGTGCATATGGCGGCCATGCTGCCATTTGGTTGCTGACGTGTGTGGTTGAGCGTCGTGTTTTCATTGTGTTTTTGTAAGTGGCCTTTTCACTGACTATGTCGGCAGCAAGAAAGTGCTAGTTTAATTTGGACCGGACAAACCCGAATATTTTGGAATACGCGAGTTGTATTAAGCCCATGCAAAATAATCCTCACAGTGCTCAATGTCTTGTGTTGTAATGGTCTTATATATTTAACCGCCTCTACAGTGGTTAGGGAATTTCACCTGAAATTGTCAGGGAAAACTTGGAAAAGTCAGGGAATTTCAAAATAGTAATTTGCTAGACACCTTGTTGAAGTATTTTTCTCAGAACTACTTGCTGACAAAAAACAAAACAAAACAAAGGAACATCAAGCGTGGGGCCACGCATTATACAAACAAAAAATTGCCTGGTACGGACGAGTCAGCACGAAACCGGGAGATAAAGGAAGACTGCGCCCGCGGTGGTAGGGCCGGCAAGGAATCTGTCTGTTTTACTGACTTTAGCTCACTCTTCTCCTGTGGGGAGGGAGCATCTGCGGGTGTCAGTGGTAGTTCGACATGTCTTCGAGCATTCCGTCAGGGCTGTGTTTGCACCGCCCTCCCCTTCCCCTTTGTCTGATTTGTCCGTGCTTTCGTTTTCATACTCAGCCGGTTGCCAGTTCCTCTTCCCTATTAGTTTTCAAGGAAGCCGTCCCCATATTGTGCCGAAAGCCGGCGCTTGTTTAATTTGTTCATTCTCTTTGGAGCCGCTCGAGTAAACACGAAGGCAGGTTCAGGTGTAATTTCCTTTTTCGTTGATAGCTTCAAGAAACACCCCACTGGAAGGACACTTTGTTGTGGAACCTATGCAGTGCTCCAGATGAAGCGATTTCCCGAGAAACATGTTTCTTAAAGGGCGATTCCGCTTCATTTTTGTTTCTGAAAAAACAATGCAGTCCTCTTTGTTATCACCTAGGAAGACCATGCATCAAATATTATGACCTAGTTCTGTCCAAAAGCTTCTAAAACGGTGTGGCAAACTTCACAACTTGCCATGTTTCCGAAATCGGCTGATCTGAGCGGGCGAATTGAGGCGGGGGGGGGGGGGGGCAAACAACAGGCGCAGTTAAGGATACGGCGTGGGCGTAGCCAACATTGCGCTAAACGTCATCATCATTGCCCCTTTCAGCCTGTTTTTACTTCTCCGGGAAAGCGTAACGGGTGACGTCAGCGACGTTTCCTCTCGGTGCTCAGCGGCGTCCACGTGATTGGTGTAACGCGTCCCGTCATGGTCCCGCCGTTACCGCCGTGTCCGGTCACAACCACCGTCGTCATCTCACTGTCTGTGATTATTATTTTGGAGTTTCGTTCACACTACGGACACTACGTGCGCAGACTCATGCTGCAGTTGTGCAGACGTCGTCGAATGTTGTAGACACCAAAACGTGGTGAAGAGTGCGATGCAGACGACATTGCGCCTGGCAAACGCCTGCCCCCCCCCCCCCCCCCCCCCCCCCCCATCCCGCTTGTCATTGCGTAGAGCAGTGGTTCTCAAATGGGAGTTCGCGAAGGCGTTCTAGGGGTCCGCAAAGCTCTGCCTCATCAACCAAGCACGGCAATAAAAAGTCTTTCCTCAGATTGAGAAGAAACGTTCCAATTTTTGGGCGAGTTTTCTAGTGTATATGTCAATAAGAGAAGTCTACTTCACACTATCCTTTAGTTATGTCCATTTATAAAATCACTATCGTAAATAACCTATACCTTTTCCTTCCCCTTACCATGAACGGGGTTTTTCATTATCTCCGCCGATTTGCAAGGGGTCTGCGAAACATCAAGGGTTGAGAACCACTGGCGTAGAGGATCATGTGACATCTCGTACCACGTGATAGCCATGTTCTTGGCGGCCTGAAGGCAATGTTGCCGGACGGAGCGGAGGTTTCGGTTTTCATTTCTGTTCATGTTTAAAATTAGATTTAAAAATGTATATTTTATATTTGGCGAATTAAAGGACGAAGTGTCTTTTACTAGGGATTTTTAATGCGAAATCACTGATTATCTTGAAATATTCGGAATTGAGCGGTGTTGCCCTTTAATTGAAAAAAAAAAACAAAAACAAAAAAAAAAAAACGCTGTTTTTGATGCTTGTATGCGGACTGATCTTCCACAGATGGCATTTCGGACAGAGACATTGCGGTGGTCGTTGTACACTCGTAGAGCACCAGAATGCCTCACTCCTTTCCGCCTATATTCTTTCGAAGCTGTTTGACCTGCTATGTTTAGGCCTGCTTGCGAGTATATCCCATAAGGTAATTATGTGACCATCTGTGTCCTCATTCGTTTCGAAGCGAAAAATTAACAAAAATGTTCATTGACGTTGGCCGAGGACAATTTTGAGAAACAGTTGATTCTAAGTTATGACAATTATTGCAAATAAATTATGCACATCAAAATGCTGAGATGGCAAATGACGCGAAAAAAGAAACACTCTTCGAGTTTAAATCTTTATAATTTCTCAGTTTACCTTTCTTCTCACTATAGTATAAGAAATAAAATAATATTTTTTGGGTCTGATTTATTGTGTCCACTTTTTGTACTGGAACGAGAAAGTAACGGCGTTACTGTTTTTGCAGTAGCTGTAGCACATTCCTTTTTGAAGCCGGTAACTGTAACTGAGTTACTTTTTCCCCCAGGTAACTGTAACTGTAACACAGTTACTTTTTACTGGTAACATGCCCATGACTGTTTGCAGCAAAGGGATGTAAAGCGCACAAAATAAGAAGGTACTCGGCTTTATGCGAGTATGCACATGCCGAGTGAACGAAAGTTTAATGCTTTAGACACTCGCGAACCAAGCTTTGGGGCACTAGGTTTAGCCTAGGCCAAGTCATTTAGACGAGGCAAGCATCGACGCGCAGGCAGATAGATAAATGCTGACACATTTCTTTGGGTACCGCTAAAAGATTGGCTAGCCGCTCTTCTTTCTTTTACATGTAACAACACAGCTGGAGCATGGCAGATAAAAACTGCTCATCAAACGAAAACTTAAGAAAGATGCAAGAAAATTTTCAGCCATGTGTGTATACCAGCCCACTTACTTTTCTGTGTTACTGGACAAGCAAAAGAATGCAGAACCATGGCTGAAATTAGGCAACCTTGATCACATGCCATGAAAGTTTTATTCTCACTGTGTTGCCTGTCCACATTGAGCCACTTCGGGGAAACCATACCTTTTCTCGCTTTCCGAGTCAGTTAATGAGAAGTGTGGAAGAGTGCGGCGACCGCAGGGCCTCCTGGAGGGGGCAACACTGCCTATGGCTACATACCGTAAAATACCGGGCAAGTGCTCACTCAAAATTTAGAGATGATCGCGAAAAAATGGAGGTGGGCGCTGTCCGGTCATCAGTTTTACGTATCGGTGTATTGTGCATATTTCCTCAGATCTTACAAATTTGGGAATGGGCGCTTGGTGTGGAATGGGCGGATGCGTGGTATTCTACAATAGCTACGGTGCTCCACAAAAAACGATGCGCGGCGCATTAAAAAATTGCGTCGCACCGTGAATTAAGAAAAGGGATTGAGCGCTGCCTGGTCTCTCTCGTCTATCCTTCTTTCTCGTGTTTGCGCTGTTAATACCACATAATGCAACTTATGCACCAGAAATATACGATAGTAATATTTACCCTGTAAGAGAAAACTGAATTTTTTGCTGCCTTCAGTTTCACCACTTTACAATGACTATTTGCAATCGGGAATCTCGAGAACATTATTATTTTGTTTTTGATAATTGGCAGTGTTGGAGTGCCTATTAAGTCCATCTTATATATCTTTGTTATAAAGTCAGCTTCACTTTCAGTTACATCACATTATAAAACAAGCAAAACTTTTGCTAGCATAGTCACCGACAAAATGAGAACAGCAGGGCGTCGTTTTCAAATGCCCTGCCTCCAGCAGTCTGCCATGCATTTGCGCACGCACGCTCCGAGCTCATGGGATGCGGAAGCGTTACGGAAAGTAGTGAGCTTGTGTTAGAGAAGTTACGACTGAAAGACCTCCTCGCCACTCTCGTTCTGTCGACGACTGCAAATCTGGTCGTTACCGACAATCTCCGACCGTGACGCGACCATCGCCAAGATACACTGGCTGCGTTGCAGTCGGGTTTTGTTGCTTGCTGTGCTTGCTGACAAACGTGCACCTTCAAAGTGGCGCACCTCCCTGGCCGCAGTTGGGGTACAGCCAGCAGGGTCCCCCGCCGCCCCAGTCCACGGGCCACCCGCACCGGGACGCGGCGGGTGTTGCGCCCCCTCCGCCCATGTACAACACCCAGAACCAGCACGGCCTGGAGCCGCCCCCGGGTGGGGTGACCGGCTACGACGCCGAGCTGCACTCCCGCATGACGGGCATGAGCATCAACGGCAGCTTCAGCAAGCTCTGGGTGAGCCTGTCTTGGATGGCTTTCCTCTCAGACTCTGGAGGTAGCATCACGGCACTCTTTCCGTCGTGAGCAAGAGGGACTATGGGGGGGGGATTCGGCGGACACTAAAAAATCCTTATACCAGAAAGAAAAAAAAATATATTTTTTTCCTTGATTTTTTTTTATAGTCTTGGATCGCTAGGTGATATCTGGGGGCCCCCTACTGAGTTCAGTAAAGAGTCCTTGGATGTGAATAATTTGCAGTTGTCAGGAAGACAGGATGTGTCCACTTTCTGCTTTTTTAGCCACACGTCTTCCTTAACCCTTGAAGAGCCGGGTTTCTTTCCCGCATTTCGAACAGAAATTTCGGTCCCGTGCTCAAAGACCGTAGCATGCTTTATGAAGTGTATTTATATATGGAAGACACACTGATCTATGGCTTTAAAGATAGTCGATGTCCGCGTGTCTCCAACCTAGGATATTTTTCTTGAATTCTACTTTTCTGGATGCGGTACCGTACACAGTGACATCCCGGCCTTGCACCCTGGGGTCACACTTTTCGAGTGGCCTTAAATGACATTTTTTTATTTGGAACTGGGACTTTCTTACCTAGTCCATTACTATAGATTCGTTAATGACTAATTTCTAGATCTCGGTGTTCACCAGTGAAAGCTTGAGGTTGGAACGAAATTTTTATTGCCTTTCTGGAGCAACGAAAGAGCAAACCGAGACAGAAGTTTCCTAATCAAGACTTTCCACATGCCGTCAACAGGTGTTGTTACAAGACAAAACATTGCTCGCGCGCTTAAAAATTGACAGCCCAGTTGGGACAGCTAGGGAGCAAGTTGAAACTGTAACCTGCACGGAGCATGCCCGAGTATACTCACGCTCAAAGAGCTAAGGCCTGTTCACACAAGCATTGCAGCGCTAAATCAACACTGGGGACAGCGCTGGTGCAGTGTTGACTTGAACATAACTTGGCAGTTACACAGTACTATATCACTAATATGACGCAAAGTCGGCTCTGTATCGGTATGGTCGATTTACCAGCTCTAACTAAATATTTTGTTCCCCCCAAGTTGACAGTGCGGTGGAAGCTAGGAGCTTGTTGAACCAGTTGTAGGCCTATCTTTTGCCACGTGATCACGCTCTCCTGCCGATACCCATACACAACGGGGTCAGGTGATGAAAGGGAGGCGGTTGATGGGTCCGGCAAGCGTGAATGGGGTGAATGGAGTATAGGAGCTGTGAGTTAGCATTGCGGTCTATGTGTAGACGGGCCCTATTCAGGCAATAGTGTTTCACTTGGTTTGACAATGTTGTGAAAGCTTACGCCGGATTACAACCACGTGTCGCCGGTACACCTGCGCTTCATGGGAAGCATAGGAGCCAATTTAAGGAGTAGTGTGGGAAGTAAGAAAACATAGTCGAATGGTACTGAGATAATAGACCTTTAAACTGAGCAACCTTTTTAAAGGGACGCGAGTCCACGGATGAGTGAGACGCGGCCGTATCGAGCTGTTGTTTTGCTGAGTGGCTCGCTCGTGAATTGTTCGTCTTGGGAGTGTTGCGCACCTGACAGTAAATCACGTGGCTTCCCCGACAGGGCTACGAACCGTGCAACCTGCTTCAGGACCGCAATATTCTTCCCAAGGCTCCGGAGGAAGCCCCCCGGCCCACCCTTCCGGGCGAAGGGGCCAACTGCTCGCCCGAGTAAGCTCGTTTTCAACTAGTAGCATTTTCTTGTTTCTTTTTTTCTGTTTTGTACGGAACATATCTTCCGTTTTTCGAGATCGCTCGCAAAAGACAAGCTCTCGAATGGGGAATCTTGGCCTTGGTTTGTAGATTTGAAAGGCTCTGAAAGAAATTCCTCTCAACACCTTTGATTGTTATATTGAGCCTTGCCTATATAATACCTGTATCATACTAATGGTGGCCCCATGGTGGCTAATGAGGAAATACGTTAGAGAACACGTGCCTGAGCTGATGTCGCGAGGCTCGCATATCTCGTGCGAGCCATTTGTTTTTGTGTCACAGCTCGTTTTCTGCTATCAAGTCTGAATTGGAACAATAGCCAACAGTGGCTAGTGGAGAAAAGACTTCCGTGAGCCATCACCTCTAGGAGTTGGTGTCCAATTTTACTGTAGCTTTATCTTGATTACAGCATTTAGTATGACAACAGTTCTCAGCTGTCTGGGCTGTGATGATATCTTAGTTCTTTAGAAGAGGACTATAAACCCTTTCACAAATTCAGTGCCATCTAGTGGCTAGAATATCAGTTCAAATTGTTATATGCTGATGGTTCACAAAGTCTGGTACCTATTAATTAACAATAGAAATATCAAAATTAATTTTTTTGTTTTTCCCCGCTGGACGGTTATTTCTTTGTGTGCTTCAGTTTCGAGGGTGTCAAAAAACAATTGTGTGTGAGGCACTTCTGAGTAAAGCTCTTGATAAAATTCACATTTTAATTGTTATGATCTGTCTGTGGCGAGCCAAAGCCAAGCATTCCAGTGTCACCCTCAACTGTGTAGCGCATAGAAGCTTACAAGTCTCATCATGGTGACATCAAACAACAATACAGTGAACTAGTGTCTGGATGCTCAAGCTTCGCATCGGCTTCTGTCTCCAAATTCTTCCTTCTCAAGCCATCAAAAGGCCGCCATTAGAATGTACAGATGATACTCACTTAGGAAATGATATCTATTGAAGTGGCCAAACTGAATTTTGGAGAGGGCCTATTCCGCTCTTCCTTCCGATTCAGGCGAGAAAAATTGTAAGTATGTGCGGGAAGAGTGTGCTGTTGCAGCGGTGCTGCTTGTACCGCATCATCTGCTGACTACCGTCATTCATTGGTTTCTCTCTTCTCTCCAGAATTTTCAGGTGTACCCTGACCAAGATCCCGGAGACGCAGTCGCTCTTACAAAAGGCCCGCCTACCCCTAGGAATTCTAATTCACCCCTTCCGGGACGTCGACGTAAGTGCTGGTTTTACGTTGCCGTTCTAACTGTTGCACCGCTGCGATTATGTTGTACATTAGTGTTGCAAAGTGTACTTGGGTGCCTGCTTTCCCGCTTTGCTTTCCATTATTGCAATTTGGCACTCCTACACTCTGTCGAGAAGTTGAAATGTTCAAAACGATTGCATATCCCATGCGTCTGAAAAAGCACCTATGAAGCTCCACACGCTTTTGTAAGGGTACTAGTGCTGTCTTTTTCTTTTTTTTAGTTTGGTCTAGTGATTAGCAGGGAAGTTGTTTGCAAACTAAAGTTCTTTCCGAATCTCGTTTTTTGCAGCACCTCCCGGTGATTCAGAGCAGTACCATCGTGAGGTGCCGGTCGTGCCGTACGTACATCAATCCCTACGTCCAGTTCGTCGAGCGGCAAAAATGGAAATGCAACATCTGTTTCCGAATCAATGCACGTGAGTTATCCTTTGTTTCGGTTTACAACGTGAAGGTGTCGACTTAAGCTCGCCCTCATTTTTCCTTTTGTTCGCAACGTCTGCGCAGTGCCCGAAGACTTCATGTTTGACCCGTCGAGTCGGAAGTATGGAGACCCCGAGCGGCGGCCTGAGGTCCGGCATGCCACGGTTGAGTTCATTGCACCATCCGAATACATGGTGAGGAGCCGGTGGCCGACGACCCTGTTGCTAATTATGGTTGAAGTGTGGTATTTGGGGCACCGACCACGCCAAACTCTTGAATGTTCCCGGAAGTTGCTTAGGGCAAAGTGTAGACAAGCTCTGGGGCTCATTGAGTGTGCAATTGAGTGCAGTATCCTAGCCTTTACTTGAAGTTGGTACGACTTTAGCTATGTGATAGAGGGTTTAACTGGCATGAACCGAGTCCAGCTCATTATTGAGGCTTTTGCCTCTCGTACGCATGCTGACGGTTTCGTCTGTTGGGTTTCGATTTGTAGCCCTCAGAAATTCACAAGTTCTGCAATAGTGTCCACCTCTGTGATTTGGGCAGTGTTTTGTCAGTTATGAAGCTAACCTGTCCGTTGTTGACGGCTCACAACGAAGCGTAACAGCTGTCTTGCGCAGAATGGCTAGCCTTATTTCCGCTGCGCGTTCCGTTGGATTGGATGAACTCGGCTGACAACTACATTCACGTTCGCCTCTCTTTGCAGTTGCGACCCCCGCAGCCTGCCGTCTACCTATTTGTCCTGGACGTCTCGCACGGTGCAATTCAGACAGGTTCGTCAGCACGCTTCATCTATACACGAGAATTACATGTTTGCCTGTTGTTGTGCTGCCTTTGCTACTGCAAGCGCTAGAATTAGAGGCAATTAATGAAGCAACAATCTTGCCGGCATTTCTGATTGGTTGGGGCTTGTTTCAGGGTACCTGTCGTGTTTCTGCAAGGTGCTCCTGGAAGAGCTGGACAACATTCCGGGTGACAGTAGGACGCAGGTGGGCTTCATCACGTTTGACTCATCGGTGCACTTCTACAACCTGGGGGAGGGACTCAGCCAGCCCCAGATGCTGCTGGTGTCGGACATCGAAGGTGACACGCACTTCCCTGTTGAGTTTCCGAGAGCTGTGCGTCTCCTCTCTCTGCTGGATGGTGCAGAGTGGTCGGAGCTATACTTCGTCGCTTGAGCTCCATGCACAGTGATTCCTTTGATGGTGTTAGACACAATTTATGGAATGAAATATAAAGTAGCATGCACATTGGAACAGGTTTGATTGACAGCTTCTTGTGGGGAGGGTAAAGGAAGGGAGCGAGGAGCAGCAGTGAAGGCTCCTTAACTTGGAATTTCAAGAAAGTGCCAAAAGAGGTAGAATACGGCAACTTCTCTCCAGGAAAGCTTACATAAACTGCTTAAAGCATTCCATGCAGTTTGTGCGGATAGATGGTGAATTGGACATTTTTAAGCTTTTTGTTGGACATTGTCAGTTGTTTTAAAACAGTGGTGTTGAAGGCACTAAGCTTTTACAGTACGGGCAAGGTTTGTTAGGCATGACTGCCCTTGGACAAGGGATGAAAAATAAAGTGGTTTATGACCATTAATGAAGTAAGCAGTTCTCATTGTTCCGGTTACCTTTTTATATTATTTCTGGTTCAGACGTGTTATGGCATTTGTGACAGGATTGTAGGACTAATTTTGCTTACTAGTTTTTCTTTTTCATAGATGTGTTCCTGCCATCTCCGGACAGCCTACTTGTCAACATTGCTGAATGCAGAGGGGTGAGTTCGTTCATGCCACTTGTGTAACCTTTCGATGATGAGGCCAGTTTGAAATGTAGCCTCACAAGTCCGCAACAATCTCATCTTTCAATAAACACTTATGAGCAGTCTTTTCTCTTATCCTACTTCCAATTAACTTTTGGGTTTCTCTCTGTCTTGCTCCTGAAATTCTTTAAAAGCTTTTAATAAAAACTTAAAGTGGAGAGGTTGCAAATTCCAATAATGGTCAGCTTTGTCAGTTCCTTGGTGGGGAAGCACTCTGAACTGTGTCTGGACTGGGAAAGGGGTGACTGTTTGAGTCGATCTTTGCTTCAGCTGGTGCAAGAGCTGCTGACAAACCTGCCTGCCATCCACGCGCACAACGGCGAGCCCACAAGTGCACTGGGTGCGGCTGTCCAGGCGGCGTACAAGCTCATGGTTAGTCCCATTGTCATTCTCTCGAAGGAATGGTTGCCAAACTCTGGCATCGCAGACCGAACCTACCGTTTGCACAATTTCCCCTCTGGTGTGTTTCTGAACCTTGCTAAACGAATTGCTATAATTCTCGGAGAATTAATGTTTCTCTGCATTCTCGTGCCTCGGTTTCAGAGCCCCGTTGGTGGAAGGGTGTCCGTCTTCCAGACCTGCCTTCCCAACGTGGGGCCTGGGAACCTGAAGCCCAGGGAAGACCCCAACCAGAGGGCTGGAAAGGTGAGGCCTTGGTTTCTTTGCATTCGTTCTTGCACTCCAGTGTGTATTACCCAAATTACTCCGAATGTCTCTAAAGGCACCTGGAAAAGAGGAGTTGAACTACAGCTTCTCATATAGCTAGAGACTCAAGTATGTATAGCTTCCTAATGTGCTTTTGCTGTAAGAGTTCATGAATGGGACCTCCTTCAGAGGCACCTGCAGTCGCTAGTTGAAGGCTTCTATCTGGAATGTAGATGAAACTTCCTCGACGGAGTAGTACTGAGAGGTTGAAAAAGAAGCCGAAGTGATTTGCAAAGTTATCTTTTGTGGTTGGAAGGAGTGTCCTCCTCAGTACATAGTATATGAGTGGGTGGATTTTACCATGTTGTAAAAAGATGGGTTTGTAGTGAGCAGGTAGTAGCAGAAATTGGAGCTCGTTCGATGAGTTTCCAACTGGAGTGTTGGTGATCTTTACAGGAAATTGCTAACTTGCTGCCTGCCATTGACTTCTACAAGAAGCTGGCGCTAGACTGCTCTGGCCAGCAGGTTGCAGTGGACCTCTTTCTCATGGGGGCCCAGTACATGGACGTCGCAAGTCTAGGTGGGTGTTTACTCTTGCGTGGAGCACCTTTGTGTTTACTTTTAAGAGAACAGACCTAAAAAATTAGATTTTTGGTATGATGTGCCGTGCTTAATTTGAGTCTTTCCGGGTTTGCAGATCCATTGTTCAATGTATCCTGCCGTAATTTTGTCGCAGGGGTACTCCAATAAGATTGCATTTATTTTTGGTAGTAAAATCTTGGAAGAACTTATGAAGAATTCAGAAAGGAAGTTTGTGCTTTTGTGTCTTGTGGTGAGACAGCGGAAGGCAATCTCTCTTTGTACACAGTGTAAATTATGTTGCTACAGAAGCCACATGGACGGTGGAAGCTATGTTGGCATGATAGTTTTTAAGGATCGTCAGAAACTGTTAACTGAGTATCAGCACCAGGACAGCATGGGGGATGGCAAGGACTGTGTCATTTTCCAGTTTAGAGTACCCTTAGAATTACCCTTAGGAAGAGGTGAAGTAGCCTGTTTTATTAACCCTTTCTCCCCTTCGCCAGCCTGCATCTCCAAGTACTCGGCGGGCTGCATCAACTACTACCCAGGCCTCCACAGCACGCTGAACAAGGGGCAGATGGAAAAGTTTGAGGCTGAGCTCCGGTACTACGTCACCCGCAAGATTGGTTTCGAAGCGGTCATGAGGATACGCTGCACGAAAGGCAAGCTATTCATGACTTGAATTTTTGTACTTTGTGGAGTGGTACAGACCGAACGCAGATAATAGGGAGTTTTAGAATAACGTACGCAATTTTAGCGCACGCTAGCGCTAAATTTAGCGCTTGTATTAGCGCACGCGACGCAAGAGAGTTTTAGAATAGCGTTTCTCCGCCGCGACGCTAAAAAGCATCTCGCGCTTGCGACGCCACCAAGATACAGTAAAAAATTTTATTTCATACACGAAATGCTGCAACTTTAGAAAAAAAAGAGTTTTTTGGTCCAGAGTAGCATTTTAATTTGTTTAAACATGAGAACGCGACGTGAGCGGTTGAGCGGTCGTGTCCGCTTGCGTCGCCTCGGCAAGAGAGGTCTCGTGTACTGACCTTCGCACATCATACCTTCGCCGTGAAATGTTCGCGCGTCACAAGCATCAAGTTGTCGGTAATCGCTGCCAAACCGAGTACAATGTCGTCCTCTATTGAAAATTGCAGTCGCGAGGATACCGCCGACGTCGCACTCACGAATCCACGAAGCCAAAGCAGCCGCCGACATAATCCTGGAAGCCGCCATGTTTTTTTAACTGTGCTCGTCTTGGATTTAGCCAACTTCTCATCACGAATCCTCCTAGGAGAAGCGCAAAGACTCTTTGCGTACGCACGCTATTTCCGAGAAATAGCGCACGCTAAAATTGCGCACGCAAAGCGCAAAACCTGGTTTGCGTTCGGAGCATGCGCAGTGGCGACGACGCTATTCTTTGCGTACGCAAAGCTTTAGCGTGCGCTATTCTAAAACTCCCTAATGAGGCTCTTCATTCAGCTTTTACCTTTGCATACAAGGTCGAGTAAATATCTTCCGACAAATTGATTACTTTTAGTGGTGCCTTAAAAATGTGGCCCTAAAACTAAAAACAAAAAGTAAGGGCGTACAAGAAAAGAGGTATATTTACAAAGAGGACAGTTTGTCTCCTAAATGAATCGGTGATTTATGCCAAGATTTGGTACTCTCGTGCAGCACGATCATACTAAGTAGAGGATCATAGATTGTCAAGTATTATTAAGCTGCCCCAGGTTTTTTTTAGTTATTTTCTTGTACACGAAAGAAGATTGAGTGTGCAGGTGAGCTGGTGAATATTAGGCAACATAATAAAACTGGAGACACGGAAACAAAAAGGACTTGCACAGCACCGTCTCGGTGTTGTGTACGTCCATTTTGTTTCCGCCTCTTCGGTTTTATTATGTTGTCTTGTACATGCCAGCTGTGAGTCGAGAACTTTTACTTTTTCTAATAGCTACTATAACAAACATTTAGTGTGGCCTACAAGTAGGGTTCCATATTTTCGGATAAATCCTAAAAAATCTAAATTACACTCGCCGGTGAATTTTCCGTCAATTTGGATTTATCCGAAAAATTCAAAATTTTGAGGTCACAGCGACAAAACAAGAAAAAGCAAAAAAGACAGTGTTTTACGAGTAAACTTTTTAAGTGCACAGGGTTGGTTGTCCGGAGGACGTGGCATTATGGTTTACTTTAAAGGGGCACTGACACATCAAAATCATATTTTTTTTATTATCCAAAACGGTTGAAAACGATGCCGGGACATTACCCTCAAAATTTGAAATTTGGGAATTCAGTATTTGTGAAGTAAAAAAACAATTTCCAAATGCCGAATTCGAAGTTCCCGCGCGATCGGCGCCGGTGCCTTGACGTCAAAAATTGCGGAGACCTGAGAGTCCCCTTTCCTGTCACCACTCCCTGCTGTTGCCATGGCGACCCAAAGCGAGGATGATAGGAGCGAGCGCCGGCTCGCGCCGGCGTTGCGGCGGACCGGTTTTGAGCGGTGTCGCCTGTTTTCCGTTGGAGGATACAAATCCAGGAGACGGCACCACAACAAACTCCCGATTTTTGGTATTTCAAAAAGAAGGGACGTAGTGCGTTCGCAATTGCGTTAAAAAACATGTTTTAGGATTGCCGTCATTAAATGTTATAAAGATGCCGCCTACAAAGCTTCTAAATTTCCTGATTTTTGACGTCGCCGATCAAAAGAAGCGAGGAGGCGAGAGGCGGGAAAATCAAACTCCAAAAATAAAAAAACGCGCGTGCGCGCGGGAAAATTTTTTTTCGCGATGCGGTTTTTTTTTGCTGTCTATGGCTGCAACTTGCATCGTTTTAGACAATAAAAATAAATACGACCTTTGGGGTGTCAGTGCCCCTTTAAAATCTTGGAACTGCTGACAAAAAGGGTTTGCCTTTTAGCTCGTCAGTGTTCCTTCAGAACTGTGGGTCATGGTAACGAGACATGTAGTTGGGCTAGTTGGTACCCAAACTTCGTTTATATCGTTTTTGAATTTTTTAAAAATTGGGATTAGAATTTTAGAAAATTGGAAAACTCCGAAAATACCCTCCGAATTTTACGAGACATAAACTCAGAAAATGGAATCCTACCTGTGAGATATTAAAATTCTGGAAACTGCCCTCCAAGTTGATTAACATGTCTGGTTCATGTGACCGACTCTGATTGACGACTGACCGTTGCGCATGCTTGCTGCTTGCACGATGCAGGGCTGATGATCCATACCTTCCACGGCAACTTCTTTGTCCGGTCGACCGACCTGTTGTCTCTGCCCAATGTGAATCCGGACGCCGGCTTCGGAATGCAGATCGCCATCGAGGAGAGCCTGACCGATTGCAACCTGGCCTGCTTCCAGGCTGCCGTGCTGTACACCTCGAGCCGGGGTTGGTACACGGTCTCAGTCGAAATATGCCGGCCCAGACCGCCTTTGTATCTAGCCAGAAGTACTGGGTAGGCGATCTTTCGGGAACAGGTGTTCGTTCGGGACTTTACAATAATTACGGTACTTTTCTTTTGCTTTGAACAGACCCCCGAAAACTTGAGAATTCTGAAATTAAGGGGGGGTGGGAGAGACGGTAGTTCTCATCGTTTGAGCCTAAGTTGAGCTTACTCAGTGCCCTCAAATTTTGCGCAATATAAAACTTGTCGAAATGAGACTTTATGCGAATGAAGAAAAAACCTGCGTTAAAAGACCAGGGCTCGATCGTAGCAGGGTTACGATGCATACGAGGAGAGTGGATGCAGTCTTGAACATTGACAAGCTGTACTCGCCGAACATTCTCAGGGAGGTACTACAGCGGTACCTCTCCAAGTTGGCAGCTTGAACGAGGTGCACTGCATTAAAATTGCATTCGAGAGTTCCACGATTACCATTATTTGGTTATTAGCGAGTGCAGCTCGTGCCTTTTTCTTTTCTTTTTACCATTAGCATTGTTTGTTTTTTTTGTTTTTTTTTAGGGGGGGGAGAGGGAACATGGCAGCATACTACCGAAGGAGATACAGGCAGGATGTCTTTTGAGGATTTCGCTTGAAGCATTAATTTAGCATAAAGTGACCATTTTCTGGGTAATTTTTGACCCCTCCCTTTACGACTCTGTGTCCATGCTTGTGGGACCCAGAGCCACGAGCGGAGGAACAAAAACTGCACCACTTGTACACCCTCATCACACTTTCTGACGCACGTGTCGTCGTGTATCAGAGCTGGGGGGCCATGTGCAACAGAAAAACTGCCTACTGTCTATGCGGTGGTTGACCTCCTATTAAGAATTATTTTAGGGTTTATGGCTTGCAAAACAAACTCTAGAACTTGAAATGATGAACCTGGGACAGTTGAAAACTATTGTAAGGTTTCGACATTGTTTCTACTTTTCTGGCATCATTTGCTTAAATGTCTAGCGAGATCTTTTATCTCATTGGTACAGCATTTGTAGGTATCTTCAAGCTAGTGGTCTCCTGTCCTGAAGGTATCGTGTCAACAAAGAAGTTTGAGATACGACGCTTTGAGGTAGGATGCAGAAATAAGCACGGGAAGGAGAGGGGGAGGGACAACTACTGTCTGAAAGGTGGTGTTTTGTTCTTTCTTGTGTACTTTGTGTCCAGTCTTTTTGGCACAGTCACATATCTCTGGCTTGTCCGTGCTTCGACTCTTATTTCATTACTCGATGCTTTTCTGGCATCTTCATGGGGTTAACCTGATTTGTGTTTGTATTGGGTCATTCAAGAAGTCAGTGGTTTGAAATCAAGTTTCATTACTGAAAGACTGGGAAAGATGATGTTCGGCGACTTTCTCTCCAAATTTTGTGCCGCAGAAGGCGAGTGCGTGCTTGTTTCTCTGAGGCCATTCTCTCGTGGATTGTGCAGGGGAGAGGAGAATCCGGGTGCACACACTAAGCCTCCCTGTCACGGCGCTGCTCCAGGACATTCTGGGCTCCATCGATCAAGAGGCTGTGGTGGGGCTGCTCTGTAAAATGGGTGCGTCTGTCATTTCTTTCTGTTTCCTGGCCACCTCGGTCAAGGTGTGGCTGTGCCGGTGACCTTCAAGCGTCCGAAGAGTGTAAGACTTAACTGCGTTCGGGGTAACTGCAGTATGCACATTACGGGACCTCCAGGTGGGCCAAATCACCCCCCGGCGACTCTGCTTATATCCGACATACTCTGCCGCTTTGCAACATGAATTTATCTGTTGTTTTTTTTGTGCAGTAAAACCTCGTTAATTCAGCCCCTGCTAACTCAGATAATTTGAACTGCCAATCCGGTCCTGTCAAACGTTTGTATTAGTCAATGGCACCAAACGCTCATTAATTCGAAGGCAATTGGACGCGCTATGGTTAATTTGGACGAATTCGGCTGGTGGCACAAGCTACCGCACGTTCTAATGGGTATGACCGCTATCCATCCGAGGTGCACACATGGTTTTTTCTGGTTTTTCCCAAGGTACTTCGCTCTTTCGGTTCTCTGTGTTTCGAGCCAATTTTGCTCTGAAAGGCCGTGCGTCTGCGCGCTAGTCTCCTGGCATGTCGTCGTCACGTGCAGCAACTGTAGTAACCTTCATGGCGGTGCTGCCAGCGAAGTGGCAGAAGTACCAGGCCGAGGATTTAGCCATGAAAGTGGAAATGCTGAGGGTCTTGAAGGACGGTGTCTCTCGACAGCAAGTGATGTAAAGGTACAACGTCGAGAGAAGCATTTTGGCCACGTACGTGATAAATGAGGCCGAGGGCCTATGGGCTTTCGAGAGCGAGAAGTTCAACGCGAAAAGAAAGCGGCTGCGGAAGGCAGCACACTCGAAACTAGAAGAGGCCTTGCTGCGGTCGATCATCAGTGCACGGGATGTGCAGCTGCTCTTGAATGGTCTTCTGATCTGCCCTCAAGCAGAGAAGTATGCAGTGAAGATGAAGATTGTTTCGTTCGAAGCATCGGAGGGCTGGTGCAGACATAAACTGGTTTTCAGAAAGGTGTGCGGAAAGAAAGGTGCCGTCAATGGCGATGTTGTCGATGACTAGAAAAACGTCAAGCTTCGCGAGTACCTCACTGCACATAAGGCAAACGACATCTTTAACGCAGACGAGACAGCATTGTTTTACAAAGCACTACCAGACAAAACCATCGCACTGAAAGGAGACTTCTGCACATGTGGCAAAAGAAGTAAAGAAAGGGTCATAGTTCTCTTTGGCACAAACATGACTGGTATGGAGCGCTTGCCACTTCTTGTGATTGGAGAGGCAAAATAAACCGAGAAGTTTCGAAAACCTCGAACAACTTCCCGTTGACTACCAAGCGAATCGGCAGGCCTGGATGACGTCTGAAGTTTTTCGAGCTTGGCTACACCAGCTAGACTGACGCTTCCGCACCAAGAAGCGCAAGGTGTTGATGTTCGTCGATAATTGCAGCGCCCACTCCAATGCGTCGGGACTGAAGTGCATTCAGGTTGTTTTTGCCTCTGAACACTACTGCTACCCTTCAACCCATGGATCAAGGGATAATTCAGTATGTGAATAGCAGATACAGGAAGCATATATTGGAGTGAATGTTGCTGTGCACCGGGATTGCGAGGGAATACAAAGTATTGCTTCTCAGCAGTATCCACATTTTGTCGTACGTGTGGAACAACTCGCCAGCTGAGATTATTGCTAACTGTTTTAAGCATAGCGGCTCTGTTCGAAGCTTGCCAGGTGGGGAGACCCCCGACGTCGCTGAAGACGACGACGGCTCTTTCGACAATGTCCTTTCTGCCCAAGTGCAACTTGCTGACTACCTTGCGATTGATGACGGTGTTGTGGTCGGTCAGCCGAGTGACGGTGAGATCATCAGGGATGCCCTATGTGATGACGGGCGGGCTTTGGATGAAGATGAAGACTTTCCTTGTGAGGAGCCGTTGCCGCGTCGCACTGTGCGAGAGGCTGTGTAGGCTATTGTTGTGCTCAAAGACTTGCTACATCTCTGACAGTGCGAGTGCGGTGGAGCACCTGACTACGCTAAGGAAAGTTGTCGTCTCCACCCAAATGTCGTCCAGAAAGCAGGCGGCAATAAGATTTCTTAAAATAAAGCTAAGTCACAGCAAAACATTTTCGCACAGTTTTCTGTCCATTCAATATTTCGACTTTCGGATAATTCTGACATTTTTGCCGGTCACGTGAGATCCGAATTAATGACGTTTTACTGTATTGCTTTGAGTTCACCTTTAACATTGTAGTTATTTTGTATCGGGTAATGTCTAACTGTCGAATACTTCTTTCAAGAAACAATGGTGGTGCACACTCATTCCGTAGTTTCACGAAAACGAGCAAAGTTTCTTACAAGAGAAACATCGTTCGTTTTCACCTCAAAAAAAAAAAAAGGAAGTTTTACGCATTGTTCATACGCCACACAAAGTAGTTCTTACAAGGTTTTGTTGTTGGAGGAAGAAGCAACGATTTCGGCATTTGAAGTGTGTGCGTGTTGATAAGATAACATCTGTCTAATCTAAAATGGACCTACATATAAATTTTCTACATAAAGGGGAAAATTAGTAATGCTCTGCGAGGAGACGTACAATTTTTTACTACGATTCTTGAGGTGAAAAAAAGTATATATAGCGCCCTCCTTTGCAGTGCCGTAATGGAACACGCTTGGCAGGTATGCCAAGATATTATGTACTACCGAGAAACAGGGCACGGGCGTGAAGGACCGAGTGGGCACCTGGGACGTAGTTTAGTTAATGCAGTGGCACACGTCGGTTAATGTGCTGGCACGCGCTGTTTCATGCGTCGGCCCGTCTTGTTTCAACGCGTTGACGAGTGTCAAGCCTTGGCACGTGTTAGTTAATGCGGCGGCGTGTCGCTTCTGGTTCCAGCGGTGGACCGCAGCCTGTCGTCGTCGGTGGTGGATGCGAGGGACGCCCTGGTCAATGCCTGCCAGGACCTGGTGCAGGCCTTCAGGGCCACGCTGAGTGCGGGACAGGCGTCGGCGGGGCTGCCCATTCCCCACTGCGCCCGCCTGGTGCCCCTCTTTGTGCTTGCACTGATGAAACACGTAAGCTGGGCAAAGCTTTTTTTTTCTAATTTTTTTTTTTTTTTAAGAAAAGAGCATTGATTTGTGAGTTTGCAGATTTTTGTTATGGTCATATTGTCTTTACATTGTCAATCTTTTTTTTTAGTCTTTAAGTGAGCTGCACGATCTTCCTCTTGGAGTGGTCAGTATGGAGCATATATCGTCTTTAGGGCGGACTTTTCACACAATTTTGCCATCAGTTTTATCTCCCTTTACGACTCTGTGATTTGCCCTTGGGTCCCAGAGCCACAAGTGGAGAAACATTAGCGACATCAGAGTGGGCCCCGTCCTGACTTGTGATGCGTGTCTGGCGCAAAAAACAAGATCTGGGCCAGTCTGCTACATTTTTCACAATTGCAACACGAGCAACGTCATTGTAGAGTCTTGGCTTTGGTGTTTGGGTTCTGAAGTATCTGCCATCCCACGCTTTATTTTCTAAATTTCAAGAACTGTATTGATGCGGATTGTGCGTCTTATGGACCAGCATTGATTAATTCAGCCATCGATTCCGTTTCGTTCAGTGTTCTTAAAAACTTGTTTTCTTGCTTTTCCTTCTTGCTCATACTTTGTGTCATTTGTCACGGGATTGGTTACAACACTCCACACAAAAGGGAGTGCAAAACTTGGTTTTAACTGTTTGTATTCGCGACTCCAGCGACCTATAGGGGGCACCACCACCAAACAAACATGGCGGCTGGGTCCAGGTCGCGTCGGCTCGGCCGGGCCGCCTGAATGGGTGGCACATTCAATTTACCAGATTTTCTTTTGTTTAATGCCCAATTTTATGGGTATTTGAACTGAGACGGTTAAGTGTAGCCGGTGCGCATAAACTTGCTGAGCATAGTTTTGTTTTGCCGGTGTTTTTTGTTCTTTTCATGTCAAACTTTCGTTTCGGAGACTTTGTTCAAAACCGAAACTATGGGCTCCGGAGAAACGGTAATAGACACTAATTGGTTTTGATCATCTAAGGAAAGCGGCGATGGCTACAAAATTGTTCCACCAAGAGTAATATTTAGCTAACTCGCATGCCTCGACCATGCGACTTATCTGTCTGCGAAATTGAGCTTTTGTGCGTGTCCGCGTTTCAAGAAACAGCTCCAGACGCGTGCTCGGTCAAAAACACAGGCTGCAGGCAAATTACGAAAATTAAGCAAGCTCTTCTTTAGCCAAGGAGCATGTTAACACGTTGGCACCCCACTAAGCAGCTGATACTCGTACTTCAATTCAGGTTTTAGTAGCAATCGAGAAGTCACTTTGACGAGCGGGTTATGTCTTGTATTATACGTACTATGTCCCACTACAGCGATATTCGTATATTCTTCGGGTTGAAATATGAACTTAGTTGACTAACTATTAGGTGGACTGCCGAATAAAAGTATATTTGACAGACAGGGAGATACTACTTAAACTTAGCCAAATGGTTCTAGCCGGTAGAACGGAGACGAATGCGGACAAACTGAGGAAAGTCTTGATCGGAGATTCACTCAGACCTCTCTGCAATGAACTTGACTTCGAATCCTGAACGGATAAAATGAGTATTTTTTGTGGCCGGTCAACCTGAGCAATGTAAACGTATATTGCTACTGGCTTCGACAGGGGTTATAATATAAATATTGGAGGCGCGATAGATCCTAATGCCGTGACAGCTTCTAACTTTGCGAGACGCGTCCCCCATATTTTGAAAGCAGATAATTCCCCTCATTAATCATATGCAGCGAGCAGGTTTTCTGAATCAAGTAATTGCGAAATCAGCCCAACTCCTTCAAAGTGGTCTTGTTCGGCGAAAAGCAGCCAAGATGAATAGCCAACGCACCGGCCGGCGTTAGTGGCTCAAACTGGAAGCTAATCGAGCACAACCAAACTCAAGAAAAGCAGCTATCGAACCTTCCCATTCTCTTGACTGCAACATTGGTGTTCCCTCCAGTGAAACACCTCGTCTGTCGACCTCAGTCCACTGTTCTACATCCTTATAAAGAAACCACTTATCAGTTACCAAGTAGTCGTCACTTTGAATGTGATTCGATACAGACAAGAAATCAAAAAGTTTTTCTGTGATTCCTCCCCATCCAAAAAATTGAAAGCACGCGACCATGTGTTGTGGAGTAAACGGGCTTTCAAACACGTGATGGAAAGAAGCAATCTACTGAGGCTTTACTACACCAATGAACACTCAGGCAAACTTAAGAAATTTTCGGACCTTCGTCAAATTACATTGCTCGCCCCCGCGCCGACAGCACATGTCCGCGAAAGACACCAGAGACGCGGCGGGGCGCGGAGCGACCTGGACCGACTGGTTCCCGGTTTTCCCGCTTGGCGGCGTCCGTTTTGCTGGAGTCGCGATTATTTATCTATTTTATGAGCAATGACACTGTGATCTTGAGCACATTTCCAGGCATAAAATTGTGAATGTTTGCGGCCTTGGTATTGGAGCTAAACGGCTTACTCTTTACGCAGACTGCCTTCCGCGTTGGCGTGAGCACCAAATTGGACGACCGGGTCTTCGCCATGGAGCAGATGAAGAGCATGCCCCTGTCCTACCTGATGACATACATCTACCCGGCACTCTACCCCGTGCACATGCTAGACGATCAGGTACGCCCGCGTCGCCACTTTGGGCACCATTCACCATGGTCCCTTGTCCGGAACTCGTTCCTTCGGTGACATCAGACTCCGACAGTGATAAAAAGAGTGGGAAGCTGTATGTACACAGTTAATAGGCTATTTTCTCTCGGCACCCTCGTGGTGAATGAGTCCTTCAGATGCTTATAAACCCTAAAGAACATGAGAAAAAACACTGACATACCCCCCCCCTCCCCCTAAAATAAAAAATATATATACATATATATATTTTTTTCCATGCTACACATTAGATTATTGTCGACATGTTTTTTTAAAAAATTTTTCCGCAGTGTATTACGACAGTGGACGGTTATGAATTGTCCAGTTTCCGGCACCACCTGGTGGTAGATAATGCAGTCAGTGCAGTCATGTGTGGAGGCACGCAGTTCGAACTATTAAAAGTGTATCTGATTTGCAAGCAAATCAATGTTTTTTTTCGTGCACATACTTCCGTGCAGTGCGGTCGGACTGTGACAGTTAGAATTGTGTATCTGATTTGCAAGCAAATCAATGTTTTTTTTCGTGCACATACTTCCGTGCAGTGCGGTCGGACTGTGACAGTTAGAATTGTTCACAAATCTGAATTAACGCGGCACAAATTAACGAGCTTTCACTCTATCGAATGGCTCTCTTCGATCTTGAGTTAGGTGCACAGCTTAAAAAACGAATTTTGCCGTTCGACAAGGGAAAGTTTGACGTTGTCGGAACTTTAAGCCGAGCTCCTTGCAAGTGCAGTAGTCTTCTCTACTACCTGTTGACAAGTGCCTCTTATTCACGTTCCCAGAACGCCCTGAAGCTGGAAGACGGTACCCTGGTGTCGCAGCCACCACGGCTCCAGCTGTCCTTCGAGAAGATCGACCGACACGGGTGCTACCTGCTGGACACGGTGGAACGCCTCTACCTCTACCTGGGGAGGGCAGTGTCGGACCGGTTCTGCGTCAACGTCCTCGGAGCTTCGAACTTTTCCGCTGTGCCCGACGACATGGTCGGTCCCTTTCTTGGGGAAGCAGTTGGCAGACTTCTCTCTAAGCTCAGTTTTTCAGGACATGGTTAAGGTGTTACAACTTAATTCGAGACTGGGGAGAGAGAACGTTTACTATAGAAGGGACAGAAACGGAAAAGACGTCTCAAAACTGGTTTAACCTGTGTTGAGATGTCTGTCTTTCCCCGTTTCTGTTCCTTCTACATTTGAGTTCTATTCCATTCTCGGGTTAAGTTGCAACATGGTAAACATCCACCAGTTCGCCTCTACTCTTTTTTTTTTTCATAAAGGGTTACGGCGCCTGGAACATGTCTTCGACTAGTGCGTTTGCCGTCCTAATCCCCTTAAAAGTAGTCCTGAAGTGGCAACAAATCGTGTTCGCGCAGTTTGTCGTACCGTTGGTTGTCGCGATCCTCACGGTTGGTTTTAGAAAGCGCTGGCGGAAAAAAGCGAATAGATGACGGCGTCGCGACCTTACAACTTGCGTCTGCTTTGATTTTCGTCGACTGTCTGGCGGCAGAGCGGGCGTCTGCTGCTTCTACATCTGCCGATGTGCCACCTCCGGGATCGCGACAGGCAACAGCGTGACACTTTTACGACATCGTCGATCTCCTCTTGGCAACTATCGTCAGTGATTTTATATGTGAGTTTGGGGGAGCGCGGCGAACAAAGTTTAGTTTGTTCATTTTAGACGAGCTAGGTGTCTATGCGGAGTCTTTCCTTGGAAGTGGATGAGACGGTGCTTTCTCTTCGTTCGGTAATCTTTTGACAGCGCCGAATGAGTATTAAGCTTGCCGTGTGACTTCAGTATCGGTGTCTGTGGCCGTCCGTAGACACTAGGGCCAACCTTGTCCGCGTTTGGTTGCAGACGGAGCTGCCGGAGCTGTCCACTCCGGAGTCTGAAAGAGTACGGAACTTCATAGCATGGAACCTTTCGAGGCGGCCTTACTACAGTCCACTCAGAGTGATCAGGCAAGTTGCTCTCTTTAAAGTTGTCATCGACATTGTTTTTATTTTTTATTTTCGACTTTTCTACTTTGGGGTCAATTAGGGCATTTATTTTGCATTAGAAAAAGTTGAAAACTGCCAGCACGGAATGAAACGCAAATGGTAAAGAGCTACTTAGAGGCTGATGAAACTGAGGATACCGGGGGAACTTCCACCCTACTTTCACTGAAAACTAGGTTAATCTAGACATGGACGCTTGTCTGGTCAAATCAGGCGCTTAAGGGGGAACACTGGTCTTGGAGCTTTTTCTCTTATTTTATGTCCAAACTCAATGAAACTGCACAAGCTTGTTCAGCTTTTTGTGCTGATTTCATATATCTGGTAATTTCTTCATTCTGTAGAATTGTCCTGAAGATAATTAAAACTGGCCTGCCTTTGTTTGGAGGAATGATAGGGAAAAAACTGCTCAACAAAATATCCGTATTAACACATGGTCAGATACTAAAAAGTGTAAAGAATACAATGTTGGAAGTACTTTTAAGATAAACCCATTATTAGTGATTTTACAACATATTGAAGTTCAGTGCTCAATGCATGGCTAACAAGTAATAAAACAAAAAATCAAATAAAACAATTTCTAGACTTATATTAAAAAATCTGCTCTCAACATTGTATGCTTCACACATTTAGCAACACATTCCAAGAAAGGTTATATTTCTGCCTGCTGTAGATGCTGAGATATCCCTCCCGCAAATTTTCAACGAGTCCCAAAATAGTATTATGTGAAAACAATGTTTTAGAGTAAACCTTAATGCGGATTCAGCCCGCATAGACATTATAAATTGATTTATAGCTCGAATATTCATCCACGAATTTAGAAGCGTGGTAGATTCAGAAGGACAACAGCCATTGCCGTTTTCAAAAGAATGCAGTTTCAGGAAGTTTTTGGCTCCAGAGACCCATGTCCCCCCTTAATGTATAATTTTCAGAATTCCCAAGTTTGGGAAACGTTAATAGTGGGCGCTTGAACGGAGTGGGTGCTTCCGCAGTATTCTGCGGCACTTTCATAAAGAATACAGAGTACATTGTGGAGATTTGTAAGCTATTCATATGACCTCTGACCTCATGTTTAGGACAGATCTGTCTGGTTTCTAAATATAGAGTTGAACCTCGACTTAACGAACCCCGATTTTACGAATTTCCGATTTAATGTACAAATACGGATTCCCTGCACATCTTGCGCACGAGGTCCCCATTGCTCGATTTTACGAAGTTCCCGGTTTAATGAAATAATTATCGGGTCCCGGTGAATTCAATAAATCGAGTTTCAACTGTACAAGCAAAAAACACCTGGAGTGTTAATCACTTAAGGTTAGAGTTGCATGTTTCTGGATAAATATAAAATACACTCGCTGGTAAAAATTTTGTCATTTCGGATTTGTTAATTTCTTGTTACCTCCTTTATGTCTGCAGGGAGGACAGCAAAGACAGGCACCTGTTTGTCCAACATTTGGTGGATGACAGAACAGAGTCGGCACTTTCATACTACGAGTTTCTTCAACACCTCAAGCAGCAGCTCAGCAAATAAGATGTTTCTTTTGTTTTTTGTCATCTTGGTGGAAGCTAGTTCTGTTTGTTTTCAAAGACTCGTGCGAACGTGTGTGTGTCTGCGTGTGCACCTTACGGCAGAACACTTCACCGACAGGACAACTGTCCAGAACTTGCGAAGAAGGATGTTCATGAGATTTGTGTCCTTGAAAATAGAATGAAAGGGAAAAAAAAAAACATGACCACTCTTTTTTTACTTTTTTTTTTTCAGCAGTGGATGGATTTTGCATGTGTCTGGGTGGTTTTAGAAAGCGCCAGTTATTTTTCGTGGCGATTGGTTTTTGTCTTTTGTTGAAAACACAAAAACCTGCAGGCGTGCACGCCCTTTTCCCCCCCGTGTCAAATGTTGTAAAGATTGAAAACAGTTTTTTTTACACACGCTGCAATCTTTTTGCATGGTGTCGTTACCGTGGCAGCCAAAATTACCAAGAAATTACATCCGACTGTTGTGGCTGTTTTGCCAATTTGGTATTTTCACGGCCGTGCAAACTGCACACTTTTCCCGTTTGGATGTAATGCTTGGCTCGCAGGCTTTGTTCTTGACTGGAGGTCTCTCGAATTGTACACAACATTTGACCTTGATGGCCTTGTACAAATGCTGCTAAATTTCCTCGTAATTTGTATCTTACGACTCACTTCAGTAAAAGTCGAAGAGCAGTTGCAATCGATCCGCTTGGTGTGGTGTGCATGTCTGGGGTGCATGCGCTTACAAAACTTTGTTTTTGTGGTTAAGGCATTCTTTTATTTTGTGGCTGGTGACTGACTGGCGCTCTATCCTTTTAACGAAGTGCATGCTGTTCATTGCTTTGGCATGCATGCCAGAAAGGGGGTGGGGGGGAAGTGTACATAAACATAGGTATATACATTATATACATATATATATATATTATATATATGTTGAAAGCGATTGTGTTTGCTGTTTGATATAGGTGCCACTAGGAAAGTTTTATCGCATTGTGTAAAGAACTAGGAATCTGCAACTTTTTTTTTTTTTCGTTTTCTGTGTTACGTGGTATAAGAGTACCAAATAAATTATGCATTCTTATGCTATACTTGCTCGGCAACTGGTTCTATTAAAGTCCGCTCACCGCTGTGAAGTGGCCTTCCAGGCTTTCCAGTTTGTATTCGTTTAATTTTAAAGGGGCAAATGCAAAATGTGTAATTTTTTAATAAAATTGACCAACCTTGGAACAAACTAGTAATAAAGGTGTTCTATTTTTTTTTGTCTCAAAGGGATGGGGGGATTATTAATGCTAAAGCATTAAATGTCCCATGGAGCAAAGCCGGTGTTGTCTGTAGCCGTTGTGTGTAACAGTGAAAAACGGCACCGATGGCACCTGAATTCCCATTGGCTGAGCGAAACGGCACCTAAATTGCCATTGGCTGCGACGCGTCATGTGGCTCCATAGCAACAATCGTCGTTGCTAAAGAGCCAGAGCCAGTTGAACTGCTGGTGGCACAGCAGAAAGGGGGTATGCGCTAGCCTTACGTTAGGCCTAACGTTATGCTTTGAGGTCTAACGTCGTCAACCTATACCCGCAGCTAGGGTGATGATGAGAGGACGTGATTTCCGCACTTGCTGCGCTGAGCTTCGCACCCCCTTGCTGCCTCGCCCAGCGGCGCAGCAGTCGCCAGCGAGCTAGGGTGGTCTGTGCGGTGTACTGTCACACTCCCTGCTGGTGCTGCGGCTGCAAAACTCGAAAGCATTACTCGCAGGGCAAAACTCTGATCACTCAGCGGCGTTCAGTTGGACATTAATTCTTTTGCATTCACAACTCGTAATTTTTTTGATGATAGTAAGATCTTAAGTATGCTACTATGCTGATGTGCTAATTCCCGATTTGTTTGAATTCCCTACCAAGTTGGCACAGATCCAGCACAAGCGAGTGCAGCTTCGAGTATGACTTTGTACGGAGCGTAAATTAGTCTGCTTTTTTTTGCAGGGGTTGTGGTGACGTCAGAACGCCAAGCTGTGATTGATGGATAGTGGGTAGACCTCAAAGCAAGCTGCCTTGAGGTCTACCTGCTATCCTTCAAGTGAAGCTAATCATAGCTGGGCATTCTGACGTCACCGTATTGCCTGTAAAAGAAAGAAACGAACTTGCGCTCCGCATTGCTTTTCTGTTCTGGTTGCCTTGTTGGTATCTATGGGTTTTTTCTAGTTTGGGAACACACTCAAAGCAAGGTGCCTTGAGGTCTATCAGGAGACTCGTCGCCCCTGTGAGGCAGACCAAGTTCTAGGCTGTATAAACACTCACACAACCCAATTTTTTGAGGTCTATCAACTGTCCCTCAATCGGAGCTGGGCGTTATGACATCACAACCCCTGCAAAAGAAGCAGACAAGCTTTCGCTCAGCGTAGCTCCCATGAAGAAACGTCAAAATGCTACCGTATTAAGGCATAGTCTACAGCGAACCAAAACGGCAAGTTTTCGAAACGCGATGTTGGGGGATCGTCCACTGCCAGGAACGATTTGAAGAAATCCGCAGAAGTCCGCTTGTGGCACGGAGCTGCAAAGGTCAAGCTGATTAACTCTAGGTACGAAAGTTATAAATGCCCGTAATTGCCCGCAGGTAAGTTCGAAGATTCGCACACGTAATCCGGTCATAACATGGGGATCTGGGCTTTCTAAATACATTTATTCATTTATTACAGACGGAAACCGCAGAGCCCCTTTGAGTTTTTATTTGACACATAACGACTTCATACAGCAATTTATTGGTCGCAACACTTAGCTACACGATGAAAGCAGAAAGAATATCTATTGATGCTGAGTTCTTTCTACGCACTCTCGTACATAAGCTAATGTCGGCCGGCAAAACAGATAAACAAATCAGTACACCGGCAGCAGAGCAGACGCTCTGCTAGCGCCGAAGTCGGCGCAGTCGTTTGGGCGTTTGGGCAGTTTGGGCAGTTTGGGTTTGAGAGTTGTTGTTGAAGCCAGTTTAGAAGAGCGACGGTTCGAGAGTTAGTTTAGCTAAAAAATGGCGTCCGCTTCGTCGGGCCCCGACTGGTTCTCGAATGCAATTTCAATATTAACTTCTAATCAAAGTTCTCTCAACAAGTCTGATCTGCAAATAGTAATAAAGTCAGTCCTTCAGAGGTAAGTGTCATTTTCAACATTTTACGACGGTCTGGAAGCGGGCTTTGCGCAACTAAATGACAGAGCTGGGATGATAAGCCGTTTCGTTTCACTCTATTTTCTTTTTCTCGCCAAATTCCGGGGCTTACATGACGCATTTTGAAGAAATTAACGTATTTTTTTTTATGAGAACAAGGATTACAGGTTTACGTAACGCTCCTAAGATGAGCTGCCCTTTAAATATTAATAAATATTCTGCGGTCCACAACTCTAGTCGGTATGCGCACTGGCACTTCGATTCTGTAACTTGATATGTTACATAACCAATATCTATATTTAATTGCTCTATTTCTTTTTTTCGCTTTTTACGTTGCAGACAGTTATCGCACTCCCTGTGCATCGCTCAGTAAACTCTTCAAGTTTGTTTCTTGCCGAGCGGCCGTCCACCTCCACCGTCGTCGCCGACGTTGTTTACCAAAGAAATGCGTGTTCGGAGCGCATTTGACACCGCTTCTTGGGCGCCAGCGCCCACGATTTCGCACACATTTCTTGTGTGTGCGACGCAAACGGGACATTTTCTGTAGGCGTTTTGCGTCCCTGTGGTTAGCAAGCTTCCGCTAACTCGGGCCGGTTAGGTTTAGGCTGGATTAGGTTTGCAGTTTCCACAGGAGGAAGCAATCGTGGATCATATCGACTAATCTGATGCACGCGTGCGATCCTAGTTTTGAAGCATCCCCCAATTGATCTCGTGTGTTGAATGGATGCTGGCGCCAGGCTGTGAAAATATCGCGGCACTAAATTTGCTCTTTGGCGTTGGAATATTGAACGAGCCTGATCATCTAGAATATTTAGACATCTCTCAGACCTCCCGTAGCCGAGCTCTTGTTAGGAAAATGCGTTTAAGCGGTCTCACGTGGTAAGCACGACTAGTTCGTGGCATCTCAACGGAGAGGTGGGACAGATGCAAGTTTATTAGATGAGCAACAGGCGCCTTGAATGCTGACCTTACAAATTGTCTTTTCCTGGAAAGCTTACAAATTGTCTTTTTCTGGAATAAACATTCATGTAAATGTTGACTACCATTACAAAGTACTCTCAAGAGCATATCAGTGATTCAACAGAGTGTGAGCGCTTTTGAAGCTTTGATTAAACTATGCTGCGAAGTATTACAGGTAATGATACTGAGGCGAGAAAGACAACAGCATATACAGGCAAAAAGTAACAACTGCTTTTCGCCCATTTCTGTATGTTGCTTTGTCTTTATCATCTTAGTATCATTGTTTGTAATCCTTTGAAGAGCAGTTTTTTAATCAAAGTGAATAACCAACTAACCCAATCCTTAGGCATTAAAGCTCCTCTTTCCATATCGCAAGATGTTCTTCTCTTCGAGCAGAGTGGTGTTTTTGCATGTTTAATTGAACAGAACAGACAGTGTAGCTCGGTGCAATAAATGTACTGTGAATAGTCTTCAGCTAAGGTCAGAAGACTCATGTCACTAAGATCCAAGGACCAGAGAAAAAAAGAATCTGATCGATCTGTTGATTTGAGCAGAAACAGTCTGGTGTGACATCAAATGCTAATCAGATGAAAAATGCAACAACAACGTTGGTTTAGTGCTACCGGAGACATTTCTCAAATATTGTTCTTACGTCTTTCTAAGTCAGGCATGCATGACTGACTTGAGCATAACTTAGCACTGATGCAATGCTGGCTGTAGCAGTGCTGTACCAGTAATACAAGTGTGATCAAAGAGTTCCGGGACTAATTTTGTGACATAAAAAGAGAGGGCAGCACAGTGATGTGTGCATAGCAGTTGAAGGCAGAGACCTTCCTGTGTCATTATGCCAAAGGGCGTCACTCTGTGAACATTTGTAACTGCACTACACGAGTTTTTGTGACCACATGCAAGGGCACAATGGTGAATTCATCATAGACTGCAAACCAGAGCTAGAGAGAACATAAGTTTTTCGTCAAACTCGGCAAATATAAAACAGAGACCTTTGAAATGATTCAGCAGGCTTGTGTCAAAAAACAGTGGATTTTGTGAAGTATTTTATGTGGCACTTTTGCTTCAGGAACAGCAGAACATCGCTGGAGGACATAGAGTGATAGGGCAACTTTATCCGACCCCTCCTTGACTTCAGTGACATTCTGCCATTCTTGAGGCGCGATTGCGACTCAAAATACCTCACACACCTCACTGCTTTTTGACATAAGCCTTCCAAATCATTTCAGAGGTCTCTTAAATAAAATTGATGTTTGCTCAAGCTTTGGTTTGCAATCTGTGGAGAGATCGCCATTATGCTCGTGCATGTGGTCAAACTAACTTGTGTAGTGTAGTTCCCAATGTTCACAGAGCGACGCCCTTTGGCAGAATGACGCAGGAAGGTCTTTGCCTATGACTCCTGCACATGCATCACTGTACTGGCCTCTACCGTAAAATACCGGGCAAGCGCCCACTCAAAATTTATAGATAATCGAAAAAAAAAGGGGGGGATGGGTGCTTGTCCGGTCATCAGTTTTACATATTTTGTACTGTGCATATTTTCTCAGATCTTAGAAATTTGGATATGGGTGCTTAATGTGGAATGGGGGGATGTGCGGTATTCTGCTGTACATTTACGCTACAATATCAGTCCCAGAACGTTTTGATTACAACTTGTACATAGGGTTCTTCGTTTTCGGGTTTTATTTTTATTTTCATGTCCGTGACATCCTGGGGGAATTTTTTTTTTTTACAGCGGAGCTGTTAAGGGCTAGGTTCCCCAGGATCGTGTTCGATACCAAACAAATGTCAAACAAACTATGGTTGCTGCTGTCACTCATAGATGACGGTAGCTGTCCAGAGTGTTGTGTTTGCCGGTTGTCTGTTTGTCGCCGGCGCTCATAAATGGCGCAACCTTTCCAGCCTTTTCACTCTGGCTTGCCGACTTGCAGCCGACCGTTACTTCATTCCCACCATAGCACAGCTTCGCTGGTCTTCCTTCTTTGCCAGAGTGGAAAGGCTGAGAGTTTTTCTTTACTTTGACGTCACTTTACCAAAATATTTTTTTTATTTTTATTTAAATTGTTTAAAATTACAAACCTAAACGGAAGAGCAAGCAGAAGAAAATCAAGGTTAAGCTGAATGGCTCCAACAGGAAAACGGACAAAACCCATTGAAGACTTTGGGAGCTTTGAACCCCCAAAATTAGGGGGCACAAAACAGGAAGGGCAACCCTAAATGAGGACACAACCATTGGAACAAGATAAAACTTAGCAAACACTGAAATAGTTGTTGATAAAAATAAAAACCCAAAAACGAAAAACCCTGCCAATACAGTTCAAAGTCAGCGCTGCATAAACGAGGTCAAGGCTATTTTTAGTGCTGTAGTATATGTGTGAATAGCCCTTTAAATGTATGTGATGGGCAATGCATCAATCAAATGGGATGTATTGACATGCGGTCAATATCTCAAGTTCCAGGTTACTCCAAGTGAAGTAACTGCCTGTCAGCTACAGTGACTTTGACAGTGTAAACTGAACATGGTGATGACTCTCCCAGTTCACATTATACTAGGCAACAACTTTTCTTGGCATTTCCGGAGAGGGGACAGCTTTATTCAGTGCTCCAAATGGGAGAGGGAACGGGTGCCTGCACCTTCTACTGCATTGCCAAGAAAAGTTGCCGAGTGTAGTATAACTGTTTTCCTATACCTGTTCTGGGGTATGACTATCCACTCTCTTACCATACCTTGACTTGCATGAAAGTGGTATAAAACAATGGTGGTAATAGTATACAAACATTTTGCTGGGCCACTTTTCTCTATTTAAGCTGCATAGATCCTGTCCTAGCCCTGGGAATTAGCGAGCACCTTACCTTGCATCAGGTTCTGATTTTTGGGATAAGTATGCAAAATAATCTAAAATTTTCTTAAAAAAAAAAAAAATTCCTTAAAGGAGGACCAGCAGAAATATTCTTCCGCCTGGCGGAAAGTCCTCCTCGCCCTCTTTCTTTCTTGTACTGTAGCACGGCGAGGAGAGGGGAAAGGTCCCCTTTTGCGCCGGCTTCTTCTGAGAGGATAAGCCGAGAAAATCCCCATTCTGAGCGACGGGCGATGGGTGCGGCAGCAGCGACCTCGCGAGTTAGAGGTAGCTTCAGCTCCTATCGCGTAATCTGCCCCATTTTTTGGCGCTCACCAAGCCTAGCTCCTCGGGTGTCGGTTTTACGGAGCTGCAAGGCTGCGCCCGCGCAGTCACCGAATTGCCGCTTTCGAAGGTCTTTAGTTTAGCCCGTGGCAAAGTAAACGCATACTTGAGAGCTGCGATGCATCCCCGCACCCGTTGAAGGAACGTTTCATAGATATTTTCGGTTGACCAAGGAGCTCAAAACACATGCGCGAGAAGTGGTGACTTGAATATGTAAGGATGACTCACATCTTCACAAAACATTCCATCTTCAAGAAAAAACGGCTTATCACGCTCAAACCTGCCTCAAATTGGGATCGATGGAAAAGAAAACGATGTACCAGGCGCGGGCATCTTCTAGAAGGTCTCTGTTTTCTAGGAGCGAGCACAAATTATTGAAGAACTTTAGCAGACTATAGGGAGTTTTCGTAGATCGTTTTCGCCGTCCCGCAAGGCCCTCCGCAACCCGCTACGATAGCGGGAACTCCACAATCAAGGCTATCGGCGCGCAGGCGCAGTAGCAACTTCTTCGTTGCGGAACGCTTAGCGGAGGGGGCCAGCGCGGTCTACGAAAACTCCCTTATGTTTTCAGGCCACGCTATATTTAGCGGGAGCTCGCGCTGCCACTTCGATGCATTCTCTGAAGCGCGCGCCTGCAGTGGCAGCGGGCCTTTGAAAACGATTTACTAAAATGCCCTGTTGTGTGCCTAACTCGCAGAACATGATGGCCAGCAAAATGTATGAAATTCATATTTACACATTCCCAACAAGCACCTGAGGTGAGAGGGCATCAAGGGTGGATGTCAATTTTAGAAAGTTTTAGTGGGTCGCTTTTAGCCACTTAGATAACCGTATACGGTCCGTACCCCACAACGAAATGTAAGCTAGACTCGCTGTTTAGATTCTTCATCGAGTGCGGCTATGGAGCGAAAAGACAATATTAAAACCCTTTTTGACGAGTCTGGCGTGTCGTGTTATGGTTCAACGTTGCTTGTATCGGTACCATAGCACGGACCGCCACTTCGAAGTATTTGCGGTCTCTCAAAGAAACAAAGGCAAAAGCAGACAATTTTTTTTAACGTGACACAGAATTGTATTTAACATCGTAAAAAAACTTTTAGGTACCCTACGCTACGCAGTTAGCACAAACTATCACCGGTGTTTCCCACTTTTTTTTTTGTTAGAAGAGAACAATGTTTAGGAAACTGTTAATGCGAGTATCCAACCTAAGCGGTAGATTTTAGTGCGAGTCGATACATTGCTGGGGAAAATAGCAAAAAGCGCGATGTCGTGTTTGCGCTAACAGTGTCGCGTAATGTACGCATACCGCAGCACAATCAACGCTAACATAGTAAATCAGTAAATTTCGTGGCCCCCCAAAAAGTGGTGTTATTTTGTTTTATTTTTATGTTTGAAAAGTTGTTATTTTTAAACAAGCAATTCGGTAAAAAGTGCTTCCGTTGGGCACCAACTTACGAGGCATCAATTTGTTCTTATACACTAAATTCTGCATAGCCCTTGCGTAAAAATGTCAATATTGTGTTTCGTGCTAGCTGTGTCACGCACAGTAAGAAAACAAGTTCATTGCTCGAACATTTAAACAAGGCCTTTCTTACGCCAAATAGACGTTTTGTGAGTACGCTCTATTACTGGTGGTTCATAAAATAATCTACGTTGTTTATTTAGAGGAAGGAAGTGGTGGTGAGGGGAGGGGGAATTGAATACAAAAGACGACTCGGGAACCTTGAACTTTGTAAATATTTCGCTCAACCTATAATCCCGAGCTAATTAAATCACTTTTGCCTTGTCTGTTTTAGAACTTGTTAACAGTCGCGCAAAAGGCCAAGATGAGCGAAAAGTCAGATGCCCCTGTTTATTTGAGCAAGAAGCTTATTTCTGCGAGATAGAACTGAAAAAGCGTACGTGTGTAACCGTAGCAATCTCCGACCAAGCCTGAACCTCACTTTTTCGCCATTTCATTGAAAGCCGTTTCACAGAATGAACGGACACTTCATCGAACGCCGTTTCATCGAACGCCGTTTTATCGAATCGCCAAGGGCCGTTTCATCGAATTTCTCAGTTATGGCTCTGTACCGAGTTTTGGGGCATAACAGTGCTTTATAGATGTTTAACCTTGCATTTGTTAAGACTAAGGTAGTCACTGGAGAAATTGTTTTGAAGGTGGTGTCAAATTACTAAAAATAAAAGCAATTGGCATAAAAAGAAATAAAAACAATCGGGTATGCGACTTACTGAAAAGCCTTACTCATGTACATACATGGCTGAAACCACGACGCTGCAAATAAAGAACAGACACTTAAAACACTTTTAAGCGTCTGTGCTTTTTGTTTTTGCCTCATTTTTAATTGTTTCATGTGACATGGAGAGGGGTCATTGTTTCATGGAGGCTTTCTTCTCAAAGCAGGATATGTTCACGATGGAACTTATCTCGCCACTGCACCCAGTGATATAAAAGCAGAAACAAAAGAAAAAAAAAAAAGAGAGAATGAGATGAAGTTGTGTATAAAAATTAAAGTAAATTCCAAAGTATTACAGACTGTAACATTGTTCGATGAAAAGGCGTTCGATGAAACGGCTTCTATGAAACGGCGTTCGATGAAACGGCGTTCGATGAAACGGCTTCGATGAAACGGCATTCGATGAAACGGCATTCAATGAAACGGCGTTCGGTGAAATGTTCGGACGCACTTGTAGCAATACGCGTGCATTACGTGGCACTTTTAGCCCGAACGCGACATCGGCGCTTTTTACTATTTCTGCCCAGCAACATGTATTGTCTAGCACTGAGCTCTGCCACTTAGGTTGGATAGTTGCATTGACAGTTTTCTAAATATCACTCATTTCTAAAAAACAAAATCAGAAAGACCGGCAATAGTTTGTCCGTGCTAACTAAAATGTGTTTGCACAGACAAATTACAAACGCGTATTATGTTAAAAAAAGGCTACAGTTTATTTTTTATTTTTTATTTTTAATGCGTCAGAAATACTTTAAAGTGGCAGCACGTGCTATAGCGCCGATTTAAGCAACGTTGAACTATAACATCAGACGCTTCGATAGCCGCACTCGATCAAGAATGCTCACAGAAAGGTTATAGCTTATAAATTGTTGTATACGGTGCGGTTGTCCAAGACCTAACGACGATCCACTAGAACTTTTTAGTATCGACACACACCATAGCTGCCTTCTCACCTCATGTGGTTGCTGGGATGCGTAAATATAAATGTCACATACATTCGTTGGCCATCATATAGTGTGAGTTACGCACACAATGTTTGTGCTCGCTGCTAGAAAACAGAAACCTTCTAGAAGATACCCGCGCCTGGTACATCGTTCTCTTCTCCATCGATCCCAATTTGAGGCGGGTTTGGGCGTGATAAGCCGTTTTTTTCAAGATGGAACGTTTTGTGAAGATGTGAGTCATCCTTACATATTCAAGTCACCACTTCTCGCGCATGTGTTTTGAGCTCCTTGATCAACCGAAAATATCTATGAAACGTTCCTTCAATGGGTGCGGGGATGCATCGCAGCTCTCAAGTATGCGTTTACTTTGCCACGGGCTAAACTAAAGACCTTCGACAGCGGAAATTCGGTGACTGCGCGGGCGCAGCCTTGCAGCTCCGTAAAACCTACACCCGAGGGGCTAGGCTTGGTGAGCGCCGAAAAATGGGGCAGATTACGCGATAGGAGCTGAAGCTACCTCTAAGTCACGAGGTCGCTGCTGCCGCACCGATCGCCCGTCGTTCAGAATGGGGATTTTCTCGGCTTATCCTCTCAGAAGAAGCCGGCGCAAAAGGAGACCTTTCCCCTCGCCTCGCCGTGCTACGATACAAGAAGAAAGAGGGCGAGGAGGACTTTCCGCCAGGCGGAAGAATATTTCTGCTGGTCCTCCTTTAAAGAAGTATTTTTTGGAAATATTTTTGGTATACTCTTCGACTTCTGTTTTCTGCATAGTCGCTACACTACTGCATCTGTGTATTTTTGTATTTAGAAATGATTCAATTTAATAATTATCGGCTCGTTATTTTTTCGAAACAGTACAGAAGCAATATTTTGTGGCATTTCAGACACAGCTACGACCTTCTGCTCTATCTGTTTCAAACGTTTTGTGAAGTCCTTCCTTCGCACACACAGCTGGTTTGTTTTCAACGGTAGATTTGTATCCGTCCGACTGCACAAAGTGGGATATGGCCTCGCAAGCATGGCTTTATAGTTCTTGATGCAAAAGCACTCATATAACCAACTTTTTCCATCACCACAATATATTGAAGGATGCTGTATCTTTTAAATTTGTGCCTCCTGTCACGCTTCTAAAGAAGACAAGCTTTGCAATTTTTTTTTTTTTTGTCTTCAAACCGATTGTTATCCACTGACAATAAATTACGTGACCCTGTGACACTATATTTACATATTTGTACTAGCATATCGTGTCTCCATTTACTTACACTATTACATTTCTTTTTTTGTTTTGTCCCTTCTATCGCAGCGAAAATGTGCTGTTTTCTGGAGACGAAGAGTACAAAGAGTTTTGCGCTGGGTTTGCTGCTCTCAGCGCACACCTCATCAGCGCCAATGCAACCTCCTGTGAGTTCCTCGCTCTCTGCAGTCTTGCATGTAATGTTGTCATTGGTTGAATGTGTCTTAAACGTTTCTTTGTAGATCATCAGATATTTCCTAAAACTCTGTCCCAACCTAACACTAGCCAAGACTTCTTTAGGTATATATTCATCTGGTGAAATGCCGAATCACTACCTGCTTTTGTGTATCGGGGGTGTAGAGACAAAGTTGCTATTTCAGTTTATCTACTTTCTTTTTACACCAATTTTTGGAAAGTCTTAGGCACGCCACACCTGGCGACTGATTTTTAAGGGTCATTTCATGACGTTTTTACAGTGCTAGAGGATTCTAAGGTGCTCCGACTTAATTAGGGGACAGTGAGACCAGTTTCAAAGCTACTCGTATTGACTTAAATGATTGATTTAAGGCAAACCTGACCAAGTTTAAATTCAGAAATATGCATCACAGTAAACAAGTAAAAATATTGCTCAAATGTTTCTTGGTTTAAGTTTATTTTGTGTGACATACGTGTCCTTTAGAGGTGCTTAAAAAAATTTTTTTTTGGAGTAAATAGTTTTTCTTTAATGGACAATAAGTGCAAATATTTGGCATGAGCATACATGGTCATTGAAAGGGGTTGCGAAGGCAGTGAGGAAATCTATGGCTTCTTCATGTTGGAAGGCTTTTGCAAAGGACTTCTGTCATGGTGACTTTACTTGATATAGGGAAAGCCTGATTAATTTGCATGGTTTCTCTTCTTCTCTTTGGCACAAAAGTGTCTAGAGGCCAGATTGGCACTGCAGCCCAGGCCTGCCGCATCCTTTTGCGGCACCTCCTGCAGTGTTTGAAGACTCCTAGTGAAAATTGTCTACCACAAGTGAGTTTGGCCTCTCCTTGCTGTGACTCAAGCATGGTTCTATCCGGAGTAACTGCAACTGCCCGAGTAAAGCGGGCAAGGTTGTAGGTATCGAGAGAACAAGAGCGTAGGAGCACGTGATGTGGAGTGCTGTCGGGTTTTATGTGATTGCTATCGTTTTGTGCTTTTAGATTTTAAGTGAGGAGTGTTCGTTTGTCTCTGAAAATGTACAACAGGGCCAGAGAAAGGAAATGCTGACAGTTGTTTTTTTATCCCCTCAATCATTCCTCTGTACGTTTTATGCAAGTTAGATGAAGCATAAATCGAAGTTGCCTTATGGTCACTTTTCAGAATTCCAGAATTTTTCTGAAAACCTAGTGAAGATTACGTCAGCTCTTCGTTGACTGAATTCTTAAGAGGCAGTTTAAAGGAACTATAAGACTTTTTTACTATGTAATATTTCGAAGTAACCTTTTTCTATAATATGACAAAAAGCATTTTATGACACATCTCCTTTAAGCTGTCCTGCTGCATAGGCTTAAAAATAATATTGGACTCTTAATCTAATGGTTGCTGTACATACTACCGGAGGTTTGAAGCTTTTTTTGGCTCAAGAACATTTCTTTCAGCTGCTGACTCCAGTAGTGATCCTTTAATGTCTCGGAAGTGCTGCTTTCAGTGGCACTTGGGCAGGTACTGGAAGCCATACATTGTGGCATTGAAGAAGCTGAAGAGCACTATGCCACATGTTGTCCCAGAGTGAATTCTTTTTTGTTGTTGCGGGACAACACAACTTTGGGAGATAGGAATGCTTTAAACATGTGCATGCGTTGCTTTCATTCTTCTCTCACCCATTCCTTTTTGAACAGTTGTGGGGAAAGTGTCGCTGGATTTAGTTCTAGTACTAGAGCTTAAGCTCTAGAATATATATTCTACCAGGTGTGGGGGAGAAAAATGATCAGTGTTCTTCTCAACGCAAAAATAAACCCCGCATAGCTGTACGCAGAGTGTCCGCTCACATGTGCTGCCAGCGGTCCGGTCCAGATTCCAGTTTCAGAACTAACCCTTATCTGTTTCAAAAGTTGTCAAATACTTTTGCAAAGTTTTAATGAGAAAATAGGAGGCATTCCGGGCAGCGTTCACCATTCATCTCCATGTGTTCTCGAGCTCTATTGGTCGCCATTTCCTCGTGCATAATTTATTTCTCTATGACGAAAAAAATTTAATCCTCTTTTCTCTCAAACCCCCTCCCCCTCCCCTATATATGGTGCTCACCGAGGCGTCATTCTGAGTGCCACATAGCATCAGTCCAAACGTGGTCTCATGTTTTCTTTGGAGAAAGGGCAATCGCCTTATTGCCGTTCGTAACAAACTGAGTTTTCTCTCTTCTCATGCAGAGCCTGACCATGATTCTCATTGGGGGCCTGTGCATTTCCAACGCGGGTTCCCTTTCAAAGTCGGACCTCAACACGTTGTCGTCCATGCTCAAGTCTGCTCAGGTCCCCACCAACTTTGTGCCTAAAGCAGAAGGGGCTGGTAAGCGAGCCATCCACCTTCTCTTTTTAGAGCGCAGCTCTTAGGGGCCCGTTTCCGGCTTGAGCGGCGTCGCCGTCGGCGTAACCGCGCGGTGCATCATGGGAAATGTCCCATAATGCACCGCGCGAGCTCCCCACCGGGGTCACGTGACCTCGTGGGGGGGCACGTGACTCCCCTGAGGTCACGTGACCCCCTCCTCGAGGTCACATGACCCCCCGAGGTCACGTGACCCCCGCCGATGTCGCGTGACTCCCCGATGACGTCATCGTCACTGATTACGTCACCGGCATCCACATCGTCATCGTCATCATCACTGATGACGTCATCATCACTGATGACGTCACCGGCATCCACATCGTCATCGTCATCATCACTGATGACGTCACCGGCATCCACATCGTCATCATCATCATCACTGATGACGTCACCGGCATCCACATCGTCATCGTCATCATCACTGATGACGTCACCGGCATCCACATCGTCATCGTCATCATCACTGATGACGTCACCGGCATCCGCATCGTCATCGTCATCATCACTGATGACGTTACCGACATCCCCATACACATCGTCATCATCACTGATGACGTCATTAGTGACGTCACTGATGTCGTCACCGGCATCCGCATCGTCATCGTCATCATCACTGATGACGTCATCAGCGACGTCACTGATGACGTCACCGACATTCGCATCATCATCGTCATCATCACTGGTGAAGTCATCAGTGACGTCACTAATGACGTCATCGCTACCCGCATCGTCATCGTCACTGATGACATCATCAGCGACGTCAGTGATGACATCATCGGCATTGAGGGTCGCGTGACCCCCAAGGTCACGTGCCCCCCCCCCCCCCCCTGGTTAGTTTAACCCCCCCAGTGCCCTTCCCTCCTCCTCCTCAAGAGCTGTGCTCTAATTCGGCGTTACAGGGAGTTGTAAGCGGCTTTCACTTTTTTCCCCCCGAGTTTGGAAGCTATTGGTAGTGGTGTCATTAACCTGTCGAGGTTTGAGTTTGATCAGGTTTTACTTTTTTTTTAACTTTCAATGTAAAGTCAGACAGAAGTTTGACCATTGTGCTCATCCACATACTACATTGAAAACGGGCTGGTGCACCTAATGAATGATGATGGGTGCTGTATTTTAATCTGATAGGTCATGCTCATTTTTATATTGCTTAAACTTAGTTAATTATTCTCCAAAATTTAAAACGAGCTATCGTATAATAGTTTATTCTGAAAAATTTGACATCTTTGCATAAAGTATTGCGCAAAGATGTCAAATCACGCCAGAAGTTTGAAGGTTCGTCGAACCAGCCGAACCTCGAGACTCAACGAAAGTTTGTGGCACCTCTAGTTATCATTCTTGGACCATGAGTGTTTTGTTCTTGGAGGTGTTGCCAATTCTGCACGGCAGAGCAGTACAGATGGCACAACATTTACAATAGAATGGAAGAACACACTTTTCAATCTTCTTATACCGTAAAGTCTCAAGAGACACGCAAATTCCTTCAAAAGACAATAAGTTAAAAATGGAAAGCAGTTTAGCGTGGCTTAGCGATAGTAGTTGTTAGAACGGGGAGGAACGCCGTTCCGATGCAGAACGGTCGTGGGACGACTCGCGGGAGGTGCGGCAGCTCCGCCTGAACCCGAGCAGTGCCATCCTGGAGCAGCTGACCACTCCCTTGCTGGAGACGCCCCTCCCGCCCAAGCAAGACCTGGGCTCGGAGCTGGACAAAGAGCTGGACCTCAGCTCGAGCCACATCATTGACCCCGGCATGGAGGCCAAGGTGGGGCCCTCCCGACAGAACTTTTTATGACGTTGCCCAGAACACTTCTCCAATCTGTGTGTTTAGTTTCCCATTTCGCTTGTGCATCGCAGCTTATTCAGTGTTCCTGGGGTGAGCGAACCGATTATTGACGAGAGACTCCCCTTTTGCTCGTCTTTGCCTGCGTCGGCAGAACTTCCTCCTGGCCAAGAACCTCCACAGCCTGCAGAGGGAGAAGGGCGGGGACATCCTGCTGGACGTGTGCCTCGCCCTGCCGTCAGTGGTCCAGTACACTGACTCCATGGAGGAGGTGCTCCTCTCCGGCGGGAACATGATCCCAGACTGCCTGACCAGCAGCCTTGTACTAACCGGCTCGTGAGTCTGCCTGACCCGGTCTCTCGTTTGTCGCGCTTCCCGCACGTTGAAGAGTAGCAACAACTCCCGAGTAAGCTTTGTCGGCTCCTAGTCGCTCCTCTCCCCGCTTCGAGGAGGGCCCGGTGCATTCGGATGTGGACATTCCATAGCCATTATAGTCTGTTGCGAGTTAAGAGAAACAGGACAACTTTCTTTCACCAAGCTCTCTGGCTGCAATTATTGGTGGCACCCTCCTCTCCCCTTGTCTCATCTCCGTCGTTCGCCTTGCTGAAGTGGAAAGAGTAGAGGGCTTTTTGGGAGGAAGTTTGTCCCGCTTTTTTTAACCTTCAACAGGCTATAGTTACTACTTTATTACTTAGCCTTTAGTCGCCGTATCGGTTTGAGTGGGCGCCGCTTTGGAAAGGAAGAATACCTTTGGAAGGCACCCCATGCAGATCTGTCACATGCTTCATTCCGTCGCTTCGATCGGGGGCTGTAGCTTTTGCCCTTTGCCAAGTTACGTCAAAACAGAATACATCCCTTCACGCATTCCTGTCTTTAAAACAAGGAACGCCGCGAGTGTGTTGGTGGGCCGAATAACATCCGATTGGTTCGCCTTCGACTGGTTCGTCTCCAAGTGGTCCTTCTCCGGCGCCCCTCAGGAAGAACCTGCTGAGCGACGTGCTGCTGGTGTGCAAGGCCCTGGGCCTGCCCGTGCTGGAGCCCCTGGGCCATGCCCGGCTGTGCAAGCTGACCAGCCTGGCCCTGGGCTGCGCCCACATGGCTGTGGCGGTCACGGCCGCCGTCTGCATCATCGGGGTCACGGGTCAGGGCAAGGGGGGCAGCGGGGCTGGTGCCGGGGCCCTCCTGGCACCCTCCTGTTGGGAGGACGAGGGACACCTGGCGGCTGCTGCGAGGGTCGTCGAGGCCTGCGTGCGTTACCCGTCGTTTCGTCGCTTGTTCGTACCGCTGAACGAAGCTTTGAGGGAAAGATCATTAAACACGATTGGGCTAAGTGGCGCATATAGATAGTTCCGTTAAAGGCTCTCTCGGCGGCTCCATTTTCTTTGACTGCAGTGCCGTCTACATATATCCAGGCATTCTAAAGGGATCTTTGGAGTAAAAGAGGCAAAGGGCACGCGCCAGATCCCGATAGCGGTAAAAAAACCGGCCGTCCTCCGCGGGAATTTTAACCGATTTAACGGGGTAGAAAAGGGAAAGGGCACACGCCGTTCTCATCGTTTAGGCAGTTTCGGCGGGCTCTACCGCCGGAACTGCACTAACGCGGAAGCTCTTTTCCTCTCTTTTTTCACTCTAGTAGTAGAGCATTCCAATATTACATTTATTTAAATATTTTTACATCCATATAGTGGCTTTTATCAAGTTTGAGAATTTATGAAAACATTATTTTGCCTCCCCTGAATCCTCTAAAAGGTGAATTTGGTGTGGTGGAGATTTTTTAATTGATGCTTAATTTTTGTGATTTTTCGACTAAATACAGAAAACATATCTTCATCAGTACTTTAGTTTGTCAGGCCAGGTTGAGCCGATGAATGAATAAGCATGGGTGCATCCATATAGACTTGGTAATTTTCCGTCTGCAGTTGGACATTTACAACACCATTGCAAGTACCCTGAGGACATCAACAAGAGCCGGAGGTCACGTAAGTGCCCACACTTCTTGGCGTGAAAAAGATCCGTCTCATTTCTCCTGCTAGCTGTATCTCTTTATCGTGCTCTTGATAGCCCAGGTTTTGGGTTTGGCTCGTTTCTTTGTCATGGGTTTGGCTCGTTTCTTTGTCCACTGTGGCCAATTTATTTCGGTCACTCTGAAACGAGATTATAACCAGCAAGGAACATCTTTAATGTAATACTGACCCAGTTTGATAGCCCTTGTATTGAACACAAGTTTGGATTGCACTCAATTTAGTCTTGGAAAACATAGAAAAGAAAGGTGCCACTGGTGTGTTACCCTTGACTCAATCGTATAACAGGCATAATCTGTGTTGATAAACTTTTCAGGTCCCTTTCAATGAACCAGATTTCGAGCTACCAGAACTGAAACTATGTCAATTGTTGGGCCGTTAGTGGCAACCGACACGGGCCTTTGTGTTTATGACTGGCTACTTTTTAACCTTTCTCCATTTTTTTGTTGTGGTCTGGCACGGCTAAAATAACCGGCAGAAGAGAGACATAATTGAATGGTGACCCAGGTAGTAGCACAGTTCTTTTGGCCGAAATTTGGTTTTTGTTTGAGATTTGCGGGCCTTATAATGCTTGGAAGAGCCAAGACGGAGCCAAGCTTGACCTCCCTTCGACTAGAGTCGCCAAGCAAGTGCCAAAGTTGGGCTTCACTTCCGTTTTTTTCGGTTTCACGGGGCAACTTCGGGGCCTAAATTGCTTAACAAGTGCCAGATTTAGGCTTCGCAGGGTGTCTACTAACCGAGAAAACCGGGAATTCTCGGGGATTTTGAATAGTCTGGAAAACCTCAGGGAAAACTCAGGGAATTTGTGCTTCTATCAGGGAATTTTTTAAATATTTTTTTTATTTTTAAAAGTGTTACAGATGGACTCTCACAGTCCAAAATTCTTCAGATATCAATGGAATGGACCTAACGTACAGTCGAGCTCGGTTATATCACACCCGTGTATTTCGAATTATTGTTTATATGTAACAGTCTAAACATCCCCTAGAAAATCGTTGTTTTTCTGTATCGAACGCCCATAACTCCCATGGCGGGGACACTCGATGTAGCGAAGACGAAGCGATGTAGCGAAGACGAAGCAGGGCCCCAAGCACGGCAGTCCTTCGCTTCTCCTGGGGTCGGATTGCGGATTGCCCGGGCGGGGAGCTCATAGCTCGGGTTGCGGGGCTGGCAGACCGCCAAGCCAGCATACGCGCACGCGGGGATATGCAGCGAAACCGCAATTCTATAAAAAAAGAATAAAAACAAAACAAAAAAAAAGTGGAGGATGGCAAAAGCAAGGGGAAGGGCACCCGCGCGCGTAGGGAGGGTAGGGAGTTCCCGCGCTTCAAACAGTCGCGCGCGCTCTTCTTGCCGAACACCGCTGTTGTTGCGCGACTCCTTAACCCCAAAATAAAGTGAGCAAAAAAAAAAAAATTATTTCGTCAAGTGGAGTGTGTTGACAAGGGTTGAGCAATTGCACATTGAATGCCTTATCCTGTTTACCTATTTCTTTCCCCAATAATGCTCCCGTTTTTCTTTTAGAGTGCAGCTCTTAGGCGTCTGTTTCCGGCTTGAGCGGCGTCGCCGTCGGCGTAACCTTGAGGTCACGTGACCCCCCCCTCCCCCCCCCCCCCCCCCCTTGAGGTTACGTGACCCCCCTGAGGTCACATGACCTCACGGGGGGAGGGGGGGGGGTCACGGAAACCTCATTTTAGCTTTTTTATATTTTATTCGCTGTGAATTTTACTAACCACTCCGTTCTGTTTTCTTTTTAAATCCAATAAAAGTTACTTGTTACCATTAAAACTGTATCATGTCGTTTTTTTTTATTTTATAACATGCTTTTTAGAGAGTGACAGCATCTGGCGACATGGTGTCAGCCCATCTTGACCTAAAACAAAGTTCTGCGTCACTCGGGGAATTTCACAAAAGTACTCGGGGAAAACCTGGAAAACTCAGGGAATTTGAAAATGTCAACTTGGTAGACACCCTGCTTCGCCGCCGGTTCTTTGGCCACAGAAATGCCAGAGGAAAGTACACTGGCTTGCGCCTTGGAGCAGAACGGTATTACTCCGGGGTTTGGCTCCTAGGGTTACCAAGTTGGGCGTTTTTCTAGCACGCTACCTGGGCACCACTGGCCATTGGTAGCCCTCTGAAAGCACCCCTTGGCAATGTCGCTGTGCAGGTGCTTCAGAACCTGCACCTGCTAACCTCCTGGCTGCTGCTGAGGGGCCTCCAGGTGATCCTGGGAGTGAACACCTTCCTGGATCGAGCCTGCAAGGACGGGGCGGGGCCCCGTGGGAGGGGCACCCCCGATCAGACGCCCACCCGGACGAGGGACCAGTCTGCGGGCATCAAGCAGAACCTGCTTAGGATGTGAGTGAGACCGCCCCCTTCCCCTCAGCATAACTGCGCTGCCTGAAATGCGTCTCCGATTGGTCTGCTTGTCGTGTCCCCAAACGTGGTCCCCTGCTTTCCGCCCGATGATGTCGTATAAGTGTCACACTGTTGCTTGCCGCGGTGGTGCGGTGGCTTAGCTGGATGCGGCAAACGCTGGTTGTGTTGTTGGGCAGAATTGCCATCTCGAAAATCGAAACCCCGTCAAACAAATCCCCAGAAAACCGTTAGATTCAGGGCACAGGCCGAAAACGACCATTTGAACGCCACATTTCGACATTTGCTCCAACGTGCTTGGTTTTTACCCCCATAATACCTCAATGGCGCCGTGACCACTACTTTCACTGCCGACAGTTCTGTCGAGAGTATGCAAGAGTAACAACCCCAGAACTCCAACTTGCTGCAGACATCGAGCTATTTATGACTGATAAGTGTAAACTGGAGACCATTTTAAACCACCAGAAAGCACGCCGACATATCTCAAAAGCCGCTGAAAATCCCGCCAACTGCGATACGGCGATTTTTCTCTGCCAGACGATTCGGAAAACCGCCGAATTTAGTGGGAAAACCGCTTGATTGGCCACATTAATGGTAGGTCGCCCTGAAGTCAGGTAGTCGACGGAAACCGAGGCGGACACGAGATGGGACTCCGCAGCAGCAACAGCAAACCCCATGTCTGCTCGCTCTTTTCGGCAGCATTTCTACGACCGACTGCTAGAATCGTGACATTTTTGATGCTGCTTCGGGACCGCTTTCGATGTGTGGTGGGTTCAGGGCGGTAAACACACCAGTCACGTTCTATGCACTGTAGCGTAACCGCAACACCGTCAATGTGTTCTTGATGGGTAAAAAAGTGAGGCACCACGATTGGTCAGTTGCCTCATCGGAACTCTGTCTCGAGGAAAGAGGTTTTGAAGATCTGGCACGCCACGTCTTGAAGACCTAATGCAAACAATGAGGTGCCGTCGATGTAGGTTTTTAGCCGAGAGCAGATAGCCGGTTTGTAGCGGTTGTGTCCTACAAACGGAGGTCGGTTTGGCTCCTCAAAAGCAGGTTCTCATGCGTCCTCTCTTTGAAAGTTTGAAGAGAGGATTCGGAGCATTTACATTCACCCTTGGGAAGGCGACTTCTTCCGTTTTTGCCAAAGATAACGGTCATCCACCCAACATGTTGCATTAGTGAACAGATTTGCTTTGGAATTGAGACGTAATACTCATCTGCATTTGGTCAGAAAGTGAGAGTGGCTTCCTATTCTCGGTGCCAGTTACATTGTATTTAAATGTACTCAATTCTGGGAACAGCTTGTGGTTTGCTTTAAGGCGACGATCTACTTTCGATTGCCATCTCCTGGCCAGTTGTGCAACTGCTCTGCTAACGCCCTCTGGTTATAGTCAGCAGGGCTTTGGAGTGCTGCCGGTGGCCCTGGCCAACCAGACGCTGTCGCTGCTCACGAGCATCTTCGTGGAGTTGCGCCTGGAGGCCGGAGCGGCTCCGGACGAGGGGGAGGAGGCGCCCACTCCAGGGGCGGACCAGATCGTGGCCTTCCTGCGGGGTGTCACATTGCCCCACTCCGCCTGGATGAGGGTCACGGTGCTCATGCAGCTCAACCTCACGGCGCTGCTCTTTGACCTGGTCTCGGTATCCTACCGCAAGGCGAGTCGCCGTTTCTTCGGTCGCTGGCACGTTTAGGGCAGGTTCACACATGCAGCACAGCGCGGAGATAGCGCAAAGGCAGTGCTGCATTGGCGCCAGTGTCAGCACCGACCCAGCACTAGCGTCAGCAATGACCGCCGCTGCGTTATGTGAGTAAACAGAAAAAGGCCAGGTCGCATGCAGTGGAGTGCCGATGCAGTACTTGTAATTATATCAGCTTGAACTTTAGAAATATCTAGAACACAAAGACAGAAAGGACAGGATATGACATGCAGCTGACTACCAACAATGTTTTAGTGTAAACTTCTTCCTTGCGCTTTTGCTCCTTCCTTTTGAGTCCCAAGTGGAGCACAATAACGTATTATATAAATTACCCTATTCCACTAATAAAGATCACTCCCGATATTTACACTTATACAAAAAATATGTACAAATAATTCGCACAGTATTCCTAGCAAATTATTGTTTTTGAACTAACCCGCCACAAGCTCGTGCTGTTGTTGTTTGGGGCGTGACATTCTGTAGGTGCTGTCTTTCTTTTTTGTGGATGGTGATTGATGGCGTGCTGACACAGTCCTTCGCGTGCTCCTCGATGGCGAGCGCCTCGAGCATTTCGCGTGCATGAGGATTGTTGTTTCTTCCAAGAACGGTGGTGCTGTTCAAAGCTACACTGCACTGGCAAGTCCTCCAATGAGCTGCCAGATGTCCTGCCGCTGTTCCCTTTAGAGACGCTGCATGCTCACGGGCTCTGTCGTTGATAAATCGGCCTGTTTGGCCGATGTAGCATTTCCCGCAAGACAGGGGAATGTGGTACACCACTCCTGTTGAGCATGGGAGATATTGCGTTCTGTGGGCCGTGTTGCAGGATTTTTTCTTTCTTTTTCGGTTCACTTCACTGCACATATAGTATGCTTTGTTGGGCGCGGAGCATACTACTTGTACGTCATTTCTTGCTGCAATCTTTTTCAATTTGTGGGTGATCCCATGAATGTACGGTAGCACCACGATCTTCCTTCGAGTTTTGTCTGCGTCTCTGTTTGCCTGACTTGTATGCTTCAATTTTTTTTCAGATGTTTTCACAGACTGGCATCATAAGACTAGTTGGGTATCCCGATTCTCGTAGGCGGCACATCTGTTTTTCAAAACTTTGCCCTATTTGATGCTCACACGATTTGTGTAGGGCAGAGATTAGAGCCGTGCTAGCGACACTCCTCTTGATGGTTCTTGAATGTCCGGATGTGAACGGCAGAAATCCTTTCGCTGACCGGGGTTCGTACCTCCAGCACACGTGTTCTTGATTGAAAGTCAGATTGAGATCTAGAAATTTTATATTTTTGTCGACAGGTGCTTCATAGGTGGACACCAAGTCAGGGCAACTTTCTTTGAAGCATCTAAGAACTGTGTCTCTGGTTCCGTTTGTCTGGTCGTCGACTTCCGTGGCACTTAGTATTAAGGGGAAACACTACCCAAAAAGCTAACTTTTTAACCGCTCGATTGATTTTAATGAAACTTGCAGGGGGCAATCATATTGCTCCCAGGACCAACTGTGCCAACTGTTAAAACTCTATGTTCATTTTGTTAGAAGCTATATAACTTCAAAGATGAAAGTGACTGTGTCTACTTAGGAAAACTATAGTTTTGTAATAAATGGGAATTCCACACTTGTTATGTCTTTGATGGAATTAGGAATGCCTATAGCAGGGGGCTATGGAGTCATTTTACCACATTTCAGCTATTTTTGCAACAAGAACATTGTACGAACATGAGCGACACTTTCATCGCTTTCACTGGTCATTGAAAATTACAATTTTTCAGTGTCAACAAAGGTAAATATAGAAAAATTAAGCTCATAGCAGCCCCCTTCCTCATAAAATTTCACATAAGAAGAACTCTATTAAAGGCATATTTGCCACTTGATATCAAAACGATAGTCTTCCTAAGATCAATATTTGTCAGAAAAACAAAATATGAGAAAACTCGATTTAAAGTTTTCAAAGTACCCCAGTTTATTTCTAGGGCCTAAAATTTCAAAAGCCCCCAGCAGCATATGTTGGACCTTCCTGGTCCACACGGTGCTGTTCAGCAGAAAGAGCATCAAGCTTCCGCTTCTTCTTGGCCACTTTTGAGGACTGAAGTGCTTGTGCTCGCGCGCGGGACAGGCACGAGTTCCTCGCTTGCTCCATGTGCTTGGTAGCGTACGAGCCACAAGCAATATTCAGCTTCTGAAGCACTCTTCCCACGCCCTGTGGACCATGATTAAAGTTCAGAACAGCAAGGGCTGCCGCTGTCTCCACAGTCTTCAAAGATGCGATCTCAGTTTTGGCGCACCTCTTCCACACCAGCGCGTTAAAAGACTCATTGGTGTTTTGTGTCTTCATTCTTGAGCACCTTGCGAGCAAGTCCGCATTTGCCAGCCTGTTGTAGACAGGCACAAGCTCAGCGGCAATAGCCTTGGAGAAGGCTGGGCGGTGCGCCTGCGGTTTTGTTGCTTTCCCCGCATCTAACAGGGCCTGGTGCCTGTTGTAGTGGCACCAAGAGTCCTCACCACGAGGGCAGGCGTTGTGCCGAGGCTCTGCATCCGTCGAGTATGAGTGGAGAAGGCTTGCAAAGATTCCCTTTTGCATCTTTTTAACGTCGGGAGCGTTGTCTTTGAGCGCAGCAGCATAATAAGCTGTTAACTTTTTGGTTACAACTTTTGTAACCTTGCCTTTGCTTCCCAGGCCTTTCTTCATTTTTTTTAGGTTTTCAATTCCAGAAAACATTCGCTTTGCTACATGATTTATGCAGTCTTCTTTTACTATCTCCTTGTCATACAGCTGGAGCTTGGAGACATGCATGAATGACTTGCTGTCACCATCACAAAGTACCGTAGTGTACTGCAGGTTATAGAGCTTTTTTGATCTGCTGAAAATAGCAGCAGCAGCAGCAACTTCCATAGCGTTCGACGAGCCATTAAAATTCTTTTGGCAGACGTCCTTGTGTCCCTCCAACCACTGCACATGCTCTGTTTCACCTTCTTTCGGGCCTAAGTTGCAGCCATGGCAATAATTGCTGTGCACTGAAAAGTCGAGCACGAGGCCCGATTCCAGATCAATCGCGGCTCCAAGTCCGAAATGAGATGTGTGGCCTCGTTTGTGCCAGGTGCCGTCGTAACTCACGGACGTGTCTGCCAGGTCACTGCTGTTTCAGACTCCGTTTTTGTTCCTTATCGTCTCGGCGGCCTCCTTCATGGACTCGCGCGCAGCATCCATAGCGGCGACATGCAGCTTGTCCGCGATACACTGATATGTCTTCAGATGCACCGGTGCCGGGGAATCCATGGCCCCGAAAAAGTTCGTTAACTTTGTGAAATTGATGCCGCAGTTCCTGCTTGCAACGGCGAGACGAACAGGCAACTCCGGCTGCCGGGTTGACGCGACGACCGGCGAATGCCCGGCCTTGACGATATCGCCGCACACACTGCATGAGACTGCAAAGTGAAGACTGGCGCCGGTACCAGTTTCCCTGAGCGCAAGCGACTGTCCTTTGCACGTAGGGCACGAAAGAGCGGCTATCAAAGTATGTAGGGCTGTCATTTTGATGAAGTGGTATCCGCTCGGCGTCGTTTGCCGTTCCTCGCCGGCGTCGTTCGACACACTTGCGCATGGGTCGTCTTTGTTCAAAAGCGCTGCCTTCCGTTCGAAGGCAGTAAGAGTATCATCCTCCATCGGAAGGGGTTGGGTGTCTGCCGTTGACGCCGCGTCGCACAGAGGTGAGACATTCGTTTTCGCTGGTCCGGCAGGCGAACATGGAGATGAAGGCGTCAGCCCGACTGGCCGCCCGTTACTGTGCCGGCCTCTTGGCTTAGAAAAGCGACGCCGCGTTCCGAATGACTGCAAAGTCTTCCTTTTCGTTGATGGCATTTTCTAGGTGAAAAAATACACATCCGAAATGGCAGGGATATTCGAAGCGGCCGGGCAATCGGAAAGTCACAACACCAGGCAAGATGGCGACGCGGAATGCGGCGAGAAAGACATGTGTTGGCCTTTCCGCCAACCGCAGCTCGAGTTTCGTTTTTCCAGCCAATGAGGCTTCTCCATTTCTCAAATATCATGTTTTCTTCTTTTGTTGCTGCACGTGCTTTGGCGCACCCTCGACAGAAGAGAGTATGAGCATTTGAAAGAGCAAAGAATGACGTTTCCAATGGGGGTACGTGCACGGCGCTAGGCCTATTCCACGCCTAACGCGCGCTTTGAAAATGGCGTTTGCGGGCCGTTTTTTCGCTTCCGAAGCGGAGTGCGTCCACCACCGACGCTCAATAAAACATGTTTTTCTCGCGTTCTAGGGCACAGATCATTATAATATTTTGTAAATAGATTCTTTATTAACCAAGGAATCGAAAACAAACAAAATCTGAAAACCCGTTTTTTGGATAAAAATTGCCGTTTTTGCCCCGTGTCCCGCCTTAAGAAGTCGTCCACGTAACGGAAAATCGCCTGGACGCTTGTATGTTTCAGGTTGTCTTCGATGATCTTGCCGCATGCCGCCAGGTACATATCACATAGCTGTGGCGCCACTGGAGATCCAATGCATACTCCGCTTTTTTGCACCATTGGTTGGTGCAAAAATATTTGCTTTAGATTTTAGATGGGTTATCTCTCGAAATATTACGGTATTTGATAATTCCTTATGTGCTGTTAATTTCTGTATGGTGCAGGCAGGGATGTTGAAGCGCATCCAGAAGCATCCTACTGACGGAGACAACTTCAGCACCTCAGATTCTAACACCTACTACGAGGAAGACTTCAGCACTTCAGACGAGAGCAGTGCTGATGAAGGTGAGGCAGTGCTGCAGAAATGTCTTTTCAAGCGTGTTCGAGATTGAGTGTTCAAACAACTTGAGGTTGGTCTTGGCTGACGCTGGTTCACGTTGTAGACGTAGAAGAGAAATTTAACTGAAGCAGTACAACTGCTAGCCCGGAGTCTTTAGTGTGTATCATGTAGTTTTGATTCACTACTGCACACTAATGTGATTATTAGTGGGATGTAAGGTCACTTGACACCATGGCTTGACACCATAATGTCACATAACGTCACGTGATTAATCAACAGAGTGCGTTTGCATGTGTCCGTGTCAACACAATGTTACGCAACTAATTTGAGTATGAAAAAAAGGGGGTGCTTTTTACACTTACAATGTGCGAAAAAGTGGAAACGATAGCTGTTGCATGTTCGCGCAGTGCGGACAAAATGGTGTCATCACATATCTGTGGACAGTACTATTTTGCCCACATGCTACAGCTATCCCTTTTACTTCCTTCGCTTGTTGATGAGAAAACCTGCACCGACGCAAGTGAGGGTGCAGGTTTTCCCGGTTTTGTTAGTGGTGAAGGGAGGGTGTATTGTTGATGCTCAGCGATGAGCAGAGAGGGGTACGCATACATAGAAACGTGGCTAAGCTTTGCAAGGAGGCGAATTCAAGGCGACGAGTTTTGGCAGAACCTTTTTTATGTTTCAGGTTGCGTTCAAGAAGTAGAGATGTTATAGTGAAAGGAAATGCGGTGGAAGTTTCTAAAACCCTCCATCATTACGCGTAGCGACTGGATACCGCCAAGGTGGTATTTTCTGTAACGTGAGTAATGTTAGAAAACACCTGTCCTGAAGTTATTGTTAGCAGACGACGGGAGAAGACACTCCGCTGACGCTTCCTCGACGTGGCGCTGTTATTGGCGGGTTGTTCGGGCCCTCCTCTCTTCCCTCTTTGCACGGCGTGGGCAATGGCAACACCCGACTTCACTCTCCTCTTGCCTTGAGGGGAAAGAAGGGATTTTCCGTCTTCGTAGCTACGACAGACGACAAACGCTGACACCGAAATCTTCGCAAAGTGTCACTGGTAAAACTATCACTTTAAAAGTAACAGAAACCAACCGCTTCTTATACATTGCAATTCGGCATATGACGGTTTGATCGACAAATTGAAATACTACTTCCGGCTGTTTTTAGTGCTTTTTTTTTAAACCTCCTCTCAATTGTGGAATGCTCGACGACGGACTTAGCTTGTCCGGAGGACCCAAAAACCCCAAAGAGTGGTGGCACACACAGGGGCAATCTCGGACGACGACAGCGAGCCCATCCTGGGCCACTGGTTCGAGGAGACCCTGGCCCCCCGGGAGCACAGCCCGACCCCCGGGGGCCCGCAGGCCAAGGGCCCCGACCAGGAGGCCGCCGAGGGGAAGGGCCCCTTCTACAGCCTGCTCCTTGAGGGCAGGGCGCTCATCCCCGACAAAGAGGAGCCCCACGGGGTGAGAACGACCTCTATAGCAGACAATCATTGTTTTAGGGGCGAAGCTCCTTAGGGGCTAGCCATGTCCGTATGTCCGTCCGCTGTTGGGTGCACATGCTCCTGCTCATGAGCTCACGCGCTCACGTGCATGTGAGCACATGCTCCCGTGCTCGTGTAGGGCAAACAAAGAACAACCGCATCTCCTCGTGGTGAATGATGTTGATTGGGGCGAAGCTCTGGTGGTGCTTGTCTGCGTAGACGGTGAGCCGCAGCATGCCGAGTCTTTCAATCGTTTCCAACATAAATACAATAATGCTCCCAACAAGAATTGAACTAGGCACTAAGTGGTTTCCAGTCAGGTACTATGCTGATGGATGCTAAGCAGGGCAGGTGTGTGGGGCAGCTAGCAGTTTGTTTATAAAGTCATTATTTGTCATATCACGTCGCAAATCTCCTCATCTGGTGTCGGTCTATGTCGCACATCATGCCATATCCATATAAGTCGAAGCGAGCTCCTCCCCTTGGTTCGGTGCTTCGCCATGGCTCCGAGGCAGCTTACCGCCGAGTGTACGCGAGTATACCACATGCCTAGGAAGCTGTTGTGTTCATGTTGTGCTCTCTGTCTTGGAAGTTCATGACTGTTGTGTTTCTCTTCTCTTTCAGTACATCACACTTGCTACGAAGGTGCTTAGCTTCGTGAACACCTACCTCGTCAACTTCGAACCTGTTCAGGGATATCTGAAGTGAGTGGACGTTGCCAGCTCTGGCAGTTTAAATACAGTCTTGCACTGTTCTCGACTCGACTGTTGATTGGTAGCCTGAAAAATGGCAAAGCAGACCGCTGTTGGAAAAATTGTTTTGTAAAAAAAAAATTTAACTTAAGATTTATTAGAGTTGTGAGAAATTTTTTTAAGGCAGGTGGTTTTAAGCACTGTATAAACTTCCAAAATATGTCGGATGGTAGAGGGCATCTCTCATACCCTAAAAATATATTGCACTGCTGTTTTGAAAAGGTCTCGTCTGTCTTTTGGTGACGAGCTGCAAATTGAAATTCTAGACTGATTTATGAGGTACATGTAGTATGACAGCCCTTTGTTGATCGTTTTGCTCCGACCAGGCTTGTCGAGAATGTTGGGTGGTGTCTTGTGTATGTGTGCATCCTCGGCAAGACTAATATATAAATAAGTACAAAAACTGGGGCTTGACAATACACGAAATCAGATTGTAGATCGCAGAAAGAATAAAGCATAGGATGAAACACAGACGTAAGAATGTACTTGTCTGTGTTTCTTCCTCTCTACGTTTTGTTTTTTCCGTTATCTAGCATACTTTACCAACACGCTCGTTAGGAATAAAATCAGGTTACATGCTGCTCCTGTGACAGAGCTCATATTCAACGATTCATGACGCAACAAATTTTGTCCCCTATCTCGCAAGTTCTGTGCCACGCTGTCTCAAAGAGAAAAGCACAAGAGTGCTACACTGCCGAACACTTCGTTTGTCGCAAGTTTGCACTGCAATGCTGCACAGAAATGCTGAGACGGTCGGTATAAGAGCAGTGTAATGTCCCTCAGTCTCGTATCACAAGACAACTGAGGGATTTGTGTGTTTGCCTAAGTACACACAAAAAACAATTTCTGCAAAAAAAAGTTTATTTAGAAAAATGCCATATCTACATTCAACAACATCTAGCCTAGAGAGCATTCACAGAAGGTTTCATTTGTTTATACAGCATAGTTATTTTCTATAAACTATTTTCGGTCCACCGATGCTAAAGAAAACATAAAGGTTCAAGCCTTTTGAAAGCGTTTTTCTCAGTTCAGCTTTTCGGCAGCAAATCCCACTTTAATAAAACTATTGTTTCAGTGTGAAATTATCGAGACTTGTTATTTGCGGCTCATATGCCGAAATTTTATGGAGCCGGTTATACTACGTATGTACTTAGATTTTGCATTTTCATGTTTCTTTATTATGAAAAATTGTAATTTGCAAAACTTGGTAAATGCATATTTTTGTGAAATTTCTTTTCATAGCAACCGGCAACAGGTATGCGGGATGCATTTCACCAGAAATACCGTATTTACTCGCATAATGAACACTTTTTTTCTTCAAAAATTGACACATATTTGGGGGGGGGGGGGGGGGGGGGGCGTTCATTACACGGGGTAGAATTTTTGCATTTCCACACTTCGTGCAAATGTCATATTAGGTACCAATATGACACAGCTAGGTAATGTGACACATCTCCAGTGATGGAGGCGCACCCATGGCTGGTCGGGAGCACGCCACAATAATCATGCTTTATAAATTGCAAACCTTTTTGGGGCGCTTTCGGGGTGCCTTTTACGGAAGGAAAAGCGCCCTAGGAAGCTCACTCAGCACGAAAAGCAACGCGATCGTTCTTAGGCGATATATATTGCTAGTATTTGGCCGGCACACTCGGGTATAACCGGAACTACCCGAGTTCTTAAGAACTCGTACGAAGTCCAACCCATGACCTCCGAAACCCCCTCACAGGGATCAAGTTTCGTTCAGGGAGAGGCTACCAGACACTCTCAGACCAGCCTACAGTGCAGGGCGCACCTCGCTGTGCCGTTCTGTTACGCATTAAATAAACGCATTAACCCAGAGTATGTGAAATTAGGTGTAACCACTTTCATGATTTTACTGTCCGAAAGCAGACCACAGACCACGGCTTGTTTGTTGACATCAATGCATCCGATAGGCGACGAATGTCCGGGGCTCGGCAATTCCTGGACCCAAGCTTTGTCACGTGTGCGCGACACTCGTTTTGATGGTTGATCACTTCCGTAACTACCGCAGCTACGCACTTGAGGCCATTGCGAGAGCGGCTTGGCTTGGCTTGACTTGGCCTGATCGCTTGGCGGCAAAAGAAAACTGGCTTGGTGGCTTGCTAAATTGTACGCAATTCGAGACTCGCGGATCTGAAAATTGGAGGTGCGTTGATTTTGGGAGGGGAAACAAAAAAGTAAAAATATTGATGCCTGTTGGGGGGGTGCATTTATTGTGCAAAGGTGTTTATTATGTGAGTAAATACGTATATGTGGGTATCAACACCATTCCTCAACGAAAGATTTATTGAACAGATTCCATGCAAAGCTTTGTTCTGGGGGTGTAGTACCTTATAAAATTGAGTACCTCATAAAATTCACAGGGCTGAAACTTTGCATGCCCTCCTTCTAAAGGGCTATAAACACCACCTGCGAATATCGCGCCGATTGAATGTCGCGGTCAAAAGTTGACATTCCCAAGTAGTGTCCCCCCCCCTTATGACCCGTATTTTGTGGCCAGGTCAAGCATTGCCACCCCTCAGATGGTCATCCTGGCCGGGATTATCAAGGACCTGGATCGTGAGACGTGCAAAAGTGAGACAGGTGATTTCACTTGGCATGTCTTTGTGGCGCTTGCATCGCGAGGCATACCTAAATCTAAATGTGTTTTTGAGTGCTTTTGCAGTGGCCCTCATGGCTAAAGGGGTGTCCAAACAGGACACTACAAAACCCGCGACTCCGGCAAATCGTGCCGCGCTCTGCCGCGATCCGCTTCCGGCCGTCGGAGGGAAATTTCCTTCCGTCAATTCTTCCCGGGGGAAACTTCCCTCCGTCAAATCTCCCCCTCGCTTCCTCCACGGCGGCCTTGCTCTGCTCATCACGTGGGTCCGGAGAGCCACTCACACGCTCTGTTGGCTGTCGGTCAATCGCTCAAGGCCCCCGCTCACAATACGGAACCGCGTCGGACGCCATCACGACGAAAGTGAATCTCGACAAAGAAAGCAGATCCGAGGCGGGCGAAACGCACCCTTCGACGCAGGAATGTCCCAAATCCACCCAAAGCCGGACCTCCTTGGCCTTCGAGCCGAGGCGACGGCGGTACGAGAGGGCGTTGGCGAGGTGAGCCAGACGCAGGTGGCGTGTGACGTCAATCTGAAGAGGAGAGCAGTCGTGATCGTAAAAATTTTCACGACTCCTGCAAACATTTTTACGACTCCGACAGACCGTAAAAATAGAAGCGTCCGCTTCAATTTTCACGATTTGTCGGAGTCGCGGGTTTTGTAGTGTCCTGTTTGGACACCCCTTAACAGACCTCTATCCAACGTTTCTGTCCAGCCGTATTTACCCGAAAATAGGTCGACCACGAAAATAGGTTGACCCCTATTTATTGAACCCACCGAGAATAAAAAAAAAAAAATATATATATTTCGAATATAGGTAGACCTTTTTTTTTTTTTTTTCTTTAGGAACAGGGTAAAATTAGGGCAAAAGAAAGAAACAAATCTTTATTTACAGCACTCTCGGCTAAACCGCAGGACTATGCCAAAAACTTAATCATCGTCAGAACTTCCGGACATGTCATCGTCGTCCGAAGCTTCGTCAGCTATTGGTAGACATCCTTGCAAATTCGCAACAATACCTCACTGACACCGTCCGTTGTAAAATGACGACAAGAAGAAACGAAAGAAGGTGGAGACGGGCGAAGTGACAAAAGACCGAATACAATTACGCGAGCAACGCCGGAGTCGCCGTGAGCTACACGTGAGCCGCCACAAGCAACAAGCTAAAGTAACCTCCGTTGTTTCTTTTTTTTTTTTTTTTTTTTGTGCGCATTTGCGAGGAAGAGGAATGGAGGGCAAGGTACATGGCGCATCGCGTTCCTCTCCCTCCCCTTGCCCAGCGAGGGGAATGCTACAGGCGCAATGGCGAAACCCGGCGCCCAAGGGATGTGCTTGAGCAGCGGCCATGGCGGGAGGGCTGTCGGTTGCTGCTGTTGCGGTTGTTTTCGTGCACCAAAAGCTTTTTAAAACAAGAAGTGGCGCGGCTCTGCGGCAACGCCGGCTCGGTGATTCGATAGCTCCATGCCCTTGGTAGGGTCGCAAAATTTGGTCGCGAATGTAGGTAGAAATTCTTTAATGACGATTATAGGTCAACCCTTAAATTTTGGCAACATTTCCAAAAAAAAAAGGTCGACTTGTATTCGAATAAACATGTTGCAGACTTTTTTGGTACTGAGATCGGGCTTGTTCCTGATCTTGCTTGTTTTCATCTCGTCTACGAGAAAGACTTCAGTTTTAGGTTTTGTGCTCCCGCAGGGTTTGGGGCAGCACCCTCTGGCAGGACCGGATCGTATGAAAAGGCCCTTTATTCTTGTGCATCTTTTTAATCTTTATTTTAGGATTAGAAAATTAAGCGGGACTCCTGATTCTTGTCCCGAGTCTTCACGGAGGCTCTTACGAATCGAAGGTCTCCGCCGTTGGCGGGGCACTGTTGCACTCAAGCTTGACTACAGTTTGAAATGCCCTATCGAGATAGATAGTCCACCCCTGTTTTCATGTCTGATCTTCTCCTCTTTGTATAATACCGTATGGGGGAAAAACTCCTAAACCCTTTCACAAAATTTTGTGACTTGGGCTCGGACGATTCGAGCAACAGGGGAGGCTACGAGTCTTGCAAAGGCGGTCTGTTCCCTCAATAGCTCGGATTGTAATGCAATAAGCAGTTATCCCTTCGTCGTTTTGAGAATATGATACTCGTGGCGGTGGTCTATTGCAGCCGATGTAGAAATGGGTGAATGATGAACCAGGTTAAGTTGTTGAGGTTTTTCTTGCGACTCATAGGTACCATCAGCATCCTGTTTGGGGCCACATTGGGGCAGCTCTATGAAGATTTCTCGAGGGCACTGGCACGTTTTGTCCACAACATCCTGGCAACGGGTCTGCTGGACGACGTCTACCAGGTAAGTCCTGGGAGCGCTCCTTTTTGCATGCCCCATGCCTCGATGCATTTGTTCAAACAAAATATGTTTGCTTACAGCCATCAATGTACTTTTCTTTGTTCTCCAGGATGGGCTCTTGACGCACCTAAACATCAACCCGTGGGTCCAGAAGGAATGGCCCCTGCAGATCTACTGGCGTACCCTGTCCATACTCGCTCAGGCACGTGCACCTGACTTGAAGTTTCTATGTCCACCTTCTCCACATTACCAGTGGAAAGATAGACGTGGAGGTAAAATGGGGCCGTGCCACAACACCTAGTGCTATAAACAGGTAGTTTTGTTTTTATAGTAATGTGAAACATTCTTTGGCTAGGTGTTCGGCATTTCATGAAGTCCAGACAAAAGTGAAGCCCAGATAAAAGCATGGCCGCAAGGCTCGACACTGATTGGTTGACGGGTGGGAGGGGAGAAATGAGGTGCTCGACGCTGATTGGTTAACGGGGAGGTCATGTGACCAGAGGGGTAGGCGAGGAGGAGCTCGACCACCTGTGCGCACTAAGGTAAACGAGCTTGAGAGTGTGGAAGGCCCTGGAAGATCGCCAGGTTTATCAGCCCGATTAGTGGCAGTATCACTTCATTCTAGGAGCAACTATCGAATGCACATATGGTACGCGTTATACTATCTGATGAAGAGCTGTGTGGGCGTAGGCATTTGGCAGCTGAGAGTATCACTAAATGTTTGTAATGCTGGAACATTACATGTATGCAGGACAATTGCCTAGCAATTTACCATCAATTTTTATTTTACCGTTTTAGTACCTTACCAGTTTAGTAAAAATTCACAGATTTCCAAACCTGCCCTTGGAGTGGTGACTACCAGTGGGTTTAGAAAGTTTCACTGAAATGTGTGCTGTTATTTTTTTTTATATCTTACATTTTTTTTAAAATATGTCTTATCGTTCGTGCTCTGAGAACTTTGGATATACAGGAAGCAGCACATGCCCCATTGTCCCTGGTGGGGGTTGTCAGGGTAGGGAGTGTTTTCTTGGCAGTACCAACTCGATAAGACCCGTGGCCTTGTCCTTAACCATTTATTTCTACTTGCAAGCAATGGTTCTTTGGCAGAAACAAGTTATTTCTCAGTCTCTCATCTGCTGACATTACCATTTTATGTTGTACCTACAGGTGCTGCTGTTGAGGCAACAAAAAGACAAAGACGACCTGCGAAGCGAGAATGACAGCGCGTGCGTCCTCATCTTCCGCCTCGTCCTCAACACGATGCAGAAGGCCATTCTTTCGTCCCACAATGACGACAGCGAAGGTAAACCCGCCGCTCCTGTTTGAGCCATCTTGTTTTTTAAAACGAAGGACGAAGCCTCAGGCACAACAGACTGATCTCGCTAGGTGTTTCATGCACACATGATGCTGCCACAGCTTTAGTCCACAGTTGGCAGGTACACGAGACCGCTCATGCCGTCTCATGTTCTGCTCTCGCAGACTCGCACGAAGACTCGTAGTGCGTGCAGAAGGACTGCAGTTTCCACGATGCATGCCTGGAGTGGTGTTGTAATGAAACTTCTAGGTGAAATCGGTCTATTTCCTTCTGTATTCCAAGCAACTTTGCATTCACCACCCTGATGTACATTTTTTATTAATTTATTCAGTTATCTGCATTGCCCTTATCAGGGCATTATTGTAGGGGGGAAGGCAATACAAAAAAGACAACATAAAGTATAAAGCTATGCATAGAAAATATGCGTGCGATTCGGAAAAAGTTTTGGTGACATCAACTATGAAAATAATGACATACAGTCAAACCCGACTATATCAAACCCGTTTACATTGAATTATCCCTTATATCGAACACTTTTTGTGCATAGTAATGTTGCAGTGATAATATATAGCAAAAACTACAGTTACATTGAACAAAAATAGCAGCCACTACCTATATATTTAATTGCCAAGAGCGCCGTTTTGCTCTGCGAGCACGCTTTCCCCCAACGCGAGCGATCGCATTGGGGAAAGGCCAGCTTGCAGAACATGCCTGGCGGCCGCGTCGACCGCTTGGAAGAAGAAAAATATCTCTTTTGCGGAGGGAACGGGAAAAGGTGTTTTGTGCTCCCTCTCCCTGCTCAGTCCGCAAAAAAATATTTTTTTTTTCTTCCGGGCAATTGACGTGGCTGACAGGAAGAAAAAAAAAAAATACAGCTTGCTCTGCTAGCTGGCTTTCCCCCAACGCAGCCGCCGCTGCCCACCTTAGGGGAAAGCCAACTTGCAGAGCGAAACAACGCTCTGCAGGAGAAAATGCTCCTGCTCGGACGTGCTCTCAACATAGTTCGGCGCTAATGCGTGAATATAGAAGGCAGGGGCCTCGTCATTTTGGAGTCCGTTAATAGCGTAGAAAAATATTGTTATTGTGGATGCAATGAAGGAAATGCAGCGGAAGATGCAAGACTATTTCATTGTGTAATATGTCAGCAGAAAGTGTATTTTTGAGATTCAAATTCATTAAAACTTCTATATTGAATTACCCTCTATATCGAACTGGTAAACTTTTTTTGCGAATTCGATATAAATGGGTTTGACTGTAATAGGAAATTTGCAACAAAATAAAAACAAACTAGCAAGCACATCAGCAATCAAATTAAAAAATTGACACTTAGCCAAACAAAAAAACTCTGCAAAACTGGAAAAAAAAAAAAAAAAAAAAGAAGAAGAAGCTTGCAAGGAGACAATTTCATTTGGTAGGCTCTTTTATTCGTTTACAGTTCTCGGAAAAAATGCATATTTAAATATATTTATTCTGCTCTTGTACTCGCTGACTTTTAGATGATGATCGGTACGGTGTGACAAATAAGTTGGATCTCTTATGTAGTGTTCCTTATGAATGCCATTTCGGCCATTGAATATGTTGTAAAACAAGGACAATCTCACATATTTCTGCCAGTCAGCAAGCAATGACCACCCTAACAATTGAAAGCAAAGTAGAAAAGTGTGCCAAATGTGTCTATTCACTAGATGTGTGTAGTACAAGACATACCTTTCTAATTTTTGTTGCTAAATTAGATGCCACAAAGATTTTTTAAAATGATAACTAGATTAGCAGAAGTTAAAGAATGGCCGCCTTACAATGCTTTAATGATGTACAAAACTTTAGTTGCATTGTCACGCTCAGGAACTCAGTTTTCTCTCGTTTTTTAGAATCCCCAAACACTGTTTCAGAACCGCTTGACACAGTAGAGTTTCAGTGACACGTGAAGTGCAATCGGCAGTGTCCTTCATCAATGATGTCTCAGTTGGCGTTTTGCTTCTTGCAGACATGAATGTGGAGCACGCACAGCTGCTGCTCTTCCTCTTCCACAACCTGCAGCTGATGCAGAAGAAGGTGGTGCTGTTGAGCGTTGCACGGACAATCATCAACGTTGCTCCGGTGGCCCAGAGGTAATGGCCTTTGTTTTTAGCATTAGGAATGACGTAGTACATGTCTGTTAGGTGGCGCACGTTCGCTCCCCAGTTCCAAGACCTAAATAGAACCGTCCTCGTCATTTAAAACGCTGAATAGGACAAGGAAAGGGAGGGTGCCCTCTTGAACTAACCTATGAGGCCGTAGAAAGCCTTCCGTAGGATAGTCAAGCTTTCTCGAAACCGTCGTAATGGTAGTTTCACGCGAGTGATTCGTCTAGCTGGTCGTTTGAAAGTGGCTGCTTGTTCTTTCAGTCCACTCAAGGACATCCAGATCATCTACGTCGCGAGGCTACTGCACATCTTTGAGTACCTGATAAAAAACCTGTACGACGCTCCTGCCTCGTTGGTGGACCAGGTGAGCCTTTGCTCGCTAGTCTCGTAACTTTACGTGGCCGTGGCAAAACCGATGAGAATTGAAAAGACTTTTGGAAGTAGCGGAGATACTTGCCTCGACGCCAGAGCTTTTACTGTGGGTGTTGTTCTCAGACTGTGGATATCTCTGAAAGGCATTGTTTCATACTCGAAGCCAGTTCGAAGAGGCACACTTTTTCGCCCACAACATGCTGAAGTAAAAAGCAACAGCCGTAACACGTTAGTGCAACGCGGACAAAACAGTATCATCTCGTACATAAGGACTGAGGCGCGAAGTGGTTTAATGCACATTGCCGTCGCGATTGGCATCGTGGACGCCACCATCGACTGCCTCGAGCGTTCGGCAATTAGTAAAGCAGATGGGCAAGGTGAGACACGTGATGCATGCGTCTGTTTTTTGGAAGCACAAGGTTGATGGTGGTGCCCGTGCGCGCCATCGGTGCACAGACGTCTGACACCGTGCAGAGGCCCAATTCCGCCGCGACGAGGCTGTGGAATCGCTCGTTCTTGCGGCCGCCGAGGTCGACGTTGGAACAAACATATCTAAGGGCGTCATTGGCATTTTCTTTGCCAAAGAACCATTTGGTGGCAGCAAAGTGTGCCTGTATAGGCATAATGTAGGATGCACGTCAAGTCGGTCAAGCCACCTGCAAACGGAGCTGGTGACCGACAGGGATTTCGTATAAATGACAGCGAAGCTGTTATACACTAGGGTCTGGGAAAAAAATGCGTCCTCACATGTTGACAGAAAACTCCCCATTGGTCGTGGAAAGTATAAATAAATAAAAACAAAAAGAGGGGGCAACCAGCGTGAGTCAGCCTTCCTTGGCATTATTAGATAGTGAGGTCCTGATCCCTTGTTATCATCTCTAGGCATTGTCTTTGAGTTCATCCTAGAAGACATCCTTGAGGACGTCCGAGAGGTCGTCCTAGGCATCGTCCCCTATGCGTCGTCCTCGAGGTCGTCCTTAAAGCCGTCCTTGAAGTTGTCCTCAAGGCCATCCTAGAAGTCATCCCTGAGGTCGTCCTGGAGGTCGTCCTAGACGTCGTCCTCAAGGTGTCGTCCCCAAGGTCGTCCTAGAGGATGTCGTCTAGGACGACCTCCAGGACAACACTTAGAGGACGGTCCTCGAGGTCGTCCTCTAGGAGTCGTCCTAGACGTCGTAATGATAGCAGCTTCGCTAATCCTCCATCTTCACGTGAAGTGTAAGAGCTCTACAATTAAGATACTAGAGCAGGTGTATTATTTTTTTCCCCCATAGGTTCAAGCCAATCTGTTCACCATTCACGGAGCCTCCGCAGTCAACCCCGATTCCGAGAATACCAAACAGCATGGGAAGCTCTTCTTCCCTTGCAAAGAGGTTGAGGACAACTTCTTGAAGAACGTCCTTGCCGACATGATGCAAGGTGAGGATTCGGAACCTATGGCCGGTTGAAGCCAAAAGTTATGTACTACGAGATAGACGTGACTGCACTTGTGTTCGAAATCTGAGAGTCTTCCACGAAGTCACTGAATACCTGAAAAGTGTCGGGAGAAAAATGTACGAAAATATTAAGGTGGGCTCATACTATAAATATATGAAGTCTCCCTTTTGTCTTCAGTATTTCTTCTCCCACTTCTTTCTTCCTTAAATTTTTTTTAGAATTAAAATTCCAGTTGTGGGTATAGCACTTTCTTTTCTTTTTCTATGTCCTGGTCTGTCCTTTGCACTTTATATATGTAGTGTCGAGAAGATTTTTTAGGAAGAAACATAGTCGCAGAATTGGCCAATGGAGCACATAAAGAGTTGCCCTTTCCAAAAATGTGGAAACTCTACCCTCTCAATTTATTCCACCTTCTCCAATCTGTGCCATGCCGTGCGCACAAATGCGAAATATGAGTTGGCTTCCATCATACTGCAATTCTGCATTAAAGCTGAGGAGAATTGTTTAAAGGGAAGCTGAAGCAGTTTTGTATTTGAGGTAACACTCTTAAATCGTCTGCATTTGACCTCCAGGATCTCGATTACCGAAATTATTTTTTAATTTGGTGCATGGAGGCTGTAGAAAATAGTTTCTAAAGTACCGCCAAGGCCCTCTTTCCTGGAGCATGACTTCACAAAAGGAGTTTTCTGAAACTCCGCTCTCGCACATTTTCAGCGCCTATCAAAGCTATGCATGCTCACTCTTGCTATTTTCAAAAGGGGAAGAAAAGGACGTCACGACTGGTGCCAGTGCAGGGAAATATACCGTATTTAGTAGAAATATAGATCAACTTTTTTTTTTTTTTATTGAAATATCAAAAATTAAGGGTTGACTTATAATTGTGACCAGAAAATTTCGACTGATGTTCGTGACCAAATTTTGGGACCCTTCGGAATGCATGGAGCTATCGAGTCACTGAGACACCAAGAGACTACGACGTGACAGAGACCTGACAAGTGATCTTGCAGTAGCACTCTACTGCTTCTTGTTTCAGGAAACTTTTGGTGCACGAAAATAACCGTAACGGCAGCAGCTGGGGGTACACTGCTTGCAGCATCCCTCGGGTGTCGGGTTCCGCTACACACGCACCCAACACCACAGACCTTGCCCCACTGCCTTGCCCCTCCCCTCATCCCCTCTCCCCCTCCCAGCCGCACAGCAGAACAGAATAAGGAGGTTGAGGTTACTTCCCCTTCTTGTTGCTCACGAGGGCTCGCGGTCTTTTGTCTTTTCGCTGGTCTCCAGCTTCTTTTGTTTCTTGTTGTCTCCATTTTGCAACAGTGTCAGTGAGGTTTTGTTGCGAATTTGTAAGGATGTGGACGAAGCTGACGAAGCTTCCGACGACGACGACATGTCTGGAGGTTCTGACAATGATTAAACTTTTAGCTTCGCGCTGTGATTTAGCTGAAAGTGCTGTAAATAAAAGATTGTTTCTTTTTTTGCCCGAACTTTCTTCTGTTCTTTAAAAAAATAAATAAAAGGTCGACCTATTTTTTAATTTTTATTCTTAATTTTTTATTTTACGTGATTTTTTTTTTTTTTTTTAATTTTTGGTGAGGTTTATGTTAAGGCATCGACTTGTCTTCGAGTAAATACAGTACCTGGCAAGCTTGCAATTGCACGTGCGGCCCTCGAGCAACTCGCGCTTGGCAGCCGAAAGATTTTCTTCTGACGTTACGACTGGTCAGAGGTTTTTCGTGTTTTCTCATGTTTACTTACATCTTCGGGGAAAACAAACATGATATTCAGATTCACGGGATAAAACTACGCTAGAGCCAAACTCTATCTCATTTTTTTAAAAAAATGTTTCAGCTCCCCTTTTATGTGAGCATCTCACGTTTCTCCCCTTCTTGCAACAAACTCCAGGTGTCCACATCAGGCCCAAGTTCTACCATCTGATGATTGTGGAGTCTGGCACACAGGATGTCCCAAAGTTGGACGGATTTGTAAGTGGTTCGGGGCGCCTTCATCTCGCAGCCCCCAACACCCGAATGGCACGCTCTCCTTCCAGGCGTGCAGCTTCCTGCTGGCCTCGCAGGACGCCCTCAACTATTCCGACCTGTACGGGGCCATCCTGTCGCTGCTCTGGGTGGGAGCCCAGTGCGACGGAGTGGAGCGTCCCGAGGGCGCCAAGCTTTCGTACCTGGTGAGTGCACTGAGATGTGTGCCCGGGGTACCGTGGACGTCGCCGATATCCAAAGGGAATTCACAAATCACGACTGTGATACCTGCATTCTGGGTGTAACGACACCCCAGTGTACACCAACCCGAGGCTCCGATACCATGCCACTGCAGTGGTGCCGTTGTGGGAACACGGAACGTGCGTAGACGTGCGCGGTGCTTGCACCTGGCGTGGGCGAATGCCGGTTCGTTCGTAAACGGCGTCTCCATGGTCCTCCATGGTCCGGTGCTTGTGCGTGTGCAGGGCACGGCGGCGGTGCAGTACTGCTTCGGGGTGGTGTGGCGGCTTCTGCTGAGCCTGCCGCCCTCGGTCCAGCTGTCTGGGGCCCTGTCGACGGGCAACGCCGCGCTCGACCTGCCCCAGGTGCTCCACGCCATTGTGTGGGCGTCCCGCTTCGGCCACAAGAACTTCCTCGGCTGGATCCAGGTGCGCCTCTCTGGGAGAGACGAAGCGATGATACGCGGAGCTTGCGAAAGGGGGTCGTCCGACGGTTCCGTCCCGTTTTTCTTTTTAGGAGTCTCTGGTGAGGCAGGGCCTGATCGTTCAGAAGGCAGAGTCGACCCTGCACCTGGTTACTGCCAACGCCTGTCAGCTCCTCTTCGACATCAGGGTCTTCAAGCAGCTGGCCAGTAAGCAGGTACATGCCTGGTTTCCTGCTTCTCTTGCGAAACCTTGCCCACGTTTTTCTAACAAAAGAAATCTGGTAAACCTTTTAGTATCATACATTTTTACTCTCTGTTTGACACTCGGTGTGCAACAACGCTGTCAAAGCTGCTGGCGCGGGCGTGTGGCTTGGTCTTGCTTTTTGTTTGCACACATTCTCGTGCAAGTAAGACGAGGTGAATTTCGTGCGCTCACACTCTTGGCTTTGACAGCGTCGTACACTAATGAAAGAAACTCTAGTTACCATTGAAAATGTGGAAGAGATTACTTGCAGCAACTATTTATGTAGTGCAACTCCCGCTTAGGCCAAAAATGTTCTCGGTGAAAGTGAAATGAAAAGGAGGCTGTCGACAGCATTAATACAATGACCAATGATATCCGTGGCGCACTTGCAGTATTCAACTATTAAATTGAAGCCATTGTTTGTACCCTCACAATTGGCATGTGGCAGTACTAGTAACTGTTGCAGTTTAGCCACCTCTTGGCTTTGCGGTTAGTTATCCTTGTGGCACATTGCTTGCTGGTCATGTTCCTCCCAGCTGGGTGCCATTAAAATAGGATCAATCGATCAATGAATCCTTCCCAGCTGGCCCAGGGCCCATCCGACCTGAACAGACCTGTGCGTCAGAACGAGCTTCCTCGCCTGATGGACCTCTTTGTGATGGAGGCCCTCATCGCCAAGGTGCAGGTCTCCCTGGACGAGTTCCTATTCAAGCCCTCTGTGAGGACACATCCCTTTTTGCCGCTTCGTCTCTTTGTGCTCCTTTTACGAGCCTTGTTTGTGTTTGTTGTGTGCAGTCATGTTAGGACGACATTATTTTTTTTTCTACAAATAAGACTAAGAGACTTCTAGATTGTTTGACATTTTCATGTAGAGAGTAATGCTGGGGATGCCTAGAAGAGAGTTTGGAATCTGTTGCCTCCTTAAATTGGGCACATACAAAATTTTAGGTAATTTTCTTATTTTACCATATATACATGATTGAGGGTCGGCTCATTTAAAAATTTTTGAAAATATGAAATTGATTTATAATTAGGGGTGTCGGAATATTGAAATTTTCAAATACGAATCGAATACAAATATTACTAAAAATAGCTTTGAATATCGAATAAGTTTTGAATATGTGTGCACCATTAGGAAATATAAAAAAGAATGCACTTATTTTATTATCTTTAAAACCAAAAATGATGTTGACAAATTCAGGTTAATGAAACTATCTGAGTAGGCACCATATAAACAATGCAACTGGCAACAGAGCCGTTATACCTTGACTAGAAACCACCTGTCAGCTGTACATGAAAGCAGGCGAAAGGTGCAACTAATAAGTTATACAAATTGACAAAAATTATGTACAAAATTGCCCATGTCTGATACCATGTAAAAATGCAGCCTATAATAGGGAGTTGTAGTAGATCGTTTTTCTCCTCCGCTACGGTATCCCCGAAGAAAACGCTGCAGCTGCGCATTCGCGCCGCCAGCCTTGTCTGCATAGTTCAAGGTCTTGTGGCGGATTACGGAGCGCTATCCGGGTGCTTAGCGGGCTGCGGAAACGGTCTACTACAATTCCCTAATGTTGTCGCACAAACAACTGGCAGTGACCTTTTTTAGGAAAAAAGTTGAAATTGTCCTTGACTAGCCAGCAACTTAGATATCAGCTGCAATGGCAATTATTGCAAAATATATCATGCAATAAAATTATTGTTCGATATGTTCAGTACATAAGTGGTCCCTTTTCGCGGGGACAACTGTTACCGCAGCAGAAAATACCTTTGCTCCTGCAGCAGAAAAGACAAGGTCACTAGAAGAGTGACTCACAATGCAGGCTTGGCAAAATGAGAATCAAAACTGCTCTTTTGTCATGAGCTAATATAATGCATACCGTGCTTACATGTTTCTAACGCACACTTTTTTCGCCAAAAACCAAAAGCCGAAAGTCGATCGTTGGCGATCGGGTCAGCTAAACACGGATCAACAAGGACACAAAGGAAAGGACTTTCCTTTCTTCTCCAGTCCTTTCCTTCGTGTCCTTGTTCTTCCGTGTTTAGCTGACCCAATTGCCAACAGTATGTACCACCTAGCTCAACTAAAACCCATAAAAACTCAATACTCGGTATAAGGCGGCTAGCTTCATTGCCATCATGACCATTTGTTTACATTTCGAAACACACATTCTCTTGCATTTCCACATTTCCGAAGCATGCATTCTCTCGCGTCTACGGACTCGTGTCTGCCGTTTTAAGATGAAAAACACAACAAATTTCACTGCTTTATTTAAGCGAGAGGCCATCATGCTGGCGGGAAAAGATTACAACAGAGCAGCACTGCGTGGTCTCGCAAACGGAGCGACCCATCGAGCTCGCAAAGTGTTATCTGGAAGACGATCCTCCCAGGGGCGATGGTCGTGCACTTGTACAAGTGCAAGGAGTGCACCACCTAAAACTTTTTAGATGAAATCGAGGATTACCTCTGTGGTCAGCGAAGAACCGTCATCGGACTCCGGCAACTGCGACTAGCGCACGGTATTTATTTTTGTGTTGGTGTGCGTTTAATAACATCTGCTTTATGACCTCAACCTTCATTATTTTACCCGTGAGCTAGAATCGCCAGCAATTTACTTCTTAAATATCTGGAAGCTAAATCTGCCTGCACTTTAAAATTGTGGGGCACGTTAGAATCGGTGCAAACACGGTAGTTGTATGTACAACGTAAACGTCGAGGGTTTTTAAAAAAAATGGCTACAATATCCGCAATTTTAAGTGATTAAACACAGCTTTTAAGGAAGCTTTGAATGTTCAGCGCATGTCCCGTGCGCGGATTATTCGCTATTTGCTTGATTACTCGTCCATTGCCGGAATATTCGTCCATAACTGAATATTCTGACGTTTCCGAGTGTGCAATTCTTGAATCGAATACGGATCGAATAAGAAAAATACTCGTTTCGTATCCGCAATATCAAATATTCGCACACCCCTATTTATAGTACCGTATTTTCCGGACTATGAGTCGCACCCTTGTGTAAGTCATGCATCTGTATATTGAGCCGTTTTTGCAGAAAAGTTTGTATGAAAGTCGCACCTCTTTACACGGTTCATGCGACGAGTTTTTTCGTTTTATGCACATTGGTATCACGAAATCAGAGTTTCGCACAATCGGCTAGATCACACATACCATTTGACACGCAACTTTGACGTTTCGACTCGCGAGAAATGCCCATTGCACGGCTCTGTCTGGCGAGGGCAATCGAGTGTTTCACACAAGAAGGACGTAAAACACGCAAAACGAGAAGGCAGTCTGCTTTATTCGAGCATACACATGTTGAGAGAACAAAAGTTTAACATTGCAGACACGTGTGAACCAAGCTTTGGACCACTAGGCCCAGCCTTGGCCAAAGTCGCAGAGACGATGCGAGCATCGATGCGCAGGCAGATACATAAATCTTGACACACTACTTTGAGTATCGCTTAAAGATTGACTAGCTGCAATCCTTCTTTTTACATGTAACAACATGGCTGGAACATGGCAGATAAAAACTGCTCATCATATGGAAACTAACAGAAATTGCAATGCGTGTATACCAGCCGACTTACCTTTCACTGTCACTAAACTGAAGCAAAATAATATAGAACTATGGTTAAAATGGGCAACGTCTATCACATGCTGCAAAAGTTTTATTCTCACTGTCTTGCCCATCCACATTGAGTCGCTTCGGGGAAACTGTAAAATTTCTCGTTTTTCGAGTCAGTTGTGAAAACTGTAGAAGAGCGTGGCAACAACAGTGCCTCCTGGAAGGTGCAGCACCACTAATGAATACATAGTTACGGTGCTCTACAAAAGATGGCGTGTGGCACATAAAAAGAAAATTGTGTTGCACCGTGAATTAAAAACAAAAATGTGTATCAGTCACATTGTTGTATAAGACGCACCAAGAAAAATGTTTGAAAAAAAACTGAGACTTATACACCGTAAAATACGGTAAAACCAAAGCATTCACCACCGACAAAAACAAAACTATTGCGATATCAAGAACACCCCAGCTTGTTAAGAGTTTAACAGGTTGTACCTGTAGCATTGCACAATTATGTATGCTTTTAATCTGCACAAATGAGTTTATTGATTGCGATTTGGAAATTGGCCCGAATGTATGGCGGTGAACAGCGCGTGGTGTGCCCGACTCCCGGGGGTGACGGCACTTCGTGTAAGAGCATGTCCGGAACGGCCCCTGGAACAGCCTCACTCTGTGCTGCTTTTTTTCACACGATGCACGGTTGCACTTCGAGGTTGTGCGACCGTGCTAAAGTGCCAACTACATTTTTCTGTATTGACACACGCGATCCGGGCAGTTTAGGTTTTGGTGCTCGTTTATGGCCATTCTTTGTCCAAAAGCTATCAACAAGTGCGCTGCTAGACGCAAGTTTGACCCATTGGAGCGGGTGCCAAGAGCAAGTAATAAAGCACATTCTATACGCAAAATGCAACTTTCATTCACCAGGGGAGTAATCAAGGTACTGCAGACAGGGAGAGTAGACACAAGTAACGGGAGGGGAAGGGAAGAGCTTGTGCAATTGATCATGTATTTTTTATAGCACATAGCCCTATGGATGTTTTAACCAGTGCTGGGAAAATGCTGCAAAAGTGACTTCATTGCGTTGGCTTTGTTGTGGCGGTATCATTGAAAAGCCAAGTAGTTGGTGGTTCCTTTTGATGCTGCCAAAGGTTTCACCTGAAAAGAGCTCGCGTCTTCTGCACAAATCTGATCGGCCATCAGACTTGTGCAGATAGGCTGTAAATTTTGTGCTCTCCTCTGGACAGTTTAAATGCATGATCCTTTGTGGTTTTTGTCCAGAACGATAACCCTGGACGTGAGGTGAAAGAGCTGTCCAGGGAGCTGTTTCCGACGCTCGTCCAGCTCATCAAGCTCTACAGCACTTGCATCAGGTGAGGCACTCACTGGAGGTTTTGTGCCGCTTTGTCTTCTGCTGGTTTTGTGTTTGTGTGGTCATTTATTAATTCCAGCCTCTTTATTTCAGGCAGTGGTTGCGTACAAAATAAAAGACACATGCACATACCTACACCTTAGCAATACTCACCAAAATGTTTGTGAAACATTAAACCTGACTTTTCTTCAAGTTTGGGCATCCGCAAATCACCTCTCTAGAGATAAAAGCCGCAGCTTTGGCACCATGGCTGTCAGCTTGTCTTAAAATTTCTGAGCCCCTCACTTTCTATGCGCCATGTCGAAAATCTCTCCTTTGTTCTCCCAACTCGGTGGGCCTCTGTGGGGTGCAGGTGGAGCCTGCTGCTCCAGGCGGTGGAGCTCTCTCCGACGGGACGCTCAGAGGTGAGCCTGCGTGCCACGGACGTGGTTCTGCGCATGTGTTCCCGCCACTGCGCCCCCGTCATGGACACCGCCTCCACCATCGTGGCCTACCTGCCCCCGCACCTGGACTCCATGCTCGACTCCTGGGCGACCGTGCTGGTCAACGTCTGCAACTGGGTCAGTTGCTGCGTGTTTTCACTGCCACTGAAATGGATGGACCACAGATGAGGACGTGGCACCAATCGGAGATGCAGTCCAGGCATCCTAGTGTTGGGGAACGAATTTGGGGGTGGGAGGTAGGGAAAGGATGAGGTTGGGCACGCCTCTGGTTGCGCATCGCAATCGTCTGCTTTCGCTTTCTAGCCCTCGTTTGACAGTTTCGTGCCCGAATGTTTTACTGAAACGTGGCTTGTAAGGGCTCTGCTCGACAAACATGAGAAAAATATTCGAGACTCAAAATCTCGCTCGTCTCTCAATAAAAAAAAAAATATGGCGGCTCGAGAACCTGTCTTCTTTCACACTCTGCGCTTCAGTTGCAGGTGATGATGACATGGGACTTTGTTTTTTGACGTAATGAAGCTGTCTGGTGCTCTTGTTTGTTAACTGGGGTAGTAGAATGCATTACACATAAATTGTATTTCTTGTTTCATAATGCATTTGTTTTTTTTCTAAGGAAATGTGAGACTCTGCAGTAAAATATATTTTAAAAATTTTTAGTCTTCAATTTTTTTAAAGTCTTTTAAATTTCTCTTTTCCAGAGGAATGACTTCGCAAACGACAGCCTGCCGTCCGAAAGCTTCATTGCCGCTGTTCAGGCTGCCCACTTCGCACCCTTGTCAGGTAAGGCGCATTGAGCGAACCTCCTTCCATTAGTGGAAGCGTCACTGTATTGCACAAATTGGGGCGTCACAATTGCCTCGTCACTTTTGCCGCCGACTCTTTTGACATTTAGCGTTTGTTGAGTGAAAATATGGCTCTAGAAATCAAAGCCTATACAGTAGTCCCGCTATATTTCAAACTCTTATGCTCCTGGTTAATTCAAACAAATTTCCAAATTTCAGTTATCCCGCTATGATCTTAATGTATCTTTAAGCCGCTTAATTTGAACGGCATTTTTCTGTGATTAATGCTTTTCGTACTCGCGGCCCAGTTCAGTGCTCCTCTTTCCGAGCACCGGTGCACTGCAGAGAGGCAACACAGAAACAATTGCGGGTGTTGCTTCTCTGCAGCCCAGCGGTGCTTGGTGAGAAGCACACTTAAGGGGGCTCAAGCAGGGCACGCATCAGCTATGAAAACGGGGGCCACACGATACTCTCCGCAACAACTTGTGGGGACACAGTGACTTGGCGGCATGGCATAGGTCCACGTCACAGCGTCTGCGCAAATTGCTATGAAAACTGTCGCGCGGTGCCCATTTTCTTCACTCGTGTGTCCTCTGCTTAGCAGTCCACATTAGAAAACTTCTTGGACTGCTGAACAAACTTAATTTTGTTTTGATTTGTCGTGTGCTGTCTAAACACACCACAATAAACAACATTTTATAGAAATAAATAAACTTACGTCATAGGTACATTTCACAAATGTTTCACGTGTGGCATACTTGCTTATGATCTCTAAGCCGATGTAGAGGAAATCATCAAATATCTGCTCTGGATGTGTAGCCATTCATATGACAAATAATTATTTTATCTTGCATAATATTGCCGCGCGCCAAGTAGGCAGCGCGGCATTACTCCCCAATAAAAGGGTACAAAAGGTAATAACAGAGCATCGCGGGCGTCGAAGTCGGCGTGACAGAAGAGTCGAACGCTAGGGCGAGACTGACTCCGGCTTGCCCGCGGAGCCGCTTTTGTACACACGTTGGCTTCTGGAGCATTCGACGTAGAAGGTTCGACGCGTAGAACATTCTGACCTCGAATCAGCTAGACGGTTCTCGATTTCACCAGAACATCACATTACAGTGTTAACAAAAATGCATAGCCGCGGCCAGAAATCAAACCCTGGCCCTTCGCGTGGGAGGCAAGCGCGATAACCGTTGGGCTATGGCCGCGCTGCCTACTTGGCGCGCGGCAATATTTAGGTTAATTTTTGATATTTCAAACTTCCGATAATTCAAGCAAAATTTGTGGCTTCCTGTTGTTTAATTAATGAGAGCCTACTGTAGCAGTTTTATGCTACAAGACAGAGAGCAGAGTTTAGAGATGAGCATGCTCTCGCTTTTCAGCTCATCCGACATTCTCTGTCAATCCGAGCCTGAAGCGGGTCCTGCAATGCGTCGTTCGCTTCACCCGCGACGTCTACCTGTGAGTGCCATTACTTGTTTCTTTTGTGGTGCCACCATTTACTCAAATACAATCATCGCATTGGCTTTCTTTTAGATGGGTTGCTGTGTAAAATAAAGCTCTATGTGAGAAAAGAAAAGATTTAAGGTTTGCAATATTTTTTTTTTATTTTATAAAAGCTTTTCACTACAGGGACCTTGATCTTTTGAGGAAGTTTCAGTTTTTGTAAACAAGATCCAAAACCTCCTAAACAATCTCTCCTAAACAATCCTCCTGAACCTCCTAATCCCTGGATTGTAGATTAATGATTTTACATCTCTGGAGATGCAAGTTATTTGGTAGAGGAATAGGAAAATGAACTCGCATTGCTGTGTGTGCAGTCATTTAATCATCGTACTGATGGAACCAGGGAATTGGTAAACTTTTTATAGAAAATATTTTTCTTCTTCCTTTAATTTCAAGTGTAATTCTCAAAAATGTAATTGTCCTAACTTTGATATCTCCAAATCTTCATTCTTTCTGCTTTTGTCAGAGTCACATTTTGGATCAAAAAGTGTCAAACCATTTCTGCGATGGACGTGTGTTGCACATCCTTGAGAACGAGTTGTTTTCACATGCATAAACTGAGAAGCATCTTTTTTGTGCCTGAATTCATACGGTATGTTCTTGAAAGAAGACAAAGTTTTGTAAAACTGTGGAAAAGATTAATACCTAAAATAGGTTGAGCGCAACTGATGTTGATGATTTATGTCTAACTGTACACAATTCTTCTTTTGTTCAGCTGGTCACAAGAAGAGAAGTTTTCGAAGGATCTGGTCCAGGCCTTGCTTCCTCTCTTGCTAGACGTCACAATGGAGTCGCAAGCCGACTTTGTGAGTCACTATTACTAGCCATCACAACATCCTCGCTGCCTATCTTTTTTAATTTGCACAATCAGTGATTAGTATTAACACGCCATTCAATTTGTGTCAATCATGCAACGCTTTGCGATTGATTTTTTGTGTAATTCCTGCAGGTGACGCTAGCACTCGAAGTGAGCATTGGATCTCCAGACTCTGAAAGCTTTGCCCAACACATCTACGAGGAGATGCTGGCACGTTGTTACGAGCTGCTCATCGACTATTCCAACAAGGACAGGTGTGCCTTTAATCGGTCTATTTTTGGTAACCCGATTCATCTGCAATTCTCTGGTAGGGAAAATGATGTAGGCAGTGAAAAACTTTCAGCCTTTCCACTATGATGAAGAAGGAAGACCAGCGAAGCTGTACATGGTGGGAATGAAGTATTTATAAATGTAAGGATTAAGGTGTGACTGGGTAATTGGTTATTTGAACGATTAAAGAATCAGACATATATATATAACGATCCGGGGTTGTTATTTATTTCGTAGCCACAGTGACCATGGCCTTTTGATCGTTGTGGTACACTGCCATAGGGTGTACGCTCACGGCAGGCACATTCTTCGTGAAGACGAGGTCTAGACACGACCGATGCCTGGTCGTGGGCACCGTAGGCAGGGGTGGAAGCGCTGCGCCAATTGCGCCACCCTGCGCCAATTCACTTCCCTGCGCCAGCCTGCTCCAAAACGCCAATTTCAACTTTTTTTTTTTTTTTTTTGTGTTTTCTTTAAATTTAGCGGAAAACGGTTGGCCACGGGCCACCATGTGGTGTGTACTTTTGCTTAGGTGTCACTGCGGGTGACTCGTACCAACTCGACTGGGGCTCCGAACCATGTCTAACCTCAGGGCGAGGCGCCGATTTTAGTTCATCGAGAGTGCGATGTCGTTTTTTACTACAAAGAGCTTGATATACGAACACATCGGTTTGGTTTCGGGCATAGTTGGTTGGCGCGGTTGGAGCGCGCATGCAGTTGCCCGTGTTCCCGATTTGCCGTGATCGTGGGATTTGGTGGCCATTAACATGAGCAGAAGTAAGTGGTCTTTACTAGCTTTGCCTGTTATTTGGTAGCCTACCATATTTGGACGCTTAGCCGTGAAGAATCGCGAGCACAGGCACATGCGTTCTCGAGCTCAATTTCTCTTATCAAAACGAAACCAAAACCATCATTGTGTGCGCGAATGTGCACGCTGTCGTGTGTTGTCTCCCGCCGTCGGACCACTAGCGAAAACAATACCCGCGATCTTAAGCGAGTTGGTTAATTGGCAGTGCTACACACTTTTTTGTTTATTTCCTTTAGCGTGGACGAGTGGGGGTGACATCAGAAATGCCGTACAACACTCCCGCGCTGCCGATTCCTGTCAAGAACGTACCTTAACTTGCTATAGCCACCCTACTCGTATAAGTTTCGGGTATAGGTGTATCTGTTTGGGGGGGGGGGTTGGGTAGGGTAGGGTAGAGAGAAGTTGGTGGGCTTTTTGTCACGTAAGAAGGCAGCCTGCCCCGCAGGGATCAGCGCCTGATCAGCTACATCTCATTTTCAGTCTCGTTCGAACTGTCTTCTCTTAAAGCACTTCTACTGAGTGCACAAGAACTCATAAGCAAGGGTGAGGCAGTTAAGGACATCGACAAGGTGGGGAGTGGACACCTCCTGCTAAGAGATGTGAACTCTAAACTGCCCAAAGTACTCGAGCGCATAAAAGAAATTGACTCTGCTCTTCAAACTGTGAAACAAAAGGTGAACTTCAGTTGTTTCTAAATTACACAGATTCAGCTTAGTCACAACCCCCTTTTTTTTTTTTTTTTGAACATGGAGCCTGTGGGCTCTTTTAGTCAGTGTTTATGCTGCATATGTATTAGTGGCTGTGATATCTTTAAGACAATATATTTTTCCATCCAAAGTAATATAGATATAGCTTTGTATGTTAACTTGGGTGTAGGGATTACTGTATTTTATCAACAGGGATTAAGAACATTTGTATTTAATGAAAACAGGTCAGCAAGGACTGCTTGATTCTGAGACATGTTGTGGTACCTTAATTTTTTTATGGAGACACGCAATGCACAGCATTTTATGGAGTACATAAGGTTGCGTTGCTCTTCTAGTCGATGCTTAAAGCTGCATATGTACGAGTGACTGTGGTAGTCTAAAGATATAAAATACACATTTTATTTTGCATCTGAATTTTTGTCAAATATCAGTAGCCTTGTATTTTGTTACTAAACTTGATATAGGGCTTTTTAAGTAGTGATTGAACATGTGTATTCTTTATTAAACAAAAACTGTAGTCAGCGAAGGTAGTTTATCTGACACCTTGCAGTGGTTTAGTTTTCTGGATACATGTTTACAATTGGTCTATTAAGTAGACGGTTTTGTACTGGCGTGGCTCAAGCTAGGCTTTTATTGTCGGGGCCTCCCATATAAAGTCTACCATGACTCTGCCTACTGCCGGAATGGTTCTCAAAGCCTTTCCTTTGCATAAATTGCCAATATTCCATATTTCAATGCAATAGAAATAGAAAGGTGTGTATGTATGTTGCTTGAAAATTATTCTGGGATGTGCATGCATATATTTTTGCTGTATTTTCACATTTAGAAACAACAAATCACTTTTAGACATTTGTTTGACCTCCGTGACCTGCTGCAAAACCTACTTCGACGGCTACAAAACTTATTTTTGCTGCTCCCGAGCTGCTCTAAAGCGAGCGTTTTACTGCTCCAAAACAGCTCCAAAGTGGGACTTTTGCTGCTCCCAGCCCTGATACAAAAGGCTCTAGCCCGCTTCCACCCCTGCGTAGGTTCATTCAGACACGCAAGCCCGAAGCGCTCGAGCATAAACAAAGTGAACCACTTTCCCTCCTGGCGTGCAATGTCAACGTTAAAGCCACCCGTCACTACGGCAGACGTGTTGTCACCGAGCATGACCTAGCAGAAGACGTCTATCATGGATGCTTCAATTTCCCTCTTAAGCGTCGCGGGGGGGACGTACACGACGGCGACCACCGGACCATTGCGCAGCTTGATGGAAAGGCTGGACAGCTACTGCCATCTATGAGCGACGGCAGCAACCTGTGTCGACAATTGTTTGGTACCGGACACGATCCTGGGGAACCTAGCCCTTTACAGCTCCTATTTAAAAAGGGAAGCTTTGCTCTAATTTGTTTCCTTGTGTGGTTGAGGAGTGCTAAGAATAAATATAACTAAGTGAAATTGAGATGTCAATGGTCTGGTGATAGTCTTGAGACATCTCATTTTGAAAGTATGGGTAGTTAAGAATCTGCTGTAGCAAAGATGTGCCGAAAGCTAGGTCTGTCCTCACCACCTGGTGCGGGAGACACTACCCAGAAAGGGCAGACACTACCCAGAAAAAAATCTTTCTGCGAAAAAAGTTGATTTTGAAAAATGCCATATTTACGTCCACCTACATCTAGAAAGTGTTCCCATAAAGTTACATCAGTTTACTCAGCATAGTTATTTTTTTATTATTGGTCCACCAATGCTAAAGAAAAGGTAGAGGTTGGAGCACTTTGGACATATTTTTCTCTGTTCAACTTTTTGGAATAAATTTCTCTTCAGGAAAACAATTGTTTGGTAATGGGACAAAAGAAAAGACTCACTCATTGTTTTTCGTAACTGAAATTTTATGGGCAGTGCAACTGCGGCATTGTTTTTTTACTTTGCGGATGTCTTTTATAAAAGATGTCAAGAGTTTGTTGACACCATAAAAGGCAAAAAAATTTATTTAATTTTGAACCACATAGTTAGCATCAAAATAAATTACTTTTTAGAAATTTTGTTTTCACAGTTGCACTCTCTAGGCATTCTGCTGCAGATCTAGTGAAACAAAACGTTGGGTATTACATTATTTTTTTAACGATAGTTTTCTCAAACAAAGCCAGTGTGTTCCTGATAAAAACAACTATAATTTCTTTTGCAATTTATGTACACAGATGAAACCTTGCACTGCATTGTGCTTCGCAACTGTCAGCATACAGTATAGACCACTTATAACGTAACCGCTTATAATGCAGGACTGGATATAACGGCTCTTTGCAACCTCCAGTCCGCCTCCCATAGAACTCCATGTAATTACATACCGCTTAAAATGCAGGCGCTTGAAGGGAAATACCGGTTATAGTGTCATGGTTATAGCACGGTACGCGCCATAACCATGAGACAACTTACCTTTCTAAAACAATTTATTCTATGTTAGATGAAGAATAAAGCTCAGTCTGAAGAAAGCTCTTATTTTACTGGACCAGTACACTTCTCTCAAGCGTGTCATGCATTTTGAAAGAAATTAGCGATTTTAGCCTGGCGCTGTTTTTTAATGGCGTTGCGGACGACCTGGTCTTCGATAACATTAATGCATTTGAACACCTCATCACTGAAGGAGTTCTGCTCACAGTGAACCTTCAGTTTCTGGAAGAATTCCTGTGCGTCTTTACTTGAAACTTCCGGCATGCTCTCTTCGTCGTCGTTCAACTCGACGCTTATAGTGCAGATTTTTGCAACTCTTGTTGCATACGTTATATGTGGTCTACAACGTATACTGTAAATTTGATTCATATTATTCCTAAGGTTCAAAAGTTGATCCTTTTGGGTAGTGATCCCCCATAACTTGAAATATCTTTTTGTCATTATTGAAATTATTATTTCTCATTAATAAAACAGCATAAACTGAACAAGGACGAAGAGGCACACGTACGATGGTGCTGTGAACTGAAAGATATTTTCTAAATGTGGTATTTGTTTTTTTGTTTCTTTTGACAGCGAGCTGAACGAATTTGTCTTCCACGAGTGTCTGAAGTTCATGGAAGGTCTGCTGGACAAACAGCCGGGAAAGAAGGCACTCGAGAAGTTCTTTGCCGACAAAGGTAATGAGGCTCTTTTAAATAGAACCATGGCACATTGATTTGGCGATGAGTAGCAGCTGAGCAAGGAGCATTTGTTTAAATGTGAACTTGTCTGATCCATCTTTTTTTTTATCTTCAGACATGTGGAACATCTTGCTCTCGGCAGCTGATGGCAATCTTAGCCCAGCATATGGAACAAGGGTTCTCAAATTCTTCAGCAAGCTCTTCCTCCAAAGTAATTTTTGTCATGTTACCATGTTGCATGCATAAGCTAGAAAATAGAATCTTAAGCTAATTGCCAGATCACGTGGGTTTTTTTAGCATTGTAATGTTTATAAAATGAATCTTGTTGTTTTCTTGTAGCTTTTGCACTACTCCAACAAGTTGTGTAGTGGTTTCAGTATGTAAACCTTATCCCTGAACTGCATTGAGATTTGGCAGTTTTTCTTTGGATTATTTTTACAACTACCACAGTCAACTTTGGATTGGAAAAGATCTCACAGTAATTTGTGACAAACAGCTAAGTAAGGTGCACTGTAACTTTTTGTATTGTGACTTTTAACGTCGGAGGTCTTTTTACATTGAGCAGGGTTGAGTGATAGAGGCCGGATTTTGTGGCACTGCAGCATTTGTTAGGGGCAGCCTTTAAGGCTAATTTGGGAATGAAATAAAAGGGGAGTAAACTCCTGATGCACCAGTCTGCTTCAATGGATACATTTACAGTTGAAAAGAACTCTGGTGATGCCAGTCTAGAGAAGCTGAACGTGACGCTGAGCAAGATGGGTCGGCTGAACGAACTGGACACCAAGGCCCTCCAGAACTGGCTGATGAAAGTGGCCACGGGTGGCAAGAGCAGCTCTCTCGTGAGTTCTTGTGACTTATCACTTTTTCTTGTTTGTTAGAGAATATTTATAGTAGACATCTCATTTTGTGGGGATTCTAAATATACATTCAGATAGCGGATACATTTACTAGAACTCACATTATGGGCGATTAGTCATATTTAATTACGTGCTTTGTAATATATTGTTGGACCTATTACCATTTTCTCATATTTTTCACCTTGGCAAAATATGAGAAAATTTAACAGGACTTTTTTTTTGCAAGGATTTAACTCATGCAGTAATGATAGTTTGTATCAAATTTGAAAATATTTTGTCTAGATAAACTTATGTGATCATAGCATAGAAAGCAAGCTTTGTCATTGTTTCAGAAACTGATGAATTGTGCACAACTCTTGATCTGGAAAACTATACAAACTAGCATCACAGCATTAACAATCAATGTTAATATTGCTCGAGACAAACTTCAGAAAATACCTATAAGGAATGGACACTTAAAAGTGTACCGACAGAGAAAAAGACACTGCAATTTTATGTTCCTAGTGGATGCTCAAAGAAAATGAGAATATTGAAGTTTTTTTTTGTTTTTTTTTATATATATTTACATGTTTACACACTAGTGTGATAATATTTTGCAGAAAGGTATTTCATCCATACACGAGAAAAGCCATTTTCTCCAAATAGATTTTTTAAACATTTTTAACAGAGTTAAGACTTACATTTTGGTCGTCCGATGTGTAATGTCAGGTTCCAACGTCTATGAGACGCTTTATCTATGACACCCGTAAATCATGCCCGCTCATTCCAACCGCCAGAACCAACAACTACCTCACACTGCTTCTTCTTCCTGCTCCACTCGGCGGCTGTGCATGGCAATGCTCGCCGAGTCTCGTTGGACAAACCCATACCTTACAGTAAAGCAGACTGAATCTTAGTTAGGGTTTCAATTGAATCTGTCTTTTTTGTAGCGTTAGCTACACTGGCCGAGGTTTAGCGGTTTCGCGTGGCCCTCATAATGAGCCGTGCTCATTATGCGGAGCGCACGGTGGTGGCGGCGGCGGAGCTCTGCATAATGAGCAAGGTGCACGTGCCGCGCGCTTTGCATAATGAGCACGCATAATGAGCACGGCTCATTATGAGAGCCACGCGAAGCCGCCACCGCGTGCCCTGCCGCCGCCGCGCCCACCTCGCCGGTCTGCGCATTCCAGAGGAGTGACGTCATAGCCGTGGCAGACGCACTGGCGCCACCGCATGCCCAGCTGTGCGCCTCCGTTGCGCAGTAGCCAAGTCTGACGCTGCACCGGAGCCGCTTGATAGCGCCTCTCATTTTGTGCGCATAAGCTCACGCTACGTATATCCTGGCGTAACCGAGCTAAGCCACCGCAATTTTTTTTTTTTTTTACAGAACGGCAACGGTGGTAGCATTCAAGAGAACAGGCTGTTGCTCCAGAACCTGACAACATACATTGTGAAGGAAAACAAGTGAGTCTAAAATTCGGAGTGATTCCTCGCAAGATGCTCGCTTCTTCCACTTTTGTTTCAAATATAAACATAGTGTCTCATTCGGAAGTGAGGCTTAATTTGATTTTCTTATACTGCTTCAACGAGGGCTGATAACACTTGTTAGTGTGTGTAGTGGGGGTTCCAAGATTACTTATGGTGAGGATAAGGGTTTATTTCCTCTACATAGCTAATGGTAATAAGTGGTTAATGTGTCTTCATATCTAGTATTCTACCGCTAAACGTGCACTGAAAAAATACATTGAAAGAAAAGAAAGAAAAAAAGAAAGACTTGGATCTATTGAAACTGTTCCCTCCATTGAGTGAGATAATTGGATTTTCATTAAGATTTGTTTTCTGCTTGTCATGTTTTTTTTTTTTTGTTTTTTTTGCAGTGAGGTATCCAGCCAGGTTGCAGGATCATTCCTGACAGCACTGATCGAGATCGGGTCCCAGCTTCTGTCTCCCGGGTCCGAGGGTCTTGGGTTTTCCGACCTCATGGTGGTCATGGTGACCCTGGCGGGTGCCGGGTCGGGTGCAGGACACCTCCAGCTGTTCACCGCGGCCACTGAGTGGTTGGACACCTGGTAGGGATCTCTCTTGGGATCAGCGACTCTGGCTGGCCTACACACTCTACAGAATGTCAACCATACCGTACTTACCCGATCAGATTCTAACGGGAAGGCAGTTCTTATCGTAAAATCCGGAGCCTGCGCCCACTCAAAATTTGGAGATTATTATGTAAACTGGGGGTGGGATGGCCGCTCCTTAGGTCAACGATATGTAAAGGTATGTCCTTGCGTATTATCCGATTGTTATGTAATCGAAGGGTGGGCACTTATTGTGGAACGCTTGGTATTTTACGGTAGGTGTATTTTTCTAAAATAAAGGGTGTGCATTAGAATATGGTAAGTACGGTAGCTGAAAGTAAAAAAAGGGCAAAAATGATCACAGGAGTTGGGGTTGAGGAAGTTAACATCGTGGATAAAGAGTAAGGCTCAAAGATGCTAAGATAGGCATTCCAAAACAGTGAATACATGTATCATGTTACTAAAACAAACAGCTGCAGGGGTCTGATCCAATGTTTAGACTTCTTCAAGTTTGGCAACACATGTGTCATGCTTTCCTAAATTGATCGATTATATACGGTTGTTGCAAATCTCGTCATCCAAATTTGATTATACTACATTTTTCTGAAATAGACAAAATGCGGTGAGGGACGGAATGCTTTTGGTTTATTCTGTGTACGACTCTAGCTATCATTCTTTCACTGTGTAGAGATGTGCATTGTTTTAGTTACGTGATTCTGTTACTCTTCTCTGTGCATTTTTCAAGTACCCTCTATTCTTTTCCGATCCTTCTTTCTGCAGCAAAAAGTACCTGGCACAAAAGGACATACTGGACAAACTAGAGGAAAATGCCTCCGAAGGAAAGGTAGGTTACCCCATCAAACTTCTGTCTTGTTAGACCACCTCAAAGTGTCCAGATGATGATAAAAGTAAGTGTCGGACTGCACCTTGCAGGCCATTTTTTTTTTGTGCATGAAAACAAAGGTAGTTGACTCTTTATGCAGATTTCGTTGCTTACAGAGTTTGTTTTAGAAGAATTTATTTTGTGTGGAACCTCTACAAAGAACCATGGCCTTCTACTTCCAGTAATTTAAAACCCAAGTTCTGGGAAAATCAAAATTTTAAATGCATTCTTTAATTGCAACTTTTGTAAAACGACCACTTTTGCTTGGCTCTTTGAGAAGGAACGAAAGGCAATCGTGCTAGTTCTCCCCTTGTGCACCGGGATGAAAATCGCAGCAGTACATGATTTTCCCGTCCTCCGGGAACTTGCTCGCGGTACTGTGCGACTACGGATTTTCAGCATTTCATGTGGAAATGCCTGCTTGCCACGTTATTGAGCCGCTCTGACTTGTGTACAAATCTTGTGAATGCAGCACCAGTTCGTGATGGGACCTGCCTGTTGCCTCCTGTCCTACATCGCTGATCTGGTTGGCTCGCTTAAACTTCTCGCAGAACGGTCAGTTTCATTTCCTTCGTGCAAACCCTGAGGTCTCGGTATATTCGTAGACGTTTGTAAGTAACGTGCCTGATTTCGCTCTGTTCTTTTGCTTGAAGTCGTGGCAGTTGTGATTATTGCAAGCTTCACATTAATAACGAGTTGAACCTTGGGGGGGGGGGGGGGGGGGGGGGGGAGGGGCATTTTGTCTTTGAGACTGGAGGTTCAGTGAGCTGCGGTGAAACATTATGCTGTTTCAGTGTGATCTTTCGTTTGTCCTTTTTACTGCTTTTGACTATACGCTGAAATCGGGAAAGCTTTTAGAATTGTACTTTTGGAACAGAGAAAGAGAAACATTCTTTCATGTAGGAAGTTGCTGCTGAGACAGCATTGTTAGGTCACAGCTTTGTGGTAAGAAAGTCATACAGCTGTTTTAGGTCTCTGAAGATAATTTGTTCAGTAAATAAGGAATATATTATATCGACTTGAATAAAGTAAACCATGAATATAGGTTGAAGCCTTTATATTAAACTCGCAAAGAATACAATTTTTTTTTTAAATATAAGGGGAACTTTTTTTTTTTTTTTTTAAAGAACAGAGGAAAGTTGGGCAAACGAGTAAAACAAACCTTTCTTTACAGCTTTCTCAGCTAAATCACAGCGCAATGCGAAAAACTTAATCATCGTCAGAACTTTGAGACATGTCATTGTCGTTGGAAGCTTTGTTGACATCCTCACAAATTTGCAACAATACATCACTGACACTGTTGGAAAATGGTGACAAGAAACGAAAAAAGGTGAAGATGGGCGAAGCAATGAAAGACCAAATTTGAAGACGCGAGCACCGCTGAGAGCCGCCTCCAGCTGCCGCGAGCAACGGCAACACCGCGAGCCGCCGCGAGCAACAAGAAGCGAGACCTGTGTATTTTCTTTTCCTGCGCATCTGCGAGGTGGAGAGGGTTGGAACGGATGGGAGGGGGCAAGGGGTGCGTGGCGTGTCGCATCTCCCTTCCTCCTTGCGTTGCGAGGGGTATGCGGTAACGGCTCCGGCAGCCGCAGTTGCAGACAGGCGCGAAACCCGACGCCCGAGGGATGCGCACGAGCGGCGGCCCGCCGGCTGCTGCTGTTTCGGTCGTTTCTGTGCACCAAAAGCTTTTTGAAACAAGAAGCAGCGTGGCGCTACGGCAACACCGGCTCGGTGACTCGGTAGGTCCATGCACTCTATAGGACCACGAAATCTGGTCACGAATCTAGGTCAAAATTCTCTGGTCATGATTGTAGGTTGACCCTTAATTTTTGACAGCATTTATGAAAAACAAAGGTCGACTTATATTTGAATAAATACGGTAGTCATATTTAACATCCCAGTGCCTGAGCAACACGGAGTTTCCTAAAATTGTGTGGAGTGACCTTTGTACAACCGAAATTCTTCCGAGAGAACAAGGTGTGCTGTAGTAACTGAGACTGCAATGCCATGAAGTCCGGCGATGGTCCTTCCTCTGTTCAGCATTCTACGGACTAAAGAATGGACACTTTTTTAGTTTTCATTACAGTTGGTTCATTAATTCAAACTCTAGGAAGCCACAGACTTGTTTAAATCACATTTTGAATTATCAGAAATTCATCTAAATATGGTGTGGGGCAAAGTAGCGATTTGCTATAGGAATAGCTACACATACCAAGCAGATTTTTTATGCTTTCCTCTGCACAGGCCTATTTATAAGCAGGCTCACATATAAAACAATGGTGAAGTTCGAAGCGAATAGCGGTTTTCGCCGAATATTTTCTAATCAAATGTGGAATGGTTTCTCCAAGCCCTTTACTACCATTGTACCATGCTTAAACGAAAAGTCAGCTGAACTCGTGAAGGTTGTTTCCAACCTTCCACTTCTAAGCTCAGTTAGCTCTAATATAACTATAGGGTGTCCCAAACCACCAGGCTCGATCTAAAATGGACCGTAAAAATCGACGCCTGCACGTAGCACTCTAAACTTTTTCTCAAAGGTGTATTTCACAGGCTGGTTTTTTCATGTGAAATTGCAAAGCGTAGCTCCCTTTCTGTACAAAATAGGGCTAAAAACTTGCCGGGGTCAATGGCGGATGGCAACGTAGACGACCGAGTCGAGTTGCGGGGCATTTTTGTCACGAGTATTGATGGATGGCTTTTAGTCAAGGAACACTGTCTCGGCACCATTGATGTGATTGCTGCGCCAATTGCGCCAAACTGCCCCAAGGGGCTAACCCTGCTACATCCTGCTACATTTCGCCGAAATATGGGTAATCTGCGCCAAAGGACCAATTTCGGTCGCCTTTCAAAACCGAAACTAAACTGAGTACCGTAATTGAGCATGCGTGAGCTAGGTGGTGCAAGCGACCCCCCGACAGAAAGTATGCTGCATCAATCGTCCATCCGGTCTCGCATGGTTTTTCCCGGCGTTCCTCATTTCGCGCTCTCGTGGGTCTTGTCTCGCATCCTGTTGAAAATATTTTAACGATAGATGCAAGCGTATATGGACGCCCCAACGCTAGCTTGCCGGGTACCAGCCATGCCGTCATGTTGTAAAACGAAACCATGTTTTTGCGCATTGGGAGTTACTTGTGATCTGAAGCATTCGCTTCTGAAAGAGACGGCCGTGGCAAAACTATTTTTGGTCCCTGCCTACCACTCGCCGCCATGGTTATCACGTCGGGTGTTTCCGTCCACACATTGCTGCAGATATGGCGCTTTCTAAAATGAAACTTAAGGACCGCTGCAGGGTAACCAGCAATCCTGTCCTTTTTTAAATTAAATGCTACTACAAAAATCCCTCTAGCTCAAAGACTGTTGTGTCGAAGTACTGTTTACCTAGGTTTCTCTCTGTGAGATTTCTTTTGAGAGGGACCCCGGTACGTGAAAAGTCTGTCGCAAAAAAAAGTTTAAGACAAGTTAGCTAGAGCAAAAAAGGCAATGTCTGCACGCTGAACCCGTGCAGCACGCTTGTTTATCTTGAGTTCAGTTGTTGCACAAAGCGCTCCAAGAACGTTTTGACCCTGACTCGCAATGTCTTGCATTGATGCGCTCAGGTTTTTTTGTTTTTTTTATTAGCTTTATTGTCTTTGTTCTGTTTGCGCTTTTTAACCTTTTAAATTAGGTTGTGCCTCGCATACTGGCCTGGCAAGCGTGCGCCGCTGGACTGTTTTTCTTTTTTTTTTTTTTATGCTGGATTGTTACATTTTGCATACAATTTTGGGGACCAGATGGCGACGGAGCGGAGTGGCAGAGTTTCGGTTTCGATCGAACAGCCGTCTCCGTTCGCATAACGAAGCGCGTGCAACTGCAAGCTGCCGAAGTTGCCCTCACGTGCACGCGAACGTGGTTGCACGACAGAGGTACCAGCCGGGACGCTTGCAATCCATTGCTTTACATTTGCTCGCTTCTGACGAAAATCTGGCATGTCGGGAAACAGTAAAACGGTGGGAGACGTTTTGGAATTGCTCGGCAACGCCTACAGCACTGTACACTTGTGGGATGTCTCAACGTCTCTTTGGAGACATTGAAAGTGGACATTCATTACTTGCCGAAAGCTAAGCGAGGCTTGCAGCAGCCTTGCAGAAAGTTTCAACAAGCAAAAGGAAAAGCACCCACCAGTCGTACTGCACCTTTTTCATATGTATAGTTTCGTATTGCATTGCAGCAGTTACGTGTTTCATCAGTTGGATACTGCTTCAATTTATTATATTATATAACTAGTAAAGTTTATGCTTTCATATTTACTGCTAAGCTGGTCATTTTCAAATAAATTTAATATGTGCAATTTGGTTCTTATCTATAGTGGGTACATATATATATGTATCATTTAACTGAAGCATTGCAAAATATGTTGTGTCATTGGCATTTCAGTTAACAACTTGAAAGACTCTCAGGTCGTCTAACTTGACCATAATTTGTTTATTGTGGCGAGCAAAGTGCCCTTCCTTTTTCCAGCACTTAAAACAAATATTTTTATTTTTATAAAAAAAAATCTGCTTCAAAAGCCACTGTTTGCTGCTCCGAAACACTGTTTTGGCTGCTCCAAACGGCACTTTTGCTGCGCCAAAACACTATTTTGGTTGCTCCAAAAGGTGCTCCAAAACGGCTTAGGCCAATCACATCACTGCAGCACCCTCGTGACGTCGCGTCGTGGCGGAGCTGCGGTTGATTGGTTGTACCGCGTACCGCAGCACCAGCGTGACGTCCCCTCGCGGCCGTAGGGCTGACGAACAGCGTTGCTATGCCTCTAGCAGATAGTTTCGGTTTTGCCGTAGACGTCCAAAGCCAAACTTTGAGCCGTGATATTTATAAAACCACACAATATTGGAAAGAAAATTATACTTTGTAATTGAGGGACACTGTTTTAGCTGAAAACAGTCGTAATCCCAAATTCAAAACTATTGACTGAAGTTGCCCTTTAAGAGAAAATGCCGTTTGAATTAAGTAGCTTATAAATGCGTCAAAAACATAGCGGGACAAACAAAATTTTTGAATTCGTTTAAATTAACTGGAAGCATGGAGTACCCGAGCATGAATTATCGCGAGTCCATTTTAACTTCAACTAAAAGATTTTTCAGAAATAAGTAAAATATGTCACCGAACAACAACTGTTGGAGCATTTTTGTTGGGAAACTGGAATCCTCTGTTCTTTCTTAGCATAACTCTCGCCAGCTTCTTACCAAGTGCTCATCTTTTGCTCGACGTCTCAGGCCTCCTGTGCTCGGCCGCGGCGGAGCAGCCAGTCCGCCTTGCGACGGCGATGTCCAACACCCAGAGGCGGATTCCGACTGGGCCGACGAGATGGGACCAGACGACGACGAATCGGGAGGCGAAGATTCCGTAAGGCCCCTCACCTTGTGTACGGCACTGTACCTCACTGGCTGCCGTACAAGCTATTTCCCAACGTACACGAGCTACTGCCGAATTGTTTCGCAGCTTCTAAGAGAGCTTACTAGCTGCCTGATGTAGACTCGACGTTCTTCGCGACAAGTGGTAGCGGTTTCACAAAGGTGAAATTTTATGGCCTTCGTGGCACGATACACTTTTTCGGCGATTACTAAGGTTCATATCTCTGGTTCGTGGCATGCTTCGGGTATACGCTTGAAGCGTAAAATGTTAGTTTTGGTTTATTGCTACATGTTCCTAAAAGAAGGCGTAGCATCGTCTCTACAAAAACTTTATTGCCGTTTTTTAGCCTAAAAATTGGGGTAGAGTTGGTATTGGAGCCAGTGTGACAGCCGCGATCATAAAACGTTGCTCATCGTCGCTTGCAGGACGAAGACTCGCTGTGCAACAAGCTGTGCACCTTCACAATGACTCAGAAGGAGTTCATGAACCAACATTGGTAAGTCGTCGGGCCCTTTGACTTGGTGAGAGCGAACTGCCACATCTTCTTGTTGCCGTGCCTGCAGGTACCACTGCCACACATGCCGGATGGTGGACGGGGTAGGGGTGTGCACGGTCTGTGCCAAGGTGTGCCACAAGGACCACGATGTGACCTATGCCAAGTTTGGTTCTTTCTTCTGCGACTGTGGGGCCAAGGAGGACGGGAGCTGCCAGGTGGGTGGTGCTTGCTGCTTGCCTCTTGCCCTTTCTCATACTTGATTTGTTCGCGAGAATTATGCGGCAAAAGGATGCAAAGGTCCCCTAGCATGGCACTGTACGATCCAGTTGAGACAATGTTAAATGAAATGCTCTATACTTTCACATTGCAGCTTTTTAAAATGAGCCTTTTTGTTTTTCTTAGTTTGAGATACATGCTTTTTTTATTTTTCGTTCTTGGCTTTATAGAAGTGAGTTTCAGATAATTGAAAAGGAAGGGTAGAGAAACTTGCGTAAACAAAATAGAGGACGAAATTTTAAGTAGCATTGATTGGCTGCATATCTGTCTATATTTTTTGAACACTTGTTAATGCGATCTTACGTTACTATTAACAACTGAGTGTAAAAGCAAACAATGCAACAAAAACTGAACACAAAAATTGGCTGCATGTTCGGTCACTCTGCGAAACGCGCTTAAATGTGGTAGTTTTATAGGGTCATAGTCGACAAAAAGTGTTTTGAAACTAACTAAAATTTTATTCAGATACTTTTAATGTTCCAAAAGTCTTTCAACCTTAGGTTTGTTACTGTGGTGATGGAAGGGCGCCACGAGAGCGCACGACACCAGAGCGCCGACGGAAGAGCGCGCGACAGGAGAGCGCCGCGACACGAGAGTGCACGATAGCAGAGCGCACGACGGGAGAAGCGCCGCGACACGAGAGCGCGTGCCATTGGAGCGCGCGTGACGAGAGCGCACGTGCGCACCTTGAGAATGATAGACATTGGAGTTTTCAGACACATGTTTTCTCGGATAGCGCAGCTTTTTTTATGTAAGTTAGTTGCCCAATATTCGCTTCGAGATCGAACCGTGCCGCCACCGTGCGGCCGAAATCGGAAATGCGCGAAAGCGGGGATACCGCCGTGCGTCGTCTGCTACGGGCGCACGCTCAGAAGCATGGATCTCGACGACGCAAGCCCATTTCAGGCTGAGCTTGACATTCCTTATTAAATGTTTTATGTTTTTGTTGCCGTTTCTTCTTACTAAAGGTTGTGTTGTATCGTTCGCCTTGCAAAGAAATTCAGCAAAGCGATTATTATTAAGTCGGAGGCTTCCATAATCTTAGTGTGTTGTTTTTTTATAAAATCACTGGTCTACGTATTTTTGTGATCTCGCACAAACCGCGGCTTTCATAAAGCATTGCATGTTTAGTGGGTTTGTGGTTTTATTACAAAATTAACCCGACTGATGGCTATCCTTCAATAGACTAATCAATCAATAAATCCGTATGTTGATTTTTCCCCGGTCATATTGCGTGAAAGACGTTAAAACTACACATTTTTTTACTGGTTTTACTATGTCATAAATGGCATATTGCATTCCCATTATAAACTTCACGTTGTGAGTCCTACATAAATATGAACACGGGAAGCCTTTTAAAATGTAGTATTTTTAAGTTATTATTTAAACAGTATAATCACCCTCGGAGAATTAATAAATGGTAAACCACGCTGAAGTGGTTTACCGTGCAAGCCGATGCCACAATAGAAGTAAAGACGTCAAAACTATTAAAGCAGGCATATTTTACTCCTTGTTGACTTTCTCCAGCACAAGGCTCCAATTAACCGGCAAAAAAATTTCAATTAAAGCATTACTTGAATAATCTGAAAGTTAATCGAGGAATGCCCAGTCCCGATATACGTTAGGTGAGGGCGGAGGGTAATCGGAAAGTCTCGTGAAGGTGGCTAGCCCTCGTCGGTAAAAGAGTATCACTGCGGCCGATGCTGCCTGTGTCGTGGTGCGCGTCGTTTGTTTGGGTTGCAAGGTCTACCATGTTTGAATACAAGATTATTTAGCCAGAAATTTTATAGTATTAGCCTCTTGACATCTGCGGCCCTCACTAAGAAAATTGAAGCGGGTGAACCCACACTACCGAGAAAAGCATTTAATAACAGGAACATTGCTGCGTTGTCCGGTTACACTCGTTTATTACAGTCACGAAAGATATATTAGTACAGTTTGTTTCACTTGTTTCAGTTGTCCTGCCTACCGTGAAGTTTGCAGATTTTAACAAGAAGAGACACTATCTCCTCATCGCAACGCAGTAGATTTGTTCAGACTCCAAGAATGTTACCTACACTATGGCACAGTAAAAGGGCAGAGGAACTCAATAGCATGGTAATTTCCAATACAGCGCTAACTTATCTTCATTCTAAATATTTATATTACTGCAAAAGCTAGACGTTAAAAAAAGCATAGAAACTGCGATTTCACAGCCCACAGTACCAGTATTATGTTATCTGGGTTGGATTTTTTTTTAATTCCTTCGTTGATGAAGCGATACATTCATTTTAAAAGAAACAAATATTTAACATAAATATTCCAGTTCAACAGGCATCAGTCGTGGTGATCCATGCTTTCCAACGTCTGCCTAGAGCAGACGACGCACCCACAGAAGCGATTATATACATTTGGGCCGCACGCTGGCAACACGATTCGATCTTCACTGAAGCACCGAACAGTACTGCATCCTTTTCCGCTAGAATCGTTTTTCTACCGATAGTATGCGACAAAATAAACGCAAGAATCTACGCCGTCTCGCGCGCGACCGCGGAGAGCCTATGGGGCGGCCGTTCTCCTATCCCCGCTTTGATGATGATGGTAGCGCGACCGTAGCGCCACCTCTAGGTCGATCTCGAGGCCAATATTGTGAATTCTATGCAACATACAGGGTGTTTTTCTTTTCTCTTATCAAAACAAAATTTGTTTAAGTAGGGCTTTGTACTTTGTGGATGTTGTCTTTGATATGCGCTCTTCAAGGTATGTGGACATTTGAGGTGCCAATATACGGTAAAATATGCTGGGCAATCAAGTAAAAGTCTCCAATCACCCCTTTAATTTATGGCTGTATGGTTCATGTTGCAATTGCAAGTAACGCCGCTAATAGCGTGGTTGGTAGAGGGTTCCGGAAAGAATGTCCCCGGAAAGAAGGCCCCGAGGTGTAAAGTAGGAACAAATGGCACCAAAGGGTTCTCCATCACTGGGTTTCCTTGATTCTCATGGCCTTCAGGAGGTCCGGTCGTTGTCCGGTCCAAATAACGTGACCATCCTGGAGTATCGGAAGGAGCCGCTCGCGTAGGCCAGCACTTTTCCCGCACGACTTCTGGAGCTGCAACAAACGGATTTCCGAAGGGCTCCCGAGGACCAGCTATTACATCGAGTCCTGTCACAATGCATTGCAGAAGTCCTTGGGGCTGCCTCATCCAGACACGTACAAACTAGTGGCCGCATTTCAAAGGGAGCGGAGCTTGACAGAGCAGAAGCTGGCGGATGTACTTCGTGGAGAGCCTCAAAGGAGATTCTTCGCTACACGTTTGTGTAGCGAAGAATCTGAGCAAGCTAGTTGAAGAGTACGACCAAAGGTGCATGCTAGACTACCTCTGCGGTGTCGCGGAGTCATTCAATTTTTGATTTTTTTTAATATTATGAAATGGTAATTGATAAACAACTATATTTCCAAAACAGTGTATCTTGCCTCTTCATTTCGAGTTTGCAAAAATTGTATTTCTTAGACTTCCCACAGGTCTGCGTACTCAACCAATAAAATGACGTAAAGCGTTTGATCCGAGAAAACACGTGTTTGAAGACTCAAACACCGATCATTCCTAAGGCGCGCACATGCGCACTCGTGACGCGCGCTCTAGTGGCACGCGCCCTCATGTCGCGGCGCTCTCCCGTCGTGCGCTCTTTTGTCAAGGCGCTCTGGTGTCGTGCGCTCTCGTGTCGCAGCGCTCTCCTGTCGCGCGCTCTCTTGTCGCGCGCTCTCCTGTCGCGCGCTCTTTGTTGGCGCTCTCGTGTTGTGCACTCTCCTGTCGTACAGCCCTGTGGTGGTTATGCAATTTCACCTTACGCAAACACAGTGTGGCGATTGTTGGTGGCGCTGTAGTGGTTGTCGTGGTGGTTGTCACTGTTTTTGTTGTTCTTGATTCTTGACAGTGTTGTCGCTGTCTTCTGATTTGGACGTTAATAAAGAGCAACGGTTCATCTACCGAGAAGTATGCTACAAAGTCCATGCAACATAGTCCGGGAATGCCTCGTGCAAAGGCGCTACGATGGTGGTGCCGTGGTGGGTGGTCGGGATTGTGGCACTGCTCACGGGGTGTAGCCCGAACGATTCGCGCATGAAGCCAATAAACCACGGATTGCATTGCACATTCACATTACAATCTCCGGCGATGATCATGGGCGTCGTATCACAGTTGGTGTCTTCTATGAATTCGAACGCTTTCATCAGTTGTGTGTAACTGACAAAGTGCACCGAGAGGAAACATTTCTAGTTTAATTTGGTTGTGGATGGCGGTGAGCGTGTGTACGTCGGAAATGGTCGTTCAGATGGCACAGATGGTGCCGCAATTGTTGTAGGGGGCGGTGTTGGCAATGCTGGTGCTAGTACCAGCAACGACCTCCCTCTCCAACTGCTTGTCAAGCTGCGTGAGACCCTCTTGGCACAAACGAATCTCGCCAAATTTTTTGGGTAACCAAGAGGGAAAGCGAGCTTTCCTGCCCTTTTCACTCGTCATTCTGCACTTTTTCTGCATCACCTGTTTCTGTACCTTTTATTTCTTGCTTTTTCCACTGATCTCCGCTCCGCATGCTTTCTCACACCACCTGCTTCTGCTCCTTCTGTTCCTGCATGCTGGGTCCATAGCTCAGTCAGCAGTGCGCTCGGCTTCCGCGCCGGTGACCGCGGTTCAATCTCTGGCACCGGTTGCCATTTAATATCAATATAGTTTAGTGGTTACGGACTGACCGACCTACAAGTTTCGTGCTCAGGCAACTTTCGGGGTTGGTAAGCCCCATAAAGCTATTGCTTTAATATTTGCTTTACTGAGTCCTAGTGTGTATTTTTGTTGTATATTGTTTTCTGTTCGCCGCCCCGACACTTAGAAAAACTTTTGCTCTGCCCGTGCCTTTTCAGTCTTCCACCCTCTGTCCTCCGTTTTTCATTTTTCGTTATTTTCCACATACAAGAGCAGGTGCCAGCTTGTCCTGTGTCCCTATGTTTCAGGCACTGGTGAAGAGGAACCCACAGACATCCTCGGAAGGCGTAACGGGGGCCTCTGCCGCTGCGGCCTTCTCCCTGCCATCTGAGAATGGGATTCCCAGTTCCCTCCGCAAGAGGGCCTCTTCCCCTGCCCCGGGAACCGGAGCGATCGGAGGTGGCGCTGGCATTACTGCAATGGGCGCTGAGGCGCGCTCGTCCTCGGCGCCAATGGACGCCAAGAAGGCTTCCGAGGAGAGCCTCAAGCACAGGCAGCAGCTGGCCGAGAAGCTGGAGGTAAGGCTGAAACACAGCGTGGGAAATTCACATTTAAACCGTCTCAAACATATACATGGTAGCAGTTGGAAAAATGTAGATTTTAGTTGGACCGTGCAAGTTGGTCCCTTAGGGACAGGTGTAAAATCCGTTCTTCAAGGGAAAGAGTAGCTATATGGGTATCTTGCTGTATTTGTGCCTGAAGAGCCTGTACCAGTATTACACGCTGACTCCCGCACTGTTTTGCTGTTTCCATATCCTTGCTATATTAGCTTTTACTAAAGAGAGGTTTTTACACAAACTCTCTCGTCTAATGGTGTGTCTTGTGTTCGAGAAACTACTGAAGGCCAAGACTTCTCTAGCGTGAGTTGTGAGGGAATTATTATTTTTGCAAATATATATTTAATTTGGTATTTGTAGATGGTTTAGGCATATTGTTTTAAGATCCAAGACATTTCTTTTTGCACAATAATACTTAAGTTTGAATGCATCCTTTTTGGAGAAAGAGTCTTCCTTTATTTTTATTTTTTCCAGACAAGTATGAGGGCATGTTTCTGGGCCTTGTTTCACAGTTTTATGTTTTGACCCAGCAAGTTTAATCATTTTCTGCACGCACGAATGGCAGAGCAAACCATTGCCCACAGCCTTGTGCATTTACTGCTAGGTGTCCCCGATTCAAAGTTGTCAATATGCGGATAGAGTACATGCATACATGGTTTGCATGTGAAGTCATCACATTATGCTGCTGGGCGTTCCTACTTGTTCTTGCTGAGGACAAATTTAGTGGTGTAGTGCAGTGGTTGTCAACCATTGAGGTTTCGCAAACCCCTTCTGAATCGGCAGAGATGATGGAGGAACTCGTTTGTGGTGAGCGGAAGGTAAAGGTGTAGGTTAATTCTAATGATTTAATAAGTGGATGAATGAATGAAAATACTTTATTTAGAAAGGGCTGGCTCCTAGGCCTAAAGGGGGAGTGGGGAGGGAAGGGGAGGGGGAGATCACAGACGACGGTAAATGCCCGCGGCACACGCAAACCTCCACAGGGAAAGCAATGTGTCGCGGGCCCAACCGTCGTTGCTTGGAGTGGTCCAGTCGAGTAAAGTCCGGATGTGTTGCGGGACGTGCTGCTACCGGAGGCTCTGGTAGCCAGGACAGTCCCACATCATATGCTCAACGGTTGGGCTCTATAACTAAGGTTAAGTGCGAAGTATAGGGTGGTTCAAGTAACCAGGCTCAATCTAAAATGGACTGTAAAAATCGATACCTGCACGTAGCCATCTAAACTTTTCGTCAAAGGTGTAATCCAGAGGTCGGTTTTTTAGAGCGCAGCTCTTAGGGGCCCGTTCCCGGCTTGAGCGGCGTCGGCGTAACCAAGGTCATCCCAAGGTCATGTGGCCCCTAAGGTCATTCCAAGGTCATGTGACCCCCAAGGTCACCCCAAGGTGTCCTTGGGGTGACCTTGGGGAGATGTCGCGAACCACCCTTAGTTCGATTTCGAAAGGTTTCAATATTTGCGAAGCGAACTAAGGTTCGATTTCGAAAAATTTCGATATTTTCGTACCGACCGAGGTTCGAATTCGAAAAATTCGCAACTTTCGATTACAGTGGAGTTCCGAATTCGAAAAGTTCGAAGCTTTCACGGCTTCTAACATTTCGGGTTCGAATATTTCGAATATTTTTTTACTTCAGGTACGATAAATTCGAAGATTTCGAAATTCTTTGGAAATATAGAAATAAAATTTGGAAACTTCGAACGCTTGGAACTTTTATAGACATGAAGTTCGAACAATTCGAAGATTTCGAATTTCTTTCTGCATTAAGGTCGAAAAGTTTGAATGTTTCAATTCTCTTTTAACGCTAAATTAAAAAAAAAAAAAAAAAAAAAATTTCGAAGATTTTGAATTCCTTTCTAGTCCAAGTTTAGTTCGAAGTCCGGTTTTCAAGTTCCTCCATAGTTTCAGTTTCAAATAACGTTTTCAAGACTCGCTGGTTTTCACAAAATCAAGTTTAGAAAAGTTAGGGTGTGATATCTAGATTCTGCGAAGTTGGTCAGGCAATTAAATGAGACAACGAGTGTCCCGGATGTGCTGGAATATTTGCCAGTGCAGAGTGACGTGTGACCATAGATCAGTAATTGTGACCGCCAGCCCGGGGGGAGCACTGTTTAACGATACTCATCCAGTTCGAAACGGCCAGGGTCGAGCAGGAGGTTGAGGCTCAGAAAAACCTTGAAGCGACCTGGCAAACTACCTCGCCACCCCTTGCACGCTGGTAGTAATCCGATCGAACGCCGCCCGAGTGACGCTGGCATATAGTAATTTAAGTTTGTAATTGTCCTGGAGGTTTATTTTCTGGGACGGAGGAATCGCCTCGCAAAAAGCCGACACAACTCGAGGTCGAGGAGCGTGCTACCATACAAGTGGCGTCGGAAGAGGAAAAACGGGGGAAAGAGGGTAGCGGGAGGGGGGCTTCAGCTTCCTCCTCCCCCTTCCAGATATTTCGGACTGTTAAAGAAAACAATACGGGGAAAGAGGGCGTGGTCGAGCTTATTTTAATCTGAAATTATTTATGCACATGTATCGCTACTGTCGCTCTTCACTGCGTAAAAGATTGCGTAGATGGTCATTGTTAGAAACTCGTTGTCAGAAGGCACTACTCGTCACATGCTTAGTGGTTCGGAAGTTCAAAGCTATGTCTTTTCGACCTAAATACATGTGCCAATAATAAAAAAAAAGAAATGTGGGAATAAAAAGCTCGAAAAAAAAAAAAAAAAAACTATCGAGAATTCGTTGGAAGTTTTGTATTCTTGCATATTCAGAGGTTCAGAACTTCGAAACAAGTTTCTTTTACCAAAATGTGTACAGGCTAAAAGAAACACGTCCCAGGAACGTGAAGCGAAAAAAAAAAAAAAGTTTTCTTTTAATGACATGCTGAACTTGAACACTTAGAAATCTTCTCCCATGAGTTAATTTATTCCTTAACGTGAAAAAAACAATAAATACATTATTTTGTATTCTGCAGATGGCAATGATATGTACTGTCTGTGGTGTTAATTTAAATGCGATACCTCAAACAACTTAGACGTAAATAAATATCAAGTTTAGGGCATAATTGCATGTAGATACATGTTTGGACATTTCTTCGAAACTCACGTTGAATAACAATAATCACATCTTAAAACGGCACTTACCTAGGCTATACATAGATCATTCTTAAAAAGTATAACATCTCTACCATAAATAGCTTCGGCTACAGCGCGCTTCAAATCTGGCACAAACGATAATCGTCAAAGCCCGTCGTCCTTCCTTGCCCCTTCGGGAATTTATTTCTTTAAAACTAAGCATGCCAGAACATTGAAACAAACGGCATTGTCTTTCGTAAGGAATGCAGCACCGCGTGTAAAAGTCAAAAAAAAAAAAAATTACGAATGTACCTCACTACTTGAATTCAAATGAAACCGTCCGCCGGTCTTTCGAAGTTCGACGAACGTCGAACTTATACCCTAAAAGTTCGAAGTTCGTCGAACTTCTGACTTTTCAGGATTCGAAAGTTCGAAACTTTTCGAATTCTCTTGATAAATAAGTTCGAAAGTTCGAAATTCATAGAATTTTTTGGTCAGTCAAGTTCGGAAGTTCGACAAGCATCGAACTTTGCAGCGCATTAAGTTCGAAAGTTCGAAAAAGATCGAATTTTTTAGCGTAATAAGTTCGACGGTTCGAAAAGCGTCGAACTTCTTAGCTTAACAAGTTCGAAAATTCGACTTCCGTCGAATTTTACGATATAGACAATTCGAAAAATCGAAATCTTTCGAACCTTTCGAACCGCTTGATTCGATCATCGAAACTTCGATTCGAAAAAAGTTCGCGGCATCCCTACACGTGACACCCAAAGTCACGTGACCCCCCCCCCCCCCCCCCCCGAAGTCACGTGACACCCCCCAGGTCACGTGACCACCCCCAGGGTCACGTGACCCCCGCCGAGGTCACGTGACCTCCCCGATGACGTCATGACGTCATCAGTGACGTCACTGATGACATCATCAGTGATGATGACGATGCGGATGCCGGTGACGTCACTGATGACGTCATCAGTGATGATGACGATGCGGATGCCGGTGAGGTCATCAGTGACGTCACTGATGACGTCATCTGTGATGATAACGTCATCAGTGATGATGACGATGCGGATGCCGGTGACGTCATCAGTGACGATGACGTCATCGGGGAGGTCACGTGACCTCGGCGGGGGTCACGTGACCTGGGAGTGTCACGTGACTTCGGGGGGGCATCCGCATCGTCATCATCACAGATGACGTCATCAGTGACGTCACTGATGACGTCACCGACATCCGCATCGTCATCGTCATCATCGCTGATGACGTCATCGGAGTCCGCATCGTCATAGTCACTGATGACGTCATCAGTGACGTCACTGATGACATCATCGGCATGGTCACGTGACTCCCCAAGGTCACGTGACTCCCCAAGGTCACGTGACCCCCCCCCCAGGTCACTTCACCCCCCACTACCCTTCCCTCCTCCTCCTCAAGAGCTGCGCTCTAATTCGCTGTTACAGGGAGTTGTAAACGGCTTTCACTTTTTCTTGTAAAATTATAAAGCGTAGCTCCCTTTCTGTAAAAAATAAGGCCAAGGAACTTGCCAGGGTCTACGGCGGGCAGCAACACAGACGACAGAGGTCCAGTAGAGGGGTGTGTTTGGCGTTCGTATTGATAGATGGCGCTACCTCCCTATCGCGACGGCTCGCGACTGCCGTGGTTTATTAAAATGAATCTAATCCTTTTGAAATGTACCCTTGGTTAAAAAATAAATGCGAACAATACAAGCAAAACTTAAAGCAAAAAAACAAACAAAAAGAACACGTCTGCATAACGGCAGCGCTTTTGCTGCCAACGAATTTCGTCTGCATGTCGTCTGCTATCTTTCACTGGTCGGCTGCACCTTCAGACGCTGCTCCCGACGCCATCTACCAATACGAACGCCAAACACACCCCGCTGCTGGACTTGGTCGTCTGGGTCGCCTCCCACCGTAGACCCTGGCAAGTTTCTTGGCCCTTTTTTTCACTAAAAAAGAACTACGCTTTGTAATTTGACAAGAAAAAACCGACCTGTGAAATACACCTTTGACGAAAAGTTTAGACAGCTACGTGCAGGCGTCGATTTTTACGGTCCATTTTAGATCGAGCCTGGTGACTTGAACCACCCTATAGACTTCTCTCATTGACATACACGCAAGAAAACTCACCTGAAAATTGTAAAATTTCTTCTCAGTCTGGAAAAAAAAAAAAGAAACCTTTTATTGCCGGGCTTGACTGATAAGGCATGGCTTTGCAGAACCCTAGAACGCCTTCGCTGACCCCCACTTGAGAATCACTGGTGTAGTGCATGCTGCACAGAGGCGGACCTAGCATTTTGCCACCCTAAGCAGCTTTTAACAATGGTCACTGACCATGGGGAGCAGGGGATAAGAAGGAGAGTAGCTAAGTTTAGAGTTAAATGTTTCAAAAGTAGCTTAATTTGGAGCTAGAATTCCCAAAGTAGCAAAATACAGAGCTAGATTTAAAAAAAGAAAAAAAGAATTAGTAAGTTTGGGGGCAGCCACAAATTGGCCACCCCCAAAATTCTGCCGCCTTTGGCAGCTATTGGTAAGTTTGGCCCTGATGCTGTGGAAGGTACCATATTTTGGCACATATTATTTGCCCCTGCTTATTAGCGGCGAGATGTTTCGGTGGTGCCCTCGTTCGGTTACCTTTCGTGACGTCGTTACCTTGTGAACAACAAGTTCGATGGTGTTTTTAATGGGCATGCTGGAAGCCTGAAATCACAGCGCTCTCAAAGCAACACTGCCGACACCGTGAAAATTGAAGTTCTTACATTCCTCTTATTTTGATGAGACATCCTTTGCTGACGTCATAGTAAGCATTCGGCCAATTGTGGTGGGCCGACCACAGCCACGCTTTCAATCGCTCACGTAGCCAATAATCCACAACCCAACTTACTACTCTCTCTCTAAAAAAAAGATATATATATACATTGTTATTTGCATTAATTACACAAAACAATGTGCAGATCTCGCTAGAGCCTTACCTTTATTTTGAATACACTCAATGCTTTATTCACTGCAAGCCATCATCTGAGGCACCCTCATTGTCGCAGGTGGCATCTCTATCTATGCCGTCAAGGCAACTGCTAATACAGCACTTTTTGAAACTGTTCCGCACCATCTAGTTTAGAAAAGACGCAGTAACGCCAAATCTCTGTCGATGCGGCATGAACCTTTTCTCTTCTCGACGAACTTTACGGGCACTTTCTCAGGGTTGTAAGTTGCTGCTTTCAGTTTGCAGGTTTCCTTGTTCCTCCATACTCGCACGCACAACCGATCAACGTCGTAGCGGTCGTAATTCCAACCTGCCGCTTGGTTTCCAATCTCTTTGGCATTGAATCCGACGACAGAGTGGAACAGCGACCGACGTCTTGGAGTCCACAAAAACGGAGCAAAGATTGCTACTTGAAAGGTGAAAAGTAAGAATGAGACTGGCAACAGAAAGAGTATAACAAACTCTATCAATGTTCTTCAAACAAACTTGATTAACACTCTTCAGTTAATGTAAGAATGAGAAAGCGGGAAGAAAAGAGTCCCTAGGAGAAACCGAAAAAAAGGGACCCTAGGGATTATATCCCTACAACTTCCGTGTGCATTGCGGCGAAGCCGCACTGTCCGCCGACATTCTCTTGTAACCCGCTCCCCTACTTTGCCTTCGATTTTACAGGAATTTGGATGCGGGTTATACGTGTAAAAATATTGTACACACTCAGCAGCAAGGCCACTACTGTGGCCTCTGACATGATGTCACTGCAACCCGGGTGCAGAGGAGCGTAAGCTTTGTGGTACTCTGCAGAAGGGTTGTTCAGCTTTGTAAGAGGCTCGTACATCTAACAGTGTCTTTCTGTTTTCTTTCAGGCCTTCCGTGGTGCCTTGATAGACCACATTGTGAGTCGATGGCTTCCGTCTCTCAAAGCCTTTTGTATTTTTTAGCATCTGTTATGCAGTGACATACGCTTTCCCTTCGAGAGAACTTAGAACGACGGCTACAATCTTTTCCCGTAGGTGTCGACCAACCTTGTGGGCACGGTGTTGGAGCTGGTGCAGCTGCTAATGCCGGCCATCGTGGAGACGTACCACCGCAACTCCCCGATTGGGAGCTCGGCACGAGCGCAGAAGGCGCTTTCGGAGCTCCATTCCCTGGAGAAGGTCTTCGAGCATGTCGACCAACTTATGGTGGGTGACCCTGTTACTTAGTACCTTTCTTCTTCAATGCAGAGGCAGAGGCCTGGCAGTACACGTATGGTTTTCCTAATGTCGAGAAGTAGCCCGGCGTAGTTTTAACGCAGAATGTGTTTTATGGGTAGTTTTTCTATGAGAAAAATTGTCATGAACAAGCATCCTAATGAGCATTGTAACGAGCATCATGGACTGACACTTTGGGAGTGTTACATACGTTAAAAATACACTAAACCTAGAAAAAAAAATTTTTTTCCTACTTGGTTAGGACAGGTATGTGTTGAAACAAATGTTTGTTGAAAAAAACATTTTCTTTTACAGCGAAGCTGTTTATGGCTAGGGTTCTGTGGATTTTTTGTGTGCAGTGACTAAAAACTATACGCTTGCATCGCTGCATGCGCCGCATGCACACGCTATCTCTGTATGAAAGATTTGAAGTAAATAACCAAAATAAAGCTGTGACGAACGCGCGTGCAAGATGCCGTTTGTTTTAAACTTTTGTTTTGAGACAGTTACTGCTGCAGAAGCCGTCACAGGCGGTGCATGGAACACCATTCCCTGCATTCTCCTTGATGCTTGGGTAATTTAGCATTAGGTCTACTTAGTAGATTAGTTATAAGTAGGCAGCATTTTCAAGATCAGTAGACTCTCAGGTAGATAATAAAGGTTTCTCAAAGATTTGCCGCTGTGCGACCTGCGTCGGCCATGTTTTTGCTCGCACCGCCCTCTCTTTGTCGTTGTTCCAAGTGCTTGCGTGCCTAGTTTCCTTTCCTTCTGCTATCCCGAGGTGGTGAACCCGTCGCGCGTGTCTAGTTTCCTTGGGGTGGGTCTCTGTCGTCTGCTAAACAGCTTCGCTGGTCATCTACCTTCACAGAGTGGAATGGCTCATGATTTGTTTTATTGAACACGGATATTGCGCCAAAAAAAGTTTTGTTTCCGCAAACATTTATTTTGGAATCCCTGTCTTAACCAGGTAGAAAAAATTTTTTTTTCCTATGTTCAGTGTTCCTTTAAGGTCATATATAAAGTTTATGTATAAGTTTGAGCCCCGGTGGGGCGTGAACCTGGGTTAGTGTGGTGGCAGTCGGATACCGTAGCCACTGAGCTATACTGGCACAGCTGGTCTGAAAGGCGTAAATGATTTTTATTTGAATGCAAACGTAAATGGCGAGAGTGGCAGGTTTTTGGGTAAAAATAATAAAACAAATAAAATAAGAATCGAAAAATGTAAAATCAGGTAGTAAAAATATAATAAATTAAAATAAAGTAAAATAAAACAATAAAAATAAAATATGAGAATATGGAGAAATGTAAAGTAACTAATAGGTAATAAAAATAATGAAAAATTTAGCAATACATTCTGTGCTCCTTAGCCTTTCCATCATCAAGCCTGTATGTCCTTTTTTTAAATGAGTGATTTGTTGCATTCCTGTGCTAGTCATTAAGGGGACTGGACAATGGAACTGGCATTGAGGTTTGGACAGGGGTGGACTCGGGAGTAGGCAGAGTAGGCAGCTGCTTAGGGTAGCAGAATGGAGGGGCGGCAAATTTCTGAGGGAAGCTTGTTTCGATCCTTTTCAAGCTAACTCCGTTCTGTGCACAGCACGAAAAAGGCTGCCGCTTTCTTCATTGCCCCATTATTGGGTTCAGAGAAAATATCCTCCTTCTACCCAGTGCCTGGGGGTTCTGGTCGTAAACATGCAGAGAGTGGTTGCAAACGACCCTTTGCCGCCGCTCGATTGGGTCCAGGTCTTCATAGTTTTGCTTGCAAGTTTGTCTCGAAAAGTGCGGCACAGCATTGCATAGATGGGAAGGAAGCTGCGGGGAATTTTACTTCCTATTGATTTCTAGGCAAACGCCGTCCTGTTCTTGATTCTGATTCTGTTTCCAGGTCCCCACCCTTGGTTCCCAAGAAGGCGCCTTTGAGAATGTGCGCATGAACTATTCCGGGGAGCAAGGACAGACCATCCGGCAGCTGCTCAGCGCTCACATGATCCGGCGGGTGGCCATGTGCTGCCTGGCGTCGCCTCAGGGCAAGCGCCAGCACCTGGCCGTCAGCCACGAGAAGGGAAAGGTGAGGCTCTCGCGCCGGCTTCGTGCTGCAGCCGTTATCACCCAGTATTTCTGACCGTTAATATCTCTCGTATATTGTGTTTTTATTTTCAGATCACCCTGTTGCAACTCTCGGCACTCCTCAAGCAAGCAGACTCGAGCAAGCGCAAGCTGACCATCACGGTAAGTCCGTTTTATTGCCTGTGAAACCACCACTGCTGAATCAGTTTTCGTGTGTTGGTAGCTATTTGTTTTTACAGCGGAGCTGTTAAAAGCTAGTTGCCCCAGGATCGTGTCTGGTACCAAACAGATGTCGGCACCCGCGGTCGGCACAACACTCTGGTTGCCGCCGTCGCTCATATATGACGGTAGCTGTCCAGTGTTGTGTTTGCCAGTTGTCTGCTTGCTGCCGTCGCTCATAGATTGCAGCAACCTTTCCAGCCTCGGCAAACCAGACAACTAATTGCTGGCGTCACTCATAGATGGCGGCAACATTTCTTCGGAGGAAGAAGAGCGGGAACGAAACGAGTGGCGATGTGCACAGCAGCGCGAATGGTCCCGCAACCGCTGTAAGGTCGCTATCATCTAAAACTCCACTGCGTCGAGCGCTTCAGATTTCGGTGCAAAAGAAGAGCAGATCGCTCGCCTAGAAAGCCACTGCCGAGAACAGAAGCTACAACTCCGCTGCTCCTCCTTCTTCACCAGAGTGGAAAGGCTGAAAGTTTTTGTTACTCCACTTCCTAAAAAAGGACTAGCACTTTCTAAGAAGGGATGTGGTAGGCACAAAACAAGCAAAAAGCTCTGTTTCTCTTTTTGCAGAGGCTGGCATCTGCCCCTGTACCATTCACAGTGCTGTCCATCACCGGGAATTCCTGCAATGAAGACTACCTTGCTGTTTGTGGACTGAAGGTATTGTGCGCTCTTTTACACCTCTCGTGTTACCGTCCATAGGGACAAATGAAGGTTTTACTGGTTTGAAGCAAATGATGACTTGCTAACTAGAGTATAGAAAATGTTTATCTTAGCCTTAACATTTTAGACGATGCTATGAGAAGGTATAACTCTATACTTGAATTAGAAATGGCAGTGCATGAATGATCTTATGCAGATATCCAGTCTTCTGGATGGCTTGTGTCATATCAGAGTCTATAGTCGCCAACCGATTTTTTTAACTTCGTGAGGGCTAAAAAAGCGTCCGAATAATAAAACGGACCAGAAATTCTGCAGAAGACAAAACTTAAGGGGGGAGGCTGGTCTTTAAATGGTAAAAAGTTGGAGAAAATTCACTTTTGAGAAAATGGCTTTTCTGGAATTTAGACATACCCACCCAGCTCTGTGCAAAATATTATTGCTCTATCTAATTTTTAAGTATGAAAGAAAAATATGAAGTCTTAATTTTCTATGAACATTCAGTAGGAATACACATACTTCAAGGGCTTTTTTTTCTCTTTACACTTTTTTCACAAGTACCGATGCCTTACAGGCGTTTTCTGAAGTTTGTCTTGGACAATATTAACCCGTTTGGTGCCATTTTAATCGCGAAGAAAGGAGCTGTGCGGTGATGCTATTTTTATAGCCTTCCAGCTTAAGAGTTCTATCCAATTAATTACTTTCTTAAATAATGAGAAAGCATCTCTTTTACACTATAATTGCGATCGTTTTTTAGTGACATAACCCTCTCAGTTAAGATCTAAAATAGCATCACCGCACATATTACACCTTTGTGAATACAGTTGCATTAAAAATTTTGATAATTTACGAATACTTTTTCTCTAACGACCCGTAACAAATGACCTAATCAAATTAGGCCAATCTCCCATAACTCGGGTTCTAGTAAAGATATTCAATATCTGATTGCATATTTGGAATAGGTGTGAGATGTGTTATACCAGTGTATAATATGATAAGTATTCCTTTATAAATAAAAAAATTACTCTAAAGCCCCACATCACCCCTTAACCTTATTGAGCCTAAGCGGGCTTTAAAATGTTGGTAAGAGTACCCTGTGTCATGTCACGCTTGCGGGCGATCATGTCCGCTTGCATTCATGTCAGTGTCATTCATGTCCTCACCTGGCAGAGGTGCAAGAAAAGGCCAGTATGTATCGACGCAGGGCAAAACGACGAAACTGTGAGACATTATGTGCAAGGTTCAGAAGCTGTCAACAACGCACTCCACACTTAATGGGTGGCGACTGGCAGGAAAACAGAACAAAAAGTTGGCTTGAGATACAAAGTCGATCAAAGAAAGAAATCAAGACGACGATGATGATGCATAGCAAAAACAAAACACATAGCATAGCTTGCCTAGCGGTTGGTTCGGCAGTGCTAAAATAGTGCTGCCAAAGCTATCCAATTCACCTGAAACATCAAGCCAAGCCAACGAAAAATCCAAGATGGCAGCCTCTCGGTGGCCGCCACTTGTAACTATTTTAGTACGAAAAATCAAGCTTTCGGACTGCAAACTGTCTGAATTAATATGTACTATTTCACGTGGGTGAATAATATGTACTATTTCACGTGGGTGAGTCACGGTTCCTCGTCGATGTCCGAAAAAACAAGTTAGTATGAATTTTCAGCGTCCGAAAATCGGTCGGGGACTGTATTCGTGAGCTGCTGTCATCTTCTTCAACAAATTGATGTGTTCCTTTGTTGCAGGACTGTCATGTTCTCACGTTCAGCAGCAGTGGCTCTGTCTCAGAACACCTGGTGTTACACCCTCAGCTAGAGACTGGCAACTACATCATCAAGGTGAGTTCAGATTCTGTGCCTTCCATGCAGATGACTATCTGTATGAAGGTTTAAACGAAGTTCCTGCCTGTGTTTCTACAAATCTAAGATTTGTTTGGGCTTTGTTTTAGTACTTTGTTCACTTCGGAAGAGAGCCTGGGGAGAAGATGCTGTGAACAAAACTCTCTAGTTTTATCTTCAGGTTGCATGATGCTTCTACTATTTAGATTTCTGTCTCATTCCAGCTTGAGCTTTTGCATCTTTATAGTTAGTTTTTGCTCAAGTTTAGTGGCATAGATAGGGAATTAATTCCGGGTACACAGGTTAGGGAACCCAGGGTTGAGTAGTTGAAACTTGTTGGAAATGCTAGGAGGAGTAACGGCAAACTCACACTATTTTTCTGGTACACAAAGTGATTGCTTTTCAGTGTTTTTCAATTCATACTGAAAGTCAGAGCCCCCATACTCTGCGTCAACTTTTCTGTGCGACATTGTCAAAGTTAATGCAGTTTCCACAATGCTGCATTCTCTCGTGCGAAGACGAGAAAGCCACTCATTTGCGAAAGTAACTTTGACACCATTATGCGCTACGTATGCAGCGTAGTTCAGGTGGTGATGCCTTTTCTTTGTGCGTTGCGGAAACTATGCTAGACTTGACAGTGTTGTCCAAAAACATTGGTGCCAAGTATGGTTATATCCGCCATAATACAGTCTAAGCTCGTTATAACAGACCTTGATTTTGACCAAGATTTCGGTCTATTGTAGAAGGAGTATGTTGGATGCAGATATGAAGTTGAGCCAATGGTGTGTAGAGGAAAACCAATTGAACCTCGCGAATCGGTATGTTATATCCAAATGTCTGTTGTAACCAGGTCTGTTATAATGAGCTTAGACTGTAACTTCAACGAAGATATTCCCGTTTTTTACAGCAATAGCTGTTATGAGTTCTTCCCACCACTGGAAATGACCTCTGTGGTTAATGGTGTAGTTGATGTAGTTCGTGCAGTAGGGTGTCCATCGATCTTGCCAAATCCTTGAAAAAGATTGCCCGTCGCCCTCGGGAATTGAACCTGGGTCCGCTGCGTGCGAAGCGGATGCGTTACCACAGAGCTGCACTGTGGCGTAACTCTGTGGTAACGCTTTAAACTTCGGGTTTTTGTAGTACCCGATGCTCGCAGCACGTGCTCTCTGTAAAGGAAAATAGCCAATAACAAATTGCTGTTGTAGCACTGTCAGTGCCAAAAGCTTGTGCCGGGAGATGCTCTTTCACACGCTCCAAAGCAAAAAAGAAACAAGCGTTTCAAACTTCGAACAAAATGGCCAGAAATCTATTTTGTTACAAACTCTTTTGTTTGTGCGCTCCACTGTGTGTCAACTTGCGTGACGTGTTGCAGATGTCGCTGTGATTGTGCTGCGACAATTTTTTAGGTCTAGATATTTTGTAACCTTTTTGTGGCCTGTGGCTTCTCGTTTCATTGAACTGCTGAAGTGTGGTACACATTTCTGATTGAACTTGAAAGTGTCCCGCATAAAGTGCTCTCTTTATTTGAATTTATAAGCGCTCGTCATGTTGCATGTTCCAACAGAAGAGCAGACGTTGTTAACACAAGCTGTTTGTAACCCGCACGCTCTCCTCATTTCCAGGCGATCTGGCTTCCAGGCTCGCAGACTGAGCTGGCAGTTGTGACGGCAGACTTTGTCAAGGTGTACGACCTGTCGGTGGACGTGCTGAGCGCCCAGTTCTATTTCCTGCTGCCCACGGGAAGGGTGCGGGACTGCTGCTTTGTCTTCTCGGAGGACGGGCAACGCCATCTGCTGCTCATGTCCTCGGCGGGACATGTGTACTACCAGCCAATGCTGGACGAAAGCTCGGCACGGCATGGCCCATTCTATGTGACCAACATCTTAGACGTCAAGCATCCGGACATCAAGGTTAGCATCGAGAGACCGTATACCAGAACTCGAAAGGCCAATGCAAGTTGCCGATCTGGATTCACACAATTTGAGCGGATCCTGTGTTTGCTGTGCATCATGTGGTTCTTATAGTTCCACTCTTCCGTAATCCAAAATGGTTTCAGTTGGATATGTTCCCGAGTTTTGCGTACGGCCTTGCGGTCGACTCCCGTTATTCAAAGGGGATTTGTTAGAATTTTTGTTTTTGAGTTGAAGTATGGGTGCAGTCCCAGGATTAGATTCTTTTCGAAAGACCATCAGGCAACACTTGCAGCAGCCATATTTTGGGAATCACTTTCTGCACGAAGCATGTGATTGGAGTTTGTGCTGAGTACTGTTGGAGCACCCAGGGTTGCACGAGCATTCAAATTTTCTAATAGTATTTTCGAATGATACGCTATTCTATATTCGCTCTGAGATGAATTGCGATATTCATACTTTTCAAAGTGTTCATTGCTGCGTACTATCTCTGTTAAGTACGCTTCTTACCGAGCACCGGTGCATTGCAGAGAAGCAACACCTGTGGAAGTAGGTGTGGGTCTTGCTTTTCTGCAGTGCACCTGTACTTGGCAAGAAGTATGCTCAACAGTGTTAACCTGTCACGATCAACAGTTTGAGAAGTACCATATTTGCACAAATATGATGCAAGTTTTTTTCTCTAAATTATGTCGTCCAAAATGCACCTCACATTATATTCGAAATTGAGTTCGGCCACGAGGCGCATGAGTCGGGAGTAAGCCATCCCTCCAACTGAACGCAGGAGTTTGGGTGGGAAAAGAAATGGGAGTGTGGAAGGGAATTTATTAATTACTTGGCCACGTAAAGGGGGGAAGAGAAAACATAGCATTTTTGTTGCTTTTGCGTTTGTACAACGCACGCCGTAAAGCGCGCTGCAGAAGTGCAGCACGCCATGCGGGAATGTGGCCACTGGCCAATTCAAGCCAAGTCAAACCAGGTCAAGTCAATACGAACTAAGCCAAGACCGTCAACCGTGTTTTTTGCAATCTAGTCATGTTCAATGGGTGTTCAAAGTTGGTGCCCAAAATATGGCGGCCTCGGGGAAGCTACTGGAGGGCACACACACAGCGTGCGTTATTGTATGCTTTAAATGACCTAGAGGCTAGAGCCAATTGTTTTGACAGTTGAGCTGCAGCTGTAGTTCAACTCAGTGGTCCCCAAAGCTGCCTACAAGGCCCATCCCTAGGATGAACCCCACACCTCTTCGCAGGATTCCGTGGGAACGGTGGCGGGCGGTGGAGTCTCCATCTACTACTCCCACGTACTGCAGCTCCTCTTCCTCAGCTACGCCAACGGCAAAAGCTTCATGGCCTCCTTACCCCAGATGACGTCCGAGCTGGCAGAGCCCGTGCTCATCCTGCTGAAGCCTTCCTCCGCCTCCACTTCCTCGACGACGACAAACAACAACTGTGGCGCACTGGCCGCCGCCACCGCCAACTCCGGCAGCAACGCCACGACGGCGTCCTCGACGGGAACCGCGACTGCGACGTCTGGCAACAGCGGCGGCAGTGGCAGTTCCAGCAAGCCCACACCGCAGCCCCTGTGCCAGTGGTCCGAGGTGCCGAATCACCCCGGTCTCATCTTGGCATTGATGCAGTTCTCTAACAATCCTCTGGTGCTCATGGTCAAGCCTGGAACTGTCCTTGTTCAGGTGGGGTTCACTCCGGTACCTGTCTTGTGAAATTTGTCTCCTTTCTGTTTGTAGTTTTGCAGACTTCCTATACTTGGTATAGACTGTTTCGTGGTACGTCGTCAAGGCTAGCGTAGCCTCCATGGTGCTGCAGCAATGCACCGCTGCAAGAGCCCATGGCTTCGTCTTGTGTCTCATTCGCGTGCACTCTCGCGCAAAGGAGACACGAAACAGAGTCATGTTCTCGTTTAAGTAACTTTGACATAGCGCAAAATAGTCTACGCCAATTGTAGTTAAAGAGCTGAGAAGATTGCGTATTAGAAAAATGCAGTCGGGCCTTCTTGCACCAAGCCCGGAAATGGGAGACGTCGCTTGCAACAGACTAATCGTCCTTTCACATTATCTGGTGGCTTTGAATTGTTTTTTGAAGTGGAATATTCAATCCACTAACTGTTTGTTCTATCAACATTTACAGCTTCTTTTAATCATTCTCGTCGCAGGAGATCAAGATTCTGACGGCCAAATCCAAGATCACAGACCTGGTGGCCATCCGCCACCCGACCTCGGGCGGAGAGATGCGCACGACACTGATCCTGCTGTGTGAGGACGGCAGCCTGCGCATCTACATGGCCTCGCAGGACCAGACCGGCTACTGGCTGACGCCCGCCTTCCAGCCGGCGTCTTCCGCAGCCGGGGTCCATCCCCCGGGAGCCGCACTCGGTGTCCCCGGCAGCGGAGGCACGGCAGCCGTGCCCAGGCCATCGCGCAGGCGCAAGTCTCTCCGTGGAAGCAGGGGGGGCGCGTCGGCCGTGGCCGTCTCGTTTCCGGTCGACTTCTTCGAGCACTGCAACCCCGTGCAGGACGTGGAGTTTGGCGGCAACGACCTCCTTCAGATCTACAATGCGCAGCAGGTGGGGATTGTGCGACTGCAGGCTCTGAGCGGGAGTGCAGGCTCATTCCATGCTTCAAGGTGTTGGCATACCGCAGTGGGGAGTGGTGTACGAAAAACACTGTGCTACTAATTCTTATGTGGCAAACTCGTACAAGAGGTTCTTATATGGCAAACATTCGTATGTGCAAACTCTCAACTTGTAAACTTTAGTGTTGTAAATCTTCGTACGGCAATCTATCGTATGAAAAACTCCCACGTGGCAAGCCCTTGTGGCAAACTCTTGTGGCAAACTTTTGCTTTAAACCCTGGTGGCAAACTCGTACAGTAAAAAAATAATTCTAAGTAATTCTGACGCAAGCAAAGCCGACATTGTGTAGACTCTGATGGAGTAAAGAAATAGCTTGCTTTGGTGAACTTTATCACAGGGAAACTGGAATGGAAACACTCATTAATGGGAAGAGCCCTTTTAATTGCATTGTATGTTTAGACAGCCGGAAGGTAGTCAGCCTCAGGAGCGTCTGGTGTCTCATCTGTAGACGAGAAATTTAGCCAGTGAAGCACAATCGCTAGCCTGGTATCTTTAACGTGCATCACGCAGTAGTGACACATGACCGCATGCCGGTGTGATTCTGATCCAGATCAAAACGGACAGGGGTGGGGTTGAACCCAGGAGGTTCTGTAGCGCGAGCGTTCACTCCTTGTTCTCCAAGCTGGTGTGCGTTAATAGGATCTGCCACCTATCCCTCTTCGCTATGCAGCTTTACATAGAAAGGTTCTGCTGTAGGTATTACCATCACTGACATTCCTAGACCATTAAAGTTGCCTTACTGACATAACTGTGAACAAAGCACAAAATTATAGGAAGAATTTGAAAAGGAAACCCCTTGGGAAGCTTCAAAATGATAGCCGTCAATTTGCTCACATAGCATTTTCAGGCCAACACGACCTAACTATGGTATGTCATTCAAGCAACTTGTCTTACGTCATGAAATACCACTAAAGTCTGCCAGTTTGGAGATGAAGTCGCCGTGCTCAATCTAGGATTGTCATGGAGCCTAAAATTTTAGGCATTTCTCGGCAGACATGTATGAGATACAAAAAAAAGTATTTAGGTTAAGTTACTGAATACCAGGCTACAAAACAACTGAGTAGAGTACTAAATATCCAAATTTGAAAAGTATTTGAGTAGAGTACTAATTACTCATTAAAGTAACTTGTTACTCTCAAGTTACAAATGGTTATAAAAGCCGGGCGGCAGTTTCATCGCCACCCGGCGATGGGACCGCCGTGTGCGCATGTCTAGTTTCCTCCGGCTCCTTGGGGCGGCGACAGTCCTCGACATGTGTGTGCATACCTTTTGCCCACACTTGGCAACTCTGTGGCGGCACCTCGACTCAGCTCTCTCTGGGCAAAGTTCGTGGTGGGGCTGGTCATCAGTCGATGTGACATGGTGGAAAGTTGCCATGACAGCCTGCTGCATTGCTGCCATGTCCTTCGAGCTGTTGCGTAGCACCCAGCCATAGAGGTCAGCTTGTCTATAAGAACTTTCGCCAGTTTGCCCTTTCCACCCAACGACTTGTTGCTCTTCTGGACCAGGTTACACAGTGCCGTCCCCATCCTCTTTTGAACGTGGTTCAGGCCTTCTTTCTTGACGATGGGGACTTTTCTCTAAACATTCTCTTCCACCAAGGCTGAGAAAGTCCATCCGTTGCCGTCGAAGACGAGCATCTTGTATCGCAGGTCATGCTTCTGAACAGATCGCTTGAAAAGGGTCAAGCTTGCTTCCACTTACATCTTTCTTGATTTGGTGTCGGTGTTCTTCTGACATACGTGGTGCCGGTGCCAGTTGTCGTACCCTTGGTCTCCAGGCTGCGGTCCCATGTAAGATTCAAGGCACAGGTTTGAGAGCACTGCGGCATTCAAGATGAGGCCTGTGTGGTACTCAATCACTGATCCAACGCCAGTGTGGGACGTACACCCACACTTGTGCCACGTCCCGTCGAACACCGTAGTTATATCCTTGCAAAAATTTGCCTCCATCTTCTCGTAGGCTACCTTTACAGGTTGACTTATATTCAAATAAATATGGTACTTAAAAAATACTTGAAGTTGCTGAATAGCTCTATTTGATTCGCACAACCCTACAAACGAGCTAGGAATATGATGTGTGGATGTGTGACGACACATGACATCATGTGGTCACATGACTGTGACACCGTGGATCATAGTGTCACGTGACTACGTAATTTCAAACGGTATGTGACATTATGACGTTGCATGACATCCTCAAGTCGCATGATGTCATGGGACATCAGTCGCGTGATGTCATGGGACATCAGTCGCATGATGTCATGGGACGTCACGGTTTCACACGATGTCACTTGACGCCACGTGACATCACAAGTGTAACGTTTCATGTTTCTTACGAAACCCATCCCCGTGACACGTCCGCGTTAAGAGCGTTGCTCTGCGTCCTTGCCTCAGTGGTGTCAATTCTGCCGCTTGCAGGTGAAGCACCGGCTGAACACGACGGGCATGTACGTGGCCTGCACCAAGCCCGCCGGCCTTACCCTGGAGGTGACCAACAACGACCCCACCCTGGTGATGGTCGGGGTGAGGGTACTGGTGGGCTCCCAGGATGTGCAGAGGGCCCCCTCGAGCATGGAGATCTTTGGGCGCGTGCACCCGGTGGCCCTGACCAGGAGCCGCTGGTTCGACTTCCCCTTTACTCGCGAGGAGTCGCTCAACGCCGACAAGAAGGTGAGAGCTGGCCCCCCCAGTCTGCTCCCTTCTGCCTCGAGCGTAATAGTAGTCTTCAGAATTTCTTGCCTTTGATGAAAGATTTTAACTCCACTGTCAAGGCTGGTTCCCACACTTGCGACTGCTCATCACCGAGTGCATTAAAACTTCTTGTGATCTCTTGTGACAACATGCTGGCACCACCTATGAGGTGGCCCTAGAACTGCATTTCACCAGAGGCAAGGTTTTGCGCTATTGGCAAGATCAAATATTCATACTACGGTCAGAAGTTTTTCACGCTGACAGTGGCGTGGGTGGGGTGTCATTCAAAGCACACTGTGAAGCTAGCCTCCTCAAACCGCCGTCCTGGCAAGGTGTTGCCTCAATTTGCAAGGACAGTAATGTGCACATTCGTTGTGTGTATGTGTGCTCGGGAAAAGTGCTTTATCTCGCACTGTAGCAAACTGAGAAGGTGCGGTGACATGCATAAGATCCTTACTGATGGAACATTTTATTTCTAAGCACTTTTTTCCAAATGCGTGGGAAGTACCGTATTTACTCGCATAATAAACGTACCCCCCACAACGGGCATCCATAATTTGACTTTTTTTTTTTTTTACCCTCTCCGTAATCAAAGTACCTCCAATTTTCGGTTCCACGAGTCTCGAATTGCGTCGAATTTAGCAAGACACCAAGCCGGTTTTCTTTTGCTGCCAAGCAGTCAGGCCGAGTCAAGCCAAGCCAAGCCGCTCTCGTGATGTCGTAATGGCTGCGAGTGCGTAGTTGCGGTAGTTTATGGAAGTGATCAACCGTGAAACCAAATGTCGCGCACACTTGACGGAGCCTGGATCGAGGAATTGCCGAGCCCAGAACATTCTTCGCCTATCGGATGCATTGATGTCAACAAACAAGCTGTCATCTTTAGTCGGTGGTTGGACCTTGTACGAGTTCTTGTCTGCGTGAATGAAACTTGATCCAAGCGAGCGGGCTTAGGGGGTCGGGGGTCTGACTTCGTACAAGTTTTTATGCATTCTTACGGATATACCTGGATATTCGCAACTCCAACGCCCTATAGGTGGCGGGGCGGTAGTTCCAAGATGGCGGAAGAGACGGGGATAGATCCTCGAAGATTTCTCGTGCGCCTGCTCGCCCTGACGCTGTTCAGCGGGCTAAAAATGCTTTATTTGTCCACAAATGCGAAGCGGTTAGGGAGGGATCATATTGCAGGTGACGGAGATGCTGATGCACGTTAGGAAAACGAGCATGTTATTATTTGAAAGTTGCAGAAACCTCAAATGGCGAAGCTTTGTGGTGAGCGAGCGTGTTTTAGGCACCGGCCACGTTACTGTTTGTGGCAGAATATTTTTGAGGGTGACGAAGATGTGTTTGCGCTTTGCCTGGCCATTAGTGCTCTAAAAGGAGAGCCGCGAACGGTGACCGTCAAGCTTCGAAAGAGCAGCGTTCACTGTATTGGTGTCTTCCCGTCACAGCCTCACAACTCGCTGCTCACCGTCTCGGTTTTAGTGTATTGCAACACCTAATCAAAAAGTGTGTTACCGCAGGCTATAGCCTGCGGTAACAAAATGGTACACCGCACGGTATACCGTGCGGTGCACCATTAGAACCGCAAGCTCGCGCTGCGCCTTTGAAACACTATTTTCAGTGCGCTCCAGGAGCGTTGCCGTGCTCATCACTCTAAAGAAAAAAAAATGTAGCTTTTACGCCTCTTGTCACATATTCGACACCTCAAAACTTCAGCTCGCCGTGCAGCCCACTGACGTCAAACTGACGGCCCCAACTTTTATGAGAGGCTTGACGACGGCGCAATGTAAGATATTAAACAGCTAAAGTACGCATCAAAAAGTACCGAAAAAAAAAAAAGAAACACCGAGGTTCTGCAGTAGGGCAAAAAAAAAGCCAACTACTTTTTTTTTTTTTTTTGCGGTCATTTACATTTACTTAAGCTATTTTAATAAGTCGCACAAGTCGGCTTTCAAGCCGCTCGTGAAAGTTGGTAGCGCCGGTTGAACGTCAGTGCGCTGTACGTCCAACTGAAGTTTAGGGGTGTCGTACGCTATGCGAAAACTGCCTATTAACATAATCGGCGTGTTTAGAGGTTTTATTTATTGTTCTATCAAAAATAAATATTTTAATTTACCGTACATTTTTTGTACCGTGTTATTTGCAACATTGCGGTCCCTCTGGCCGAAACTGCGCGTTCTAAGCTCTCGTCGCGAGCGGCTGGCTAACACAGACGCACTTAAAATGCTTCGAGCATTTCTTTATTTGCTTTGTAATTATCTGAAAGCAAGTACGAGTATTCTGTCTTTTTAAAGTGCTTGGAATCAATAGTCATGTTCCTTGTAATGGCCTTAAAACAACCCATTCCCGATTTGTGTTGCTCGACATACCATTGCGCGACGAGTTTTCTCCTACTTACGGCAAAGAATAGACTTTTCGTAGACCGTACTATAGAGTTCTTCATCATTAGCGGGAGCGTGTTCCGTCACGTTGAGCACAGATTGAGATGGCGGCCGTGCGCAAGACCAGAAATCCGCAGTGTATGCGATACACGAAAAGTCCCTAATGAAATTAGACATCCCGGTCCTTCGTGCAAAGCTGTCGCAAGGCGGAGCACAAGAATTCCTTTTTCAACGCACTCACTTCTGTTCGTTAAAACGGCTTCGCGCATCAAGGCCGACAGACCCTGCCAACGTTTCCGTGCCGCCGCCGCCGCCGCTGCCGTCCCCGCTCCTCTGGTTCTCCGTTCGTCCGCCGGAGGGCGAGCGGCGCGCTGGAGTTGCGAATACCTGAGCGTGCTCGCCAGATACTAGCAATATATATCGCCTAAGAATGGGTCGTGTTGCTTTTCGTGCCCAGTGAGCTTCGTAGGGCGCTTTTCCTTTGGCAAAAGGCACCCCGAAAGCGCCCTAAAAAGGTCTGCAATTTATAAAGCATGGTTATTGTGGCACGCCCCAGACCAGTCGTGGGTGGGCCTCCATCACTGGAGACGTGCCACAGTACCCTGCCGTGTCATATTGGCATCTAATATGACATTTGCACGAATTGTGTAAATGCAAAAATCTTACTCCATGTAATGAACGCCCCCTAAATATGTGTCAATTTTTCGGGAAAAAAAGTGTGCTTATTATGCGAGTAAATACGGTACTCCTTGTAGGCTTACATAGTTTATATAGTTCCTCTGGCTGTGGCCTATTACCAGCAGACGATGCTCAGTGATCTCTTTTTTTTTGGATGCTCGTCTTCTCCTTGCAGTTCAACATCTTCTTTGGACCAAGCGCGGACCCGTCGTGCGTCACCATGGTGGACTCTGTCAAGGTGTATGGCAGGTCCAAGGAGTCGTTTGGCTGGCCCGAAGAAAGCGACGAGTTTGCAACGGGCGTCGGGGTAGCCGCACAGTCCACCGCGGCTCCTACGACGGGTTTGGACTCCGAGGGCATTCCTGTCATGCCCCTGCCCCTCACGGCTCTGGACAGGTGACCACTTGAACCTCGCGTCTTACAAATTTTAGAGTAAAACAAAAAAAGAAAGCTGTTGGGTGAGCAGTGTCTGCTTATCGCCATCCACTCCCTACGGTCGAAACAGTAAACAATATTTTTGCTTCTTTCAGTGTTCATATGCCATGCCCCACATACTTCAGTGTTTGAGCCTTGTAATCACAAACCAACCACCCCAGCTGGCCACCTTGGTACTTTTTTTACATTTCTTTGTGTAAAAATTAAGTTTAATCAGACTCGTTGGGCCAGTCGGTGCATGATGTCAGGAAACTTGGAGGCACAAACAGAGATGAACAGAAAAAAGGGGACACAGACAAGGAATTTCTGTGTCCCCCCTTCTTCGTGTTTGTCTCTGTTCGTATCTACGGTTTCCTGAAATCAAGTTCCGTACTTGCTCATAAAAGGGTTATTGGAAAGGTGTTTTCGGCAGGCCGGTAACGGGTTTGCCAAGGGTGCAATGCACACGCATCTTTGCAGACTAACGAGCAGCTGCCTCGAGATGCTGGATGGATGCTTCTCGGTGCATGCGCTGTCAGAGGAGCGTTCCGGTGCCACCCAGGGCAGTGCGCTGGAAGTTGCCACCCGCCTGCTGACCCTCCCCACCCCTCCAGCTGTGCATCAGCAGGTCAAAGCACTGCTCGCAGCCTTGCACCCCAGCCGCACAGCCTACAGCAACCATAGGGTAAGCACACATCCTTTGTTAGGATCATGGATAATATTTTTATGCCTGCGTCGATCAAATAGTGTAGCATCGTTTATAGATTTAACGCCGGGAAGAGAGCCAGTATGTTCAGACTTTCTCTAGGACTCCGAAGCCTATGAATGATGCGGTGCTATTTATTAACTCGAAATGCTCTTTGACTAGGCATTCGGAATTTCGTCAAGCTTGAAAGAGAAGCCCAAATGAAAGTGTGGCTGCAAAGCTTGACACCAATTAGTTGACAAGTGGGAGAGGCGGAGTGAATTACTCAACGCCAATCGGTTGATGGGGAGGTCATGTGATGGGGGGGTGGAGTGAGGAGAAGAGGTAGGATTGTAGGAGAGGTGGGAGAGGAGGAGTGGGTTAGACTATTCTGGAACATCACCAGGTTTATCATTTCAAGCGTACACATGCCGCGAGCTAAATCATCCAATGAAGAGCGCCGGGAACGCAGACATCTGACCGAACAGGCTAGACACGCTGCTTAAGCTTAACGATGATATAATGTTTGTGATACTAGAAAATACCACGTATGCAACCCAATTGCCTAGAAATTTTTTCCAACAACTATTTGCACACCTCTAGTTTTTTTTCGGAATTGCAATTTTCAGATTGTGTTGGGGGTCATAATGAAGTTTTTAGCAGGCCAAAGAAATTATTTGTTTTACTGTGTTTTGTTTTTGCTGTCAAAAATGTTTTTGCTTTTAAGGTAAATAATAAAATTTGGTTGTTAACTGAAGGATGCCAGTGAGGTTGCATGAGCTGTAAAGCACAAGAGAAAGGAGCGAAGTGGAATGAAATGCTTTTAGAAGGCAGTAAACTGTCATAATGAGTGGTTCACATTGTGCAATGCACCATCAAGCGACATCATAACATCTCATCGTATGCCGACGTCACAACGGGACCATTGGCACTCTGGCGACGTCGCGCAACCACTGTCCGCCAAGTTTAGCGGGAAAAGCATTCCGTGTATTTCAGACTTCATACGTAGGGTCTATAGTTTTTTTCCGTCTAATTGCCCTGGCGTGTCCGCCTTAGGACCAGGCTCTGCTGAGCTATGTGCTGGAGTGCCTGAGCAGCAGTGGCGCGGAGAAGCCTCCCTTCCAGGACCTGGACGGCGAGGCCTTCTACCGGCTGGTGGCCATTGCCAGGGGCGTGGCGTGCACCCGCCCTGCCAACCTCGTCCAGTTTGCAGAGTCCCAGGAGAGCCTGGCGGCCGAGGCAGCTGACACCGGTGAGCGCAGCCCCCTTCACTCAAGCCCCTAAAGAAACACACTAAAATAAAAAAAAATAAAAAATTTAGGGGCAAAGCTCTTTAGGGTTTTTAGCCTTGTCCATCCGGCGTCCGTGCTCACATTGATCTTGCTGGTGCTCGTGCTCGTGATCGTGCTTGTGAGCTCACGTGCTCATGTAGGGCAAAAAAAAAAAAAAAAAAAAAAGGAAAAAAAAGAAATGTTTGCGCTGTCTACAGGATTTGAACCTGTACGGGGAGACCCCAATGGATTTCTAGTTCATCACCTTAACCACTTGGCCACAACTGCGGGACGAGTAGGGGGCTCTGAGATGTGGTAGTAACTCAAGAGCTGGGGATGTCATGGATGAAACGTTGCTTGTAGCCGCTCAACGTCTATACAGGAGAGAGGGTGCTGGGGTCAAATGCGTATATTATCGCGCTAACGTTTGCATGCATTGGGGCTCAATGTTTATAGACGAGAAGGCGCTGCGGTCAAATGCTCAAATGCGTATATAACCACGTTCCATACCACACATTCTCTTTCTGACATGGATGAACACGAACGAAAGGCTCGGCATGCTGCGGCTCAGCGTCTACGCAGACAAGCGCCACCAGAGCTTCGCCCCAATCAAAATTTTTTTTTATTTTTTTTATTTTTTTAGAGGTCATTTATTTTTACAGTGAAGCTGTTTATGTCTAGGGCTCCGTCTTTTTGGATAAATATGAAAAACTAATAAAAACTCGGAAAAATACCTGCTAGTAAAATTTTGGTCAATTCGGATTTATCCAATAAACTCCGAATATTTATGTGTCAATGCCACTGCCCCCCCTCCCTTCCTGGCAAAAAAAAAAAAGTAGAAGGCTTTATTTTTTTTACAGTTTGATCAGCACAGAGCCAATGGTCCTGGGACAACTCCACCATAATTATCTTTCAAATCTCGGACCGTTGTCAGAAGGGGTGTTGCTGCTTGTCTCTTGAAGGTTGATTCAGGGCAACAGGTCTTTTGTTGTACATTCGGGTCACAACAAAAGCCACTCTTTTGGTTTCCAGATTGGGCCACGCGATTTGTGATTTAGAGAAAGGAAAGGGTATGTTTTAGTAACAGTGAAAGCTATGAAGGTAAACGTTCGGCAGCCCTCTGCCTGGTTAGGAATAGACGTGAAGCGAAAAATAGGGACTCTAACCAAAAATTTAATAAACATTTACCCAACGTTTCGGGACCAGTTCGGTCCCTTGTTCACGGGTGAGACCATAGGGATTGTATAAAATTGGGAAGAGGGGCAGTTCAAACTCTCTATTACCTCCTTAACAACTCCACCTCGCGCGGCCGCGGGCTAGATTGAGGGGATAGGATGGAATCACTACGAGCTTCCTAGCGGCTACCTCCGGGAGTTTATTGGTTTTAATGTATCTGCGTTTATCGAAGCGCCACTTGTGTTTGACTTTTGTCATGGATAAATTAGTATTGCCAGTGTCAAAGGCACCAATGCCAAATTTAACTGAAGATATTTCAATTGATACAAGCGCATTTTATTTTTTATCTGGCATACATTTACATTCGGTTATTATTTATTTATTTATTTTTAATAGGAAACACGGCGAAAGTAAACTCCAAATTTTGGAGAATCGGGAATCGAGAAAATATAAACTCTGAATCTTCGACAAAAAATTAACTCGGAAAAACACTTTCCGAATTTGACGAAAAACAAACTCCAAGAACATGGAACCCTATTTATGGCTAAGGTTCTGTGGATTTTTAATGGGCTGTGATTAAAAATTCAATGCTCGCACCGCCACAGGCGCCGCACGTGCACACCTTCCCCGTATAAAAGATTCAAAGTAAATAACCAAAATCAAGCGTTGACGGATGTGCGTGCAAGATGCAATGTGTTTTAGGCTTTTGCTTTAGCTGCAGACGGTGGCACCGCACGCGTACGCCTACCCCGTATAAAAGATTCAAAGTAGATAACCAAAAATAAAGCATTGACAAAAACATGTGGAAGATGCCGTTTGTTTTAGGCTTTTGCTTTAGAACAGTTACTGCTGCAGATGACGGCACGTGTGGCACGTGGAACACCATTCCCTGCATTTTCCTTGATGCTTGGGTGATTTTGCAGTAGGTCTATTCAGTAGATTAGTTATCAATAGGTACGATTTTCAAGATCAGTAGACTCAGGTAGATAATAAAGGTTTCTCAAGGATTGGCTGCTGTGCAAATTGCGTCGCCCATCTGAAATGGCTCATGATTTTTGTCATGAGCCATTCCTCATGGCAGAGTGGAATGGCTCATGATTTTTGTTCTTTGTTAATTCCGGTTAGGTGGTGCAAGCCACTGCCCGTTATAAAGGGTACAGCCATTACAATCTATCCATCCTTTTATCCTTTGATGCTTCTCACTTCTGTCTATAACAGAAAAGAATGCCTTCTTCACACTGCAATTAGTTGTCTTGTATTATATTGTCCGCCCTCCCCCCACCCCCCAATCGCTTCAGCGGGTCCCAAAGGGGTCCCTGACACATCCATGCTTTAGAACCACTGGTCTATTGGGTAGCTACTAATCTGTTCGTTTTTCCTAATTTTTTGTCCATCATACTTTCACCATTTTGTTTGCAGTCTCGGGTGGTTTAACAGAATGGTAAACTTGCACCAGCTCGCCTGCACCCTCGCTGTGTTTTCGTTATAATTTCATCGTCGGCTTGAATTACTTTTGACAATGTTTATTAGTGTTTCTTGTAGATAGTGCATACATTTGGCCTCGCAGATGCTGTAAAACCTTCGGTCTAGCTGTATGCAGTTCCAGGACTAGCTGACAGATGGCTCCAGCATGTTCACTCATTGTAAGCGGTCACAACACACTCGGATGCAGATGCACGCAGCGTTTAGAGACGCCGAGAAAGCGTTCATGCATGCCTACATGTTTAGATTTTTAGACCAACAAAAAAAAATGTAAGCTCGAAATCCGGTTTCTTGTTTTCTGCAAAACTGCACAGGGTTTTCTCTGAAGCGAACAAATTGTTTCATGGTTTCTTAAGGAGTCTGTTCTTTTTACAGCGGAGCTGTTGAGGGCTAGGTTCCTCAGGATCGTGTCCGTGTATGTCGACACAAACCTACCTGGACAGCTGCCGCCATCTATAAGCGACGGCGGCAAGCACACAACCAGTATGGTTTTCGCCGTCGCTCGTAGATGGCGGCAACTTTTCGAGCTATAATAGAAGAATGGATAGTTGGGTGCGTCGGCGGGAATTCATTGTAGGAAACAGCGCGAAAAACAGACGATGACGAAGAAGGAGCACACAATGTATCGAGTACAGCTCCGCTGGTCTTCTTTCTTCACGAGAATGGAAAGGTTGAATGTTTTTTTTCTCTCGAATCGACCTCACTATCGAAAGCACGGGCTCTTTGAACAACTGTAGTTGTAGCAATAAATTCTAGGTTTTCTTGGAAGACGCCATTAAAGCTGGTTTTTTTTCCTGCATGCCAGCGAACAAAGAAGAGGTGCTGGAAGAGAGGGGCCTTCCCCTGAAAGTGCACATCGCCACCAACACGGGCTCGCCGGAGAGCGGCCACTTCATGAACTGCCTCTCCGAAGCCTTCTGGCACCTGCACACCCAGCGGCCCAAGAACCCTTCCCTGGCGCCAGTCTCCAAGCATGGGCTGGTCCACGTCGAGGCAACCGTGAGTTTTAAATGCCAAACATTTCAAGTCGCTCGCCTCGCTTGACAAACTTTGGTCGTCTTGTCGAAGCGAGCTAGGTGCATGCGCCGTCCTTCCCTGTATTGCGCGCATGTGCAGGTCGTGGGAAGGAGAGGTATTTGTGCCGTTCTCCTCTTGTTGCGCGAGTCGTGGAACTTTGTGCTTGCTGGACTTACGATGCTTTGCCAGAGGAAGGAGCAGACTTTTGAGGCGATAACCAAATGGAAGCGGCGATGTGCCAATTAGGGGGGGGGGGGGGGGGGGGGCATGCTCGACGGGCTGAAGAGACGTCGCGGGAGAGAGAGCGGCACTTGGCTAGGGAGAGAGAAGCAAAGGGGGCTCATTCTGCATTGTTAGAAGGCTGTACGAGGAGACGAGGAGCTGGCAAGGGATTGTACTTACTTACCCGACATGGGGTGCCAGTTAATCGGGGGAATGTTGGTGATTTCAGGAAAAGCGACGGCACCTAGCAGCTAGAATAGAAAGTTGCAGCGGCAGGTTCACTCGTTTAGCTGCTTGGCACAGGCAGACGGACGGTGCGTAAAGTAGGAGCTAGCAGCTTGCGTGAATCTTTCGGGCTGGTTGATCTTTTAATTAGGGGTGTGCGAATACCGAATAGTAGCTTTCGAATCGAATACCGAATCGAATCAAGAAAAAAAAAAACGAATATCGAATCGAATATCGAATAGTGATTTTATTCGTAGGGATTTTTCAAAGTGTGCTGCGAATGCGATTATTATATGTGCAGAGTAGGCGCCTGGTGCAGAATATACGTCTTGTACAAAAAAAAAAGCCGAAATGCAAAAAAAAGTTCCGGTGAAAAAAAAAAAAAAAAGCAGTTGCTGTTGAACGTTGGGCACTAAAGATCCAATTTTATGGTGCAAACATAATCTATCTACCCTAAACATCACCAAAAAAAAAGTTACAGCCACGCGTGCCTTTTTTTCTCTTTAAAAACACAACCTAACACCGCAACTTTTTTTTTTTAATATTTGTATATCTCAGAAAAGGGGCATTTTGCGATAGTTGGTCTCCATTTTAAGAGAAAAAAAATGGCACCTGGGATTTGAATTCACATAAATAAATAGACAGGTGTTAAGTCTGAGTAAACAGCAACGAGGTAAACTGGCTTAAACAATATAAAGTAAGAAAAAAAAACGTGGTTAGGTGGCGCAAGTCACCGTCCAACTGCCGCTACGCATCCATTTTTTTCCGTTTATCTATCCTGTTTTAGAGAGCCTTGATTTAAAAGAGGGAGCAACCGAAACTGAAACCGCAGAGACGGCTCCATCGCAGATTGATCGTGAATGCGCATGTGTTGTGTTGTCGCATGGAAAGAAGGCGAACAAACAGAAGAGCGACGACGCCTGCCCTGCCTGCCCGAACCCGACCGACGCTTTCGTCTTTTCGGCGCCTTCTCGCAGTTAGTAATTCAAACGCGGCTATCGAGCTGTTGGAAACCCTCCCAAATCTAGGCACACTATTTTTCCGTTCCCTTTCTTCCGCGCCAAGCCTAATTCTTTTCACGAGTAAAGCCCCCCGTTTCAAATTGAAGCGCCGATGTAAAACCACGTGTGTAAAACACACTTGCCGCACTCGCAGAAATCGGCTACTGCACCACTGCACGATCACAGAAAGAAAACCAACGTTACCACGTCGGCGAAACCAACCGAGTTGTCGTTCCGATTAGGAATCCGAATCAGAATTTGCGGTTCCAAAAGAACGACGACGATAACTCGGTTGGTTTTGCCGGCGTGGTAACGTTGGTTTTCTTTCTGTGATCGTGCAGTGGTGCAGTAGCCGATTTCTGCTAGTGCGGCAAGTGTGTTTTACATCAGCGCTTCAATTTGAAACGAGGAGGTTTACTCGTGCAAAGAATTAGGCTTGGCGCGGAATTCCGGCTTCCCAACAATTCCTCTCTGGAAGCGGCGCAAGCGGGATGTTTCAGTTGTGATTCAAGGGTAGGTTGTGTCATGATCGTGAGTAAATCTTCGTGCTATAAAGTTTGTGGCGTTCGTTACTTTTTTGTTTTCTAACCTGTGCGTTAGATTTTTGTGGAATGGTCGGACCAAGAGGTGTTTCTCGCATGGTCTGTCTAACATCACGGCGCTTACATCGGGAGAAAAAACTGCATTTTTGTTTGCTCCGCACCCACCGCGCGTCTTTGGCTGAATATATCGAATATTCGAGTAACCGAATACTAGGAATTCGATTCGCGAATCGAATTATTTGGGAACTTTCTATTCGATTCGAATTCGTATATTCGAGTATTCGCACACCCCTACTTTTAATACGTTGGCATCAGTGCCCTGGTACGCGCGCCGACCTTTGACGGTCTGGAGCGTTTATAGTATTCCAAGTTCGTAACTTTGAATACTCCACATCCCGTGTGCGTCCAAAGTGCGCACCTGTACCCTGGCCGCTTATTTCGAGAGGCCAGGCAATAGGACGCGTAGCAACGGCGGCTGCACAGCATTGGCCGGGCGGTTATAGAGAGCGACAGCAAGACTCGACACCTTGCAACCAAGGTGCAGTGGGGGACAGTGGGGTCGCCCCTGTGTGCACAACATGTATGCACACAAAGGTGCCCCTGCACATTGCACACACATCCTTCATGCACATACCAAGTGACCCGATCTGCTTGCACCAGGGAGAAGAGGGGTTTAGGGAATGTTCACCCCACGGAAAAGTGAGACAGGCTGCCTTCACAATGCTTCGTTACATATAACTGCCGCGCGAAATGCTAACGCGTTTCTTCGAGAGTCGGCATGGTGGCAGCAGCAATTTTGACCCATTTCTCTTTCTTTTGAATGCAGGTCCAGGCGCTGGTGGAAGTGATGTACGCCTTTGTAGCTCTTGACGTGGAGAATGTCAGCCTGGTGGCCAAGCACTTTGCCCGTCTCCTGCTCTGCGAGGATACAGTAGTGAGCTTTGCCGCCAAGCAGGCCATCATCCGAGTGCTGCGCCCAAAGTCCAGGAAGCGCAAGGTCTTCATCCCGTCGCCACCACACTGCAGCACTCCAGGTATGAAGATCTTTTTATTAGTGCAGAGTAACTATTCGAGCTCCGATGAATTTGCAACGCGATTGGAAGTGATTTGATGAATTCGGAGCTGGTGGTGATGTGATGCGCACGAGTGTTCGACGGAAGTGAGCCACGTAATTTGATGGGCAAGGATTTCCTGGCGCGATTGAACTTCGTGTCGTGGAGCGTCGTGACTGTTGCTTGTTGGTGCACTTTGTGATGTTAATGCGAATAAAATTCTATGGGTTCCAGATTTGGTGACATAATACATAATGGTGAGCGACTTTTGTGAATTCAGACTTGGTGGCGACGTGATGGTGAGGGGTTTTTGATGCAGCTGAGACATACAATGCGATGGACAACGAGTTTCTGGCGCAATTGTGAAGGGTCGTGATTTTTCTACGTCGGTTTACGGTGATGCGATGGTGAATGACGTTATTTGGTGATGCAACAGGAGTGGTTGGGTTCTAAAATGCCGACCCGTGGTTCACAGGAGAAGTGCTCCAGGAGAGCAACCAGGAGAGCAAATCGGCTGCTTCGAGCTCCTCAAACCAGCCGCCTTCCCAGTCACAGCCCGCAGTGCCCTCTGCCTCTGCAGCGGGCAGCCTCTCTTCGACGGCTTCTTCGAGCATGGCAGCAGCGGCGCACCAACGGTTCGGATCTGTAGACTCGCAGCAGCAGCAGCAGGAAGTGGAGTCGCACTTTGAGATGCTGGAGAACATGGACCCCGTGGTGCTACCTGGAGCCGAGGGGGCCTTTCCTCCTCTGCTGGACATCCCTCCCGACGCAGACGACGAGACGATGGTGGAGCTGGCCATTGCGCTCAGCCTGCAGGTGCGTCCTTTGA